CACATCAGGACATTTCTGCCTCAAAGGGTGAAAGGTATTCACAACGTAGGAAGGGCTCATGGCACAGACGCAAGACTGGATCCCCACGAAATGAAAAGTGGAGTTGCTTGTCGTTGCTTCAAGCCCCACGCTGGAGGCGATCTGACCCAGTGTCTTTCCCCAATATATAAGAATAACTTTTACCCTTTCTGGCAATAAAACAGGTATTAAGGTGTTAAAACACCAAACAGAAACCTTTCGCAAGGAATCATGTCACTGTTTGAGACTAGGCTCTAAAGCAGGGGTGGGGAACGTCCGGCCCGCGGGCCGTGTAAGGCCCGCGAAATCATTTGGTGTGGCCCTGCAAAGGCAACCGCAGGCGGGACTCGAAATTCAATAAATCTAGGAGCAAACCTGGAAAAGCAGTTGCGAGTAGCAACATCATCCATACCAGCTAACATCACACGCATCGCCAAAGACAAGCAGTTCCAGCCATCACATTAGGGATGAGTTAATTCAATGTTTGACCAAATATAACAGGCTCATTTTAAAGTTGATAATTTAGTAAATATCCAAATGGCCCTTGGCAGAAAAAAGGTTCCCCACCCCTGCTCTAAAGAAACCTGTCTCTGGTGTGGACCAATCAGTTTCAAAGACAATGCATATACTACCAGAGCATGTTTTTTGTTTGCATATTCACCAATAGTACGTGGTTAATGCAAGGCATGAGTCCTTGCGAACAGTTTCTGTTTGGTGTTTTAACATCTTAACACCCTGTGGTATTGCTAGAAAGGGTAAAAACTATTCTTATTTGAAGCTTTCGTGACTGCAGGAATCCATACTCGTTGGTTCTTTCGGTAAAGTCAAGTAGTTAGAAATAAAATAAAACAAATCACGACGTTTCGAATGCAACACAAGCAATCTTCATCAGGTGGGACAACCACAGCAAATTTTTCTTGCAATTTTTTCTTGCTGTGGTTGTTCCACCTGATGAAGATTGCTTGTGTTGCAATCGAAACGTCGTGATTTATTTTATTTCTAACTACGTGACTTTACCGAAAGAAGAGTACCTATTCTTATATTTTGATACTGGCAGGGGAGGTCCCATGGCGTATATCCCCAAGTTCGCACGGGAGGGAGGGGGGGGGGAGCAGCATAGCCGATGAAATCGATCTTCGCTTGTGAATCCCAGTGGTTACACCCCAGAAGCTCCGCGGGCAGCAAGGGACCCAAGGAAACCGTGGAGAGGCTGCGACAGATCGCTGCTCGCATGAGCGCGGGGTGCCAGGCGTCGATGGCGTGGCAGGTGGCTGCTTTTGAGTGGAGATCAAAGTAGCAGGTCGCGCTGGGACATTGCTGTCGATTAATGGACGGGAAATGTAACTGGTTACTATTTTTCGTGGTCGATTAACTTCAATGTCAGCGCAGCCCCACAAATCCTGCCATCACCAATCGCGCTAATCGCTTCCCGTCCAGCTGGGACGCACACAGGAACAGAAGCGAGACCGTTTCCCAAACCCCCTCCCAACTATTTTGTGTTACTGTCGAGTGCAGGAATCAAACTGCTAATTCGTAATCGATTATTTAAGTTCGGACGGACCAACTCTAGCAGCAGCAACTGCTCAGCTGAGTTTGTCACAAACTGTGTGTCGTGGAGCCTGTCCGCACGCAATTTAAACACATCATGCGCCGCTCTGTCGTCGAGTAAAAACCATCCCTATTACAAAAGGGAGTGCGATGGACATCGGTGGTGTACACGGTGGAGGTCTGGTGTGTAACGAGTATGCAATGGTAGCTTCAAAAGTTCCCGTCGCCCCTTTTGAAAGTTGAACCGGTGAAATGTACTTCGGTGCAGCACCACAAAACACGTTTATAAAAATGTAAATGGAATTTATATTGGAAGTTTACATAATTATCATCAGTAGGAAAGGTTTTACAGGGGTGACAATTAAATACGCGGGGGGAAACATTCACAGGACACATTACAGAATATGGTACAAATCTATTGTGTGGCTCACCAGTAACCCCCACAGCCACCATCGTCACTGACAACAATTTGAATTGGGGTGCCATGGTGGCGAGATGTTAACTACCTCGCCTGGTATACAGGTCGTTGGGTTCGATCCCGACCCTGACGCCTGTATGTGGAGTTTGCATGTCTCTATCTTCGTGGCCGCGTGGATTTTTCCCCGGTTCATCCGGTTTTTCCATCCACATTTCAGAGTCAACATGCGTTTTGAGGACTTGGCTGCTATAAATGTCCACGTGATAAGCCACTTCGTTGAGCTATCATTTGTGGCCAGGTTGCTTCTGAAAAAGAGCTGTATATTGCTCAGTGGGCCTTACCTGGTAAAATAAAAAAAAGCTTCTAGTTAAAAAATTTATACGGCCAGGGGTGGCAAAATCTCTTGGGCAATTCAAGTGCAGCGCTCAATCAAATTTTCAATTAAAAAACTTTCATTTGAACAGGAATTAAAAACCCAGGTAATGCAAGAGGGGCCAGCGACACTCGCCTCCGGCAACGGAGCCCGGCACGAGCACTCCCCAGGGGTTCTACCGCAGATTTCTAAACTCAAAAGCCCCACGGCCAACCAGCGACAGCGAAATCGGGCCGCGTGACCACGTGGCCGTGTCACCCCAGGTGACCACCCCAGATGACCACCCCAGGTGACCACCCGAAGTGAACCACTCGGTGTCTTGCCACTCGTCGCCATGTGGTAGGAGGCTCGTAGGGTCAGGAAAGGTTGGCCACCTTGCTTCATTAACTAAATGCACGTGCATCTCAAGGCGCTTGATAAACGTGAAGAAAACCAGCCCGTGCCACTCTTCTCCAGCAACTAAACTCCACAGTCAACTTAAGTTCACTCGACTGCCCTCTCCATCGGGTCTTAACACGAACATTTCAAAGTGGTGAGGCTATAGTTTAAAAACGACATCGACACCGACAAATTGCACGTAATGTTTTTGTTTTGCAGTAAAATTGATCATCCGCTTGGGGGCCTTTCACATGGTCCTTGTACGAAAAACGAACAGAGAAAAAACCCCAGGCCTCGCGCAACCGTGAGTTAAGAACCAACACTGCTACTAAGAGGTCTCAAAGACCTTGGGCAGCTTGTAAATCAAACTCAAAGTCAGGACTTCTTGAAATTCGCTCTCCTAAGCCTCATCTATATTGCAGGGTTCCGCTCCAGCCAGCCATTCCCCGCGCTTGCCGAACAAGTCACGAAGGTAAGTTACGTGACAATTTGCACGCTCGGGCGATTCGGCTTGTCGCAGTTCGAGATCGGATTGTTGACTTGTTTGTTGCCTCCAGTGTGCACCGTGCGTCTCATTCATTGCGCCTTATCTGTTCTGGTTGCATCCTTTACATTCTCTTGTATGTTTTCTTTGTTTGATCCCTTTTTGATAATAATGTTTACTTTTATACAGCGTTGTCGTTTTTGGTTCTTTCGGTAAAGTCACGTAGAAGGGAAATAATAAAATAATACAAATATAAAACAATAAAAATTCTCACGACGTTTCGACTGCAACACAAGCAATCGTCATCAGGTGTGACATCCACAATATTACGTGAACAATGGATTTCACACCTGATGATGATTGCTTGTGTTGCAGTCGAAACGTCGTGAGAATTTTTATTGTGTTATATTTTTATTATTTTATTATTTCCCTTCTATGTGACTTTACCGAAAGAACCAAGAATATGAATCCCTCCAGTCACGAAAGCTTTAAATCAAAATTTAGCGTTGTCGTTGTTCATGCAAAGTGCATCTCACAGTCAGGGCTGGCCCGAGACCAGCTGCTAGCAACTGGCGCCAGAGGCGAACTGCAATCGGCACCCCTCAGCCCCAAGGGCAGATCTAGGCTGAGGTTTTTGGTTAACTGGGAAACATTTTGCCCCTATTTTCCGTTTAATGTTTTTTTTAAGCGTATTTGTTTTTAAACAGAGGCATAATTATTCAGTTTGTCCGTCTGTACAACTCTCCAACCCAATACATTCTCAGAAATGTTGAGAAATTAATTATGATTAATATTCCCTCTGTACGTGTGTAGTGACATAAGAAGGGAGGGGCTGCTGTAGGCTCTGGGTTCCCAGGTGGGTCCAGACGCGTAAGCCTCTGGGCGCCAAGCACTGGGTTCCCAGGGGATCCAGACGCTTTTAAGCCTTTGGGCGCCAGGCGTTGGGTTCCCAGGCGCTTAAGCCTTTTTGGCGCCGCCAACGGGGGGGGGGGCTGTGTGTGCTCTGTGGGATGTCTGGTGGCGCACAAGACCCACCCCTCGTCGGACCAGGCATAAAAGGAGAGCTCCCTGGACGATCGGCCCAGTTGTAACTCAAGACCCAAGACCCACGACCAGCCATCTGAAGACCCTGGGATGCTGTGAGAGCCAGCGCTGGGACTCTGGAACTCCCGACGCTACGACCTTGTGAGGGCGAGTCCAGAGCGTAGCCAGAGTAGAGTATCTAGGCTGTGTACCTAGGCTGTAACAGAGTATCAGGACTGTTGGAGTGTTGTATTGTAATAAAGAAGTTACATCTACAAGTGTCTCCGGAACCCATTACATTTGGCGTCAGAGGTGGCAATGGAGACAAGAAGTAAGCCACGTACCTTCAGTCCTGACGGCGATGTTGAGGAGCAAGCGGCGACGGGGCAGCCAACTCGGGCCGACAACAACGCCGCACCACCGGCTGAGCAGGCGTCCACCACACCTGCCGATCCTCCTCCAGCGTCGGGAGCAGCAATGGAGGAAACGCTGCTTCGCCTCACCGAGCTGCTCCACGCCACCGTCTCCATCCTGGACGACATGCGTCGCTCACAGGCGGAGGCAGGAGGGAGAGAGGCGGCGCAGCGACCGCGCCATCCCGCCGGCTCCAACACAAACACATCCGGGTGTGTCGTCACTTCTGCGGGGGGAGCAGTGGCCGCTGGGAGCGACGTCACTTCCGGGCCCAGCGTGGGCCATCCCGATGACGCCGCGTCATCAGCGCTGCGTCCCTCACCGCCTGGTGACAGCTGTTTGCAACCCAGCAACGCCGCGTCGTCAGCGCTGCGTCCCTCACCGCCGGGTGACAGCTGTTTGCAACCGCCGAGTGAGAGCGCTGCGAACGCGCAGCCAGCTTCAGCCGGGTTGCCAGGCAACGGAAGCTTGGCTCACGTCCAACAACGCCTGCCAGCACTCAAGGCATTTTCTTCAGAGGGGGGTGAGTGGGCAGCGTTCGAACGCCGGTTCGTCTCTCTTATAGAGACGTCCGGCTGGTCGGAGTATGAAGCGCTCCAGGGCCTCCCGGCCATGCTCGACGACGACTCCCTCGCAGCACTCCTTGCTGTGCCACGCGCGAAACGTGCCACGCTCACGGATGCCCTTCATCAGATGCGGCTGATTTATGGACCCCCATCCGAAGCACGTCACCGCTTCGATGCGAGGAGGAAGAAGGCCTCCGAGTCGGCGATGGGGTACCGCAGCGCGCTGCTGGCCATGGCGAAGGTTGCCTACCCTCGCATGGATGAAGACGCTGTGGAGTCACTCGTGCTGCAGAAGCTCATGAGCTTGGCCCGCCAGCTTCGAGTTGCCATGCCGACAGCCGACGACGACGACGACTTCACGTCGCTACGTGCTGCCAGGTGCATCCAAGCACACCTACATTGCGATGAGGACACGACCATCGCCGCCTGCGCAGGCCCACCTGATGCACAAGCCTATGACGTGCATTCGGGGCCTCATCAGGCCTTCGCAGCAACAGAAAATCGCGGATCGTCCAACTGGCGATCCCAGCGAGATCACCACCAGCGGGACCGGCCAACCTCGCGCCAGGACGGAGCGTCCATCGTCTGCCACAACTGTGGCCTTCGGGGCCATGTGGCGTCCGGCTGCCGGGTCCCCCGACGCCGGACTTCAGGACCTCCGGCGCCTCGGCCACCACCTTATCCTCGGCATACCCAGGCGAGTCACGACACCTCGCACTCTCGGCCCCCACTTACAACAAGCACGCACCCTCACACCACACAGGGGGGTCATGCTTCGGAGGAGGGGGATTCGGGCCCATCATTGAACAACCGGGCACTCGGACCGGGTCAATGGTCCGAGTTGGCCCATAGGGTCGTTGCCGCTGCGGCAGGGTCCTCTGCCGTAGTGGGTTCCATCGAGGGCGTTGATGTTCGTATGTTGATCGATACGGGTGCGTCGGCGACCATCATTTCAGACATAATTTATAACATTTTGCCCGATACATGCCGTCCCTTGCAGCCAGTTGATGTGCCATGCTATGCCGCAAATGGGGGTTCGTTGGGCATCACCGGACGGATCAATGCTCAGATCCGCATTGCTGACGTCCAATTAGTTGGGCCCATTTTGGTCTCATCAACCCTCGCCGTTCCGTGCCTCCTCGGAACAGATTTCTTGGGGAAGATGCCCATTAAAATTCTCATTAACAAAGGGTGTATTGAGCTCCCCTCCGGCCGACGCATGGCCTTCCTACCCACACCCACTCGGTTGCACTCCGCATCTATGACGGTGCAGGCGTTGGCGGCGTGCACAATTCACATTCCTCCTGGCTCTCAGATGTTAGTTCCCCTCCGGTTTCGTAAACCCCTTGATTACGACGCGTTCATGGGGGGTGCTGTGATCGGGCCTTCGCGTTCAGCTGAGCGGGTGCCGGACCTCGTGTGTGCACAAACGCTCGTGCGAAGCGACCACGACCCCTTTATCCAGGTCCTTAACGCGGGATTGGAAACGGCCGTTATCTGTCAGGGAATGGTGCTTGCTCACGCGACGCCAGCCCCGCCAGAAGATGTGATCGTGGGTCACGTAGGGGGCGAGTTCTCTTCCGTTGCCAAGCCAGGTCCTGACACAGGATGGCTCGACGCGCTTTGCTCCACTTCTGCCGATTTGTCACCATTACAGCATGCTAAATTACGCACGCTGCTGAGCGATTTCGCCGACGTTTTCAGTCAAAGCAAATTCGACATTGGCTGCACTAAATTGCTAAGCCACCACATCGACACGGGTGATGCCGCTCCAATTCGTCAAAACCCATTCCGGTTGAGCCCGGCCGAAAAAGAACATGTACGGGTGGCCGTCAACGATATGTTGGCGGCCGATGTCATTGCGCCATCAAATAGCCCATGGGGGGCGCCGATCGTTCTTGTTAAGAAGCACGACGGGAGCCTCCGCTTTTGTGTTGACTTCAGGAAACTTAATAAGATTTCTGTGGCCGACGCCTACCCGCTTCCCAGGATGGACGAGTCGCTCGATGCCTTAGCAGGTGCGCATTACTTCTCCACCTTGGATCTCCTCTCGGGGTTTTGGCAGCTACCCCTTGATGACGCATCCAAACCAAAGACGGCCTTTCGCACGCCGCAGGGACTGTTCCAATTCAACAGACTTCCCATGGGTCTTCACTCGGCCCCGGCGACGTTCCAGCGCCTGATGGAGCTGGTCCTCGCTGGGCTTCAGTGGGATTCTTGCCTAATCTACCTCGACGATGTAATCGTGTTCAGCAAAACTTTTGATGAACACCTCACGCGATTGAAGGCAGTTTTCTTTAAAATGCGAACGGCTAACCTCAAATTCAAACCGCAAAAGTGCCACCTCATGAGGGATTCGGTTCGTTATTTGGGCCATATTGTCAGCCGCTCGGGAATTGCCACGGACCCCGAAAAGACAAATTGTGTGCGCTCATGGCCAACTCCTACCTCTGTTGGGGAGGTGCGGAGTTTTATCGGCTTCGCCTCATATTATCGACGATTTGTTGCGGGATTCGCATCCATCGCGAAGCCCCTCCACGCATTGACGGCCAAAGGGGTCAAATTCCGCTGGGGAGAGTTAGAACAGGCATCTTTCAATGCCGTCCGAAAAGCACTGGTCGATGCTCCTACCCTGTCTTATCCAGATTTTACCACTCCGTTCATTCTGGATACAGACGCCAGCAACACCGGAATTGGAGGGGTGCTGTCGCAAATTGTCAATGGAGTGGAGCGCGTCGTCGCCTATGGCAGCAGGGTGCTGTCGCCCGCGGAGCAACGTTACTGCGTGACGCGCCGCGAATTGCTTGCTATCGTTTTTTTCATAAAGCAGTACAGGCCATACGTGTATGGCAGGCATTTCACAGTACGCTCCGACCATGCGGCGCTACAATACGCCTTGCGAGTGGACCAACCATCTGGACAGCTCTCGCGTTGGCTCGAGATCCTCCAGGACTTTGCGTTCACTGTCATTTACCGCAAGGGGATTCAACACGGGAACGCCGACGGGTTGTCGCGGCTGCCGAACAATGGGCGCTGTGCTTGTTTTTTGGGTGCGGGGCGTTGTAGGCAGCCTGACGGGGTACCGCCCCCATCCCTTGCGGCCGCGGCCGGGGATGGGGTCGGGGACCACGGGGCTCCCTCCACGCAAGTTCCGCAGGACGCATTGCTGGGCCTCGGGTTGTACGACTGGGGACGTCTTCAGATGGAAGACGTCTCCCTCCTCAAATTGAGACGCCGCGCTAGGGATGCCGAGGGTCACAGGGGGCAGGGGGGCCCCGTATCATATGTCATCCGGGAAGGCGTCCTCATGCATTGGGATGGGGGGTCCCAATCCCACACATTGGTGGTGCCCACCTCCCTGCGGGGGCGACTTGTGTGGGAAACCCACAGTCGCCTCTTGCACTTGGGTGTTCAGAAAACACTAGCTAAAATCCAATTGGAATTTTTCTGGCCGGGCATGGCAAACGATGTGGCTGACCTTGTGCAAGGTTGCACAGAATGTGCACGGCGGAAACCACCTGCTAGGCCGTCCTGCCCGCCGCTCCAATCCATTAAAGTTTCCCGGGTCAATGAGATCGTCGCATTGGATATTTTGGGTCCGTTTCCCGCTACTCCTCGGGGTAGTAAGTACCTTTTGGTTGGGGTCGAATATTTTACCCGATGGGCCATGGCCTGGCCACTCCCCAACCAGTCTGCAGCAGCCATTACGGAGGCCTTTTTCCAGGGCTACGTCCTGGACAAGGGTGCTCCCGAACGCCTGCTGACCGACCAAGGGAAAAATTTCTCTTCCACGCTGTTGCGGGATGTGTGCAACCTGCTAGGGACACACAAAATTCGCACCTCGCCATATCACCCCCAGACTGACGGTATGGTCGAGCGATTACATAGGACACTTACCTCCATGCTAAGCCACCAGGTGTCTGAGTCACAGACTGATTGGGATCTCCACATACCTGGTGTCTTGGCCGCCTATAGAATGGCGCCCCATGCTGCCACCGGGTACTCGCCATTCTATCTTATGTATGGTAGGGAGGTTTGCCCCCCAATCGACGTACAATTGCACATTAAACAGCCCGCACCTAAGGCTAAGATTGCCGACCACATCCGTGCTAATGTGCGTCGTCTCATGGATGCCCGGGAGGCTGCTCAAAATAACTCAGAAGCCCGTCAGCTTGCCAACGAGCGGTTGCGGAATCTCCGCACATCCCGCCACGTTTGGGTGGAAGGGGACCGCGCCTGGCTCCACTGCCCGCAGGTACCATTGGCTACTTCCTCAAAACTGCTTAAGCCTTGGAGAGGCCCGGTTGTTATTATTCGCGTTCTCCGCCCGCAGTGTGTCAGGATCCAGCATGGCAAGCGACGTTGGTTCGTGCACCCGTCACGTCTAAAACCTTACATTCAACCCTACACACCTCCTTCACTTCTCCGGGGCCGAGAGCGCGACATGTCTGACGAGCCGCGCCGCGATGATGCTGCTTCTAACTCTCGGGCAGGTCCCGCTGACCCGCCCTCAGGTGCCTTGGGAATGAAATCCGCCACGGCCGACCAAGCGGGAACAAGCTTGCCCGCGGGATCAGCGACCCAGGACACAAGCGCAACAGCGGGTCGTCGGTCCCCTCCCGCCTCCGTCGCGACCGATGGACCTGCCACTCGGACTCGCTCAAAACTCAAACGATTTTCATGACCCCCGCCCACGAACTCTCGTCCCAACGCGACGCCACTCACTTTGCCATCATGTATAGTGGGCGATTGGGGCGTGCGTTCATCCTGCATATATGTGTTTATACAGTGTTGTTCTGCATCGGTGACCACAGGAGGGGGAGAGGCGCTTTCTTCTCATTTTTTTTTCTTGATTGTCACACACTCATTCTGATGGTTAACAAATAATTTCTTGTACAATTGTATTTTTTTTTGACAGCCGGGTCGGCTGGAGGCTACGTAGAGGGGGGTAATGTAGTGACATAAGAAGGGAGGGGCTGCTGTAGGCTCTGGGTTCCCAGGTGGGTCCAGACGCGTAAGCCTCTGGGCGCCAGGCACTGGGTTCCCAGGGGATCCAGACGCTTTTAAGCCTTTGGGCGCCAGGCGTTGGGTTCCCAGGCGCTTAAGCCTTTTTGGCGCCGCCAACGGGGGGGGGGGCTGTGTGTGCTCTGTGGGATGTCTGGTGGCGCACAAGACCCACCCCTCGTCGGACCAGGCATAAAAGGAGAGCTCCCTGGACGATCGGCCCAGTTGTAACTCAAGACCCAAGACCCACGACCAGCCATCTGAAGACCCTGGGATGCTGTGAGAGCCAGCGCTGGGACTCTGGAACTCCCGACGCTACGACCTTGTGAGGGCGAGTCCAGAGCGTAGCCAGAGTAGAGTATCTAGGCTGTGTACCTAGGCTGTAACAGAGTATCAGGACTGTTGGAGTGTTGTATTGTAATAAAGAAGTTACATCTACAAGTGTCTCCGGAACCCATTACACGTGCATGGGGAATTTAAATATTGACATCTTCGTGATTTTGTTGTTGTATTTTTTTCCCCTCGGAATTCGCGCCCCACTTAACTTGGCGCCTTAGGCAACCGCCCTCGTTCGCCTACATGGACGGCTCAGGCCGCTCCTGCTCACCATCGCTGAGGAACCACGGAAAAGCTGGAGGGCAGTAGCCAGGTGGTGAGCTGGCACAATTGCTCAATCTCTGAAGTCCCCTCAATATTCAGATGTTTTCAGCACATTAATGAGCGTTCACATATGCGGGAAGAAAGCGGAGCGCCCAGAGAAAGCCTCCGCCACGCGAGGGGGTACCCCCCCCCACGTCCCGTCCCATACATAAGGGACGGACGATGTTATTCCACATTTGCTCTACCGCCTTCCGGCGAGCCAGGGTATGGCACCTCTGCTCGACGGCCACGGGAAGGGGGTTTCACGATTCGTGTGATCCACCAACCTGCACTGCGTCCACGGAGCTCGATCACCGCCCCCCGCCCTCTCACCTGTGCCGACTGCACTCCGCTTCGTCCGTCTCATTTGCACTGCACGTACTATCCATCTCATGTTTGTTGTTTTATTTGTACGTTCTTCTTTTGTGCTGCCCAGTAATCGATATCGGATTGTTTTATTCACCTTTGATGGTTAAAAAGGAGGAAAAAAATCGCATGTATAAATCAGCACGTATTGAGAACAACCCATATGAACCTCATGGCGGTACCCCGGCTCTCGCATAATGTCCGTGATGCAGTCATTTTTAGTCTGTTGATGGTCGGCGATGCGGCAATCGACTCATCTCGACGAGCTGTACACGATGCACCACCACGGTGCGTACGAGCGCTCAGGGTTTCAGCGCTATCGTCCTCGCTGCGTTTCGACATCGCGGAGTGACACTGATTTCAGATTGATTGATACCCCAGTCGCGGAGTTAAGTACACCCCTGGAAAAAATTGTGTCCCATAAATAAAATATTTAATTATTTGGTACCCCAGGTTACCGCCATGAGGATCATATCTCTCACGCCTACACACAATTTGGGCGCGCATGGCCGGCGTGAGCATCGACGTGAACCACCCCGCTACGTACCTCGAGTGCTTTCGAGTGCAACGATAGTGATCTCTTTTGGGCGACCAGGTGTCTCCGGGCTCACAGCGCCCACTTTAGAGCAAACGAGGTCAGGCGGCAAACTGATTTTAAAGACCGGGTTCTCTAGTGCAGGAAGTAGGAGGTACGTCTTAACCCGTGTCACCCAATTTCCTTTCACAGCCCTCTTGTCGATCCACTTTTGTATCAATGCCCCCTCCCCCCCCTCATGGTGTCATTGGTCACGGGTGAAGTGTGCGTGACCATACTTCACCACGCGCTGGTCAATGCGGGGGGGGGGGGGGGAGAACCGCTTAGAATATCACGGTCGAAGTGCAATGCGCAGCAGACCCGCTACACGTCGCCGCTCCAAAAAATTATTGCAGAAAATAAATATCCTTATCCCCCTTTTCACGTAATTTGAACAAAACTCATTTTTTTCGACCAAAAAAATGAGATTGTAAAATACGACGACAAAAATGCTGTGCGGTAACCTTCACGATATGATAAAAAAAATCATCTGGCAGTGTGACCCCAAGTGAAATTATATAAGTAATCTCTTTAAGAAGAATAGTAGCCATGAAAACAAACGGCCGAAACAGACGAGACAGCACATGCATGCAAGGCAGCCGTGTGTACGTTCCCTGCATCACACACACACATGTACGGGAAGGGCCACTGGGAATGAAAAGCCAGACCGTGAGCTTCTAGCGAGGGAAACAACGCATAGGATTTCACGTCTAGCGAGCCGAATCGCCCCCTCCACCCCCACCACCCCGTAGGGACGCGGTTTGTCGGATCGTACCACGGCGTCATACCGAATGTGCGGCACGACCTGAAAACGCGCTGCCGACGGAAAACACGAGGGAGGTAGAAATGACGACGAGCCGATTCGGCACGCTTCACCTTGCCGCCGGTGGCACCGCCGTCGTCGCTCAGGCGAGGAACAACGCGAAGGCGTACAGCGGCAGCAGGAGGTTGTCGATCTGCGCCGTGAAGGCCTCGAGGAGGGCCGCGAGCGTAACGCACACGAGCACCGACGCGTACTCCGACCCGAGCCGCACGGCGCCGTCCGCCACCGCCACCACGGCCAGCACCATCACCTGCGCGAACACCGACGCCGCCGTCCCCTCCACCGTCTTGCTCGTGCCGGGCCAGCGGCAGCATCCGAGGCCCGAGCCGAACACCGAAGCGACCGCGTCGCCCACGCCCAGCGCCAGCACGCCGGCGTACGGCGCCAGCGACGGGAGGCCGACGGCCGCGCCGGCCAGGGGGCAGCAGGCGGGCCACGAGAGCCACAGGGGCAGCGCCATGCCGAGCAGCAGGTAGATGTGGGTGAGGACGAGCGGGCCCGAGTCGCGCTCGTCCACCAGCGCCGGCAGCGACGCGCGCAGGATCCCGCCCAGCGGCCGCACGTCGAAGGCCCGAGCGTACTCGAGGCCCAGGAACGCCGCCGCCGCCGCCACGGACGCGAGGTGCAGCAGGGCGCGGTCGCGCGCCAGGCCCGGCAGGAAGGCGGCCACGGCGAACGCGTGGAAGGCCTTGCGCGCCGCCGTGCGGGGCAGGGCGCCGCCCGCGGGCCACGCCGCGCCGCCCAGCGCCGCCGCGAGCGCCACGGCGCCCGCCAGCAGGAAGGCCCAGTAGGCGATCGTGTAGCGGCGGTCGCGCGGCCGGCTCAGGAAGTCGGCGAGCCAGAGCAAGGGGTCCGAGTGGAACAGGTGCTGCAGCCAGGGCAGCAGGATGCCGAGCGCGAACACCAGGCACAGGCCGTAGAAGTAGACGGCGCGCGCCAGGTGGTTCGACGTCATGAAGCGGAAGAGGAGGCCGAAGATGGCGCCGGCGACCACGGCGCCGGCGCTCACCACGAGCAGCACGCTCGTCAGCTCATCCCGCTTGGCGCCGCCGCCCGAGGCCACCGTCCACGTCGCCAGGCAGTGCGCCAGCGCGCCCAGCCCCTCGGCGACCACCAGCGCCTCGCCCAGCGACAGGCTGCCGGGCAGCGCCACCAAGAGCAGGAGCAGGAAGGCGGCCGATGCCAGGAGGAGGCCGGCGATCGCGGCGGCGCCGTCGGCGCCGGCGCCGCCGCGCAGCGCGTGGACCGCCAGGGCGGTGGTGGCGACGTAGACGGCGCAAGTCCGACGCGGGAGCGGCCGTGTGAGCAGCAGCCCCACCAGCGAGGCGAGCGACAGCAGCAGCGACGATGAGAGCGCCGCCGATACCGCCGCCGCCTTGGCGGCCGTGCCGGCGCAGCGGTGGGCCAGCGCCGCGGCGACGAGCGGGACGGCCAGGCCGCCCGCCAGCAGGCCGCACGCCGAGGCCGAGCCGGGCCGGAAGGCGGCGCCGAGCGTCGGGGAGGCGCCGATGAGGCGGCCCCACTTGGGCTGCGTGTAGAAGGTCTGCACGGCGAGGAGGAGCAGCGAGGCCGTGAGCGGCCCCCACGAGGCCAGGTGCAGGCGGCAGACGCACGCCACCACCACCACCGCCTCCAGAGCCGCCGCCACCGACGACGACGACATGGCTTACGGCGGCGCGAGAGTGGGAGGGCTCAGGCGTGCTTCAGAACGGACGCCTGGACAAATCGTACTGCGGGGGTGAGCGCCGTGCGTGTGCGTGGATTAGAGTGGATACTTCGTGCTTAGTCTGTCCCGTGCCACTGACGCGCCAAGCGACCCAATGCCTCCACTTCTTACGGTCTTGGTGCCAGCCGATCCCTGATATAAATTCAAGATGAGTCACTGCTTGGAACCGAGCTACGTGAAGACGTCTGTGCTGTTTGTGTATAAACTATTCGCTCAATGACAAACGTTGTACAATACAATGTACCTCAAACACTTGAACAATGTTTCTCGGCTATGTGTGCTGCCTGTATTGGGTGCACGTATTACGTGAACAATGCATGTCAACTATGTCCACTGCAATGGGTGTGTGAACTGCGTCGATAACGTATTTCAACAATGGATCTTGCCCGTGTATTGAATACACCGCGCGGTCAGTGCATCCGCGCTAGGTAGCTTGCGTGTGCACCGTGTGAACCGCATTAACAGGTGTATCTGTGCAACATAGCCTCCTTGTTGTACTCTCTCCGTGAGCTGCGCCAATCTGCCCTCGATTAACGGTGCTCTCTATCCCCGAGCTGCGTGTTCCGTGGGATGGCGAGAAGTGCAGGGGCTCGGAGCAGCGTGGCGGAACGGGGCTTCGGGTCAGCGATCCGCCCCACCCTGCGTCGTCGAACACACACATGGACCCCCCCCCCGCTCGGGTTACGATCGCGCGTCGCCGATGAGCGGGCGTCCTGCAAAATCTCGGCGGCACAGCAGCGGCACAACGGCACAGCGGCACAGCAGCTCGCACGCACGGTGCTCTGAACGTGGCGAACCGCGTTTTTTTATATCTGGCCACGGCTAACGTCGGCAGCGGCTGTGATATCTAAACCAGTCCTGGGTGGGACCCCTTCACCCATCCGCATTCTTAATTCAGCTAGGTGAAGTATGGGGTAACGACCACCATGACCAACACAGCACGGAGGCGGATTTGTTCCAGCAGTGGATTGACAAAGCCTGCTATGTGTTAAAGTGTGTATATAAATGTTTTTGAAAGGGGTGATGCAGGTCATCAATTTTTTTCAGGGATAAAACTTTTTTTTTAATAAAAGCTAAATTCAACTACGACTCCTCCCTCCCAATGTTTGACCCAGATGACAACATCGACTTTGCTTGCTCAGCAGCCCCAAGGACCCAGTGTGACTTGATAACGCACGAGTCATTCTAGTGGCGATGATAATGATGCTTGTATGGCAAAATAGCAAAATTGTACAGCCCAGTTGATATCCTGTCTGGGGATGGGGAGTGACTGGAGAATGAGTAACAGTGGAAGGGTGGAACAGTCGTTCCGAACACGTGGTTTTCATTACCCATGTCGTTATCGCTGTTAGTTACTGCTTACGTGTCTTTTTGGCCAATGGGGTGACCCTTTCAATGCATGCGCTGTGTGCACATTGTTCCCATTAGTGTGAAATACCGACGGCATGTTTGCTATTTAGTTTGTTAACAATCATCAATGGCAATTTAATGTTTTTGCACAGATGGGCCTCTGGGGGGAGGAGTGGTGGCACAGCGGTTAGCGCACTGCACTATGAACCTGGCCACCTGAGTTAGATTCCAGGCGAACATCACTGGCGGGCATCACATCAACCTTTCCTGCCTCCACCATCCCCTTCAATAACTCACTTTCATCCATCATTAGATTAACAAAGCACTGTAAACTGGCATTACTTAGTCATCGAAGGTAGCACGAATGAACATTACTACACTCAACTGTGGACAGCACGCACACACTGCTATACAAGTGGCGTGAATGTAACCGACTTGCTATACTGTACTCTGTATAGGCATCTCTGCTTTGCCCTGCACGCACATGGCGGCCAAGTGGCGGTGGCGATGATCCCGACCCTGACGCCTGCTGCTGTGTATTTGGAGTTTGCGGTGTCTCTCTCTCTCCCCGTGGTCGCGTGGATTTTCCTCCAAGTCCTCCAGTTTTTCTCTCCGTATTTAGAATGAAAATCACGCGTTTAGAGCATTTGGCTGCTATACATTTCCACGAAATAAGCCACTCCGTTGAGTTATCATTTGTGATAACCAGGTCGCTTCTGCAAAATATTTCAGTGGGCCTTCCTTGTTTTTTTAAGTCAATACACGTGAACGCCATACCTGTCAACCCCTTATCAGTACCGACCACATTACAGACCAATTCAGATCTTATTGATCACCCCGTGCCCTTATAAATCTCAAAGTTCCTCCTACAAAGTCCCATCACAAACGAGAAACACAAACAAATAGACAAACAAAATGTGCCCGTATTGAAACGGCTGTACGCCGTATGGACCTGAAAACTCAATTTCCCCTGTACAGGAATACGGGCCTCCCTTGACCGTGCAGGCCGTGCTGGTTATTGACCCGATACTTCGCCGTGAAGGTCAGGTGCGGGGTCGAAGGCGCCGCTGAGCCCATACGTGCGCTGGAATCATAGAAGTACATTGCAACAATGGGTTTTGCTGCGCTTACCCTCCTCGCTTTGCCCAACCAGGCACCCCAGCGGCTCCCTTCCGCGTACTCTAAGAGCAACTTGTCTTTTTGTGTGCGTCAATAACACCGCCTTCGAAGCCCTGTTCAAAACATGCGAGACGTTTGTCGTAAGGCAACAGTTATTGTTGTGTTTAGAAGTCGCCACTAGAGTGCTTGTTAAGATGGGCCATCGTCCGAAACGTCGCCTATATTTTTTTCCATAATAGAAGTTTGTTTTTGGGTTAGATCGCGTAAATGTGTGTCGTTAAACCCGCCACCACCCGACACAACCAACTAGTAAGGTTTGTCACGTAAACAGAACATACCAATTCTTTGGTTTTTTTCGGTAAAGTCACGTATAAAAATAAAATAATAAATTAAATAATAGCATACGACGTTTCGATTACAACACAAGCAATCATCATCAGGTATAATGAAATAGCGACATAGAATATAACCAGAAAACTATAGACAGACATATAAGCAGACAGATATCACCAAGATACATAGAGAGAGCAACCCAGGTACAGAGAGAGGTGATCGTCTCTGTGGGGTGGCCTTAAATTGACAGAGGGGGGCGGAGGCAGAGAGAGGGAGGGGGTAGGGAAAACATTTACATGTCAATGAGTACGAAGGGAGGGGAGTAAGGTAAGCAGGCTTAGAGGTAAGCAGGCTTAGAGGGAGCCTGCTTACCTGCTTACCTTACTCCCCTCCCTTCGTACTCATTGACATGTAAATGTTTTCCCTACCCCCTCCCTCTCTGCCTCCGCCCCCCTCTGTCTATTTAAGGCCACCCCACAGAGACGATCACCTCTCTCTGTACCTGGGTTGCTCTCTCTATGTATCTTGGTGATATCTGTCTGCTTATATGTCTGTCTATAGTTTTCTGGTTATATTCTATGTCGCTATTTCATTATACCTGATGATGATTGCTTGTGTTGCAATCGAAACGTCGTATGCTATTATTTAATTTATTATTTTATTTTTATACGTGACTTTACCGAAAAAACCAAAGAATAATTCCTGCAGTCACGAAAGCTCCAAAATTAAGATAGAACATACCAATTCATCTCTAGTACATGCCAATTCGTTATTAGTACATGCCAATTCGTTACGAATTCGTTACGAATTGGCATGTTTTGTTTACGCGACAAAGCTTAAGAGTTGGCTTTGTCGGGTGGTGGTGGGTTTAACGACACATATTTACGCGATCTAACTCGGACCCCAAAAAAACTCTATTATGGCTAATATTGTTCGCGAAAGCCTACGAGTTAAACGGACTAACATATACAGTAAATGTGTTGTGTGAGTACTTTTGTTACGACCGCACAAGTCGCGTTTAATGTGTTTGCCTGTTGCAACCACTGCCAACGGAGCACCACCACCAACACCACCACCACCACCAACAAAACACCACCACCAACAACACCACCAACAACAACACCACCAACACACCACCACCACCAACAACAAAACCAACACCACCAACAACAAAACACCACCACCAACACCACCACCAACACCACCACCAACAACACCACCAACAACACCACCAACACCACCACCACCAACACCACCACCAACAAAACACCACCACCAACAACACACCACCACCAACACCACCAACACACCACCACCACCAACAACAAAACCAATACCACCACCACCAACAACAAAACACCACCACCAACAACACCACCAACAACAACACCACCAACACACCACCACCACCAACAACAAAACCAACACCACCACCACCAACAACAAAACACCACCACCAACACCACCACCAACACCACCACCAACAACACCACCAACAACACCACCAACACCACCACCACCAACACCACCACCAACAAAACACCACCACCAACAACACACCACCACCAACACCACCAACACACCACCACCACCAACAACAAAACCAATACCACCACCACCAACAACAAAACACCACCACCAACACCACCACCACCAACAACACCACCAACACCACCACCACCAACAAAACACCACCACCAACACCAACAACACCACCACCAATGAATCTCTGATGTGTGCACGGCGGTCAGGTCACCCCGGCACAGGCTCGAACATTCTCCCTCCGAGCTTCGGAGAGATCGAGATGGGGGGGGGGGGATGGTGATTCGGTCACGGGCCGTGCCTTGATTCCAGCGAATAAACAATAAAGAAATCAATTGAACTTCGCATGATGTATTCATTAGCTCGTTCAGGAACCACCCGGCGGCCTTGACACCAACCAAACCACCGTCGTCATTGCCTCGCCTCGTCAGCGCAGCCAACACCGACGGCACAAGGCGATCGATTTGGCAGTCTAATTAAGCTCGCATTACACCAATTAAGGACGTCGTTTGGGTCGAGTGAGCATCGCCGTTCATCTTCGGGCCTACACGCGCTCACAGACCAATACCCCTCGACATTCGCCACCAAGTGACAGTCACGTCACCTAACGGCGCCCGTGCCAGGCTAGGTGCACTTTGAGGCCACGTGAAGTATCTTTGTAGGCTCGCTGACAGGCAGGAAGGTCTCGGGACAGACCCTGCAGGTGCCATGGGTCGGCTGACTGAGAAGACCGGTAGATGCACCCGCACCAGCTGCAGCCCCCGTAACACACAACACACACATCAGCTCGCGTTGACACACACGCAGCGCGCAGCGCAACGCATCAGACCCGCGGGCTTACGCGGAACGTGCTGCTGGGAGATGGTGAGAGACGAGCTTGTTGTTGTTGTTGTAGAGGTTGTTGTTGTTGTTGTAGAGGTTGTTGTTGTAGTGGTGGTTGTTGTTGCTGCTGCTGGATGACAGACGCCAGTGATGCTGAGAGGTCAGAGTGTCACGGGGGGTGGGGTGTGGGGGCACGTGGCTACGGCGAGCGAGACGGACCCCCGCGTCGCCCCGACAGCCGCACGTGTTTCGCGTTTCGGTTTTCTTTTAAATCGCAGAAACCCAAACGCTATACAATTCGTACGACGGAATTGAACACTCGCCGACAACGAGAGAGCGACAAGAATAAACTCAGCTACAACCCCTTCGCACGTCCGCAACGTGAAGTAGAACATTATGTATCGCACAGCCCGTGGAGGCGATCACGGCCGTCTGGGAGTGCAAACGCCGGTGCGTGTTGGAGAGTAAACACACAACATTTACACTTCCAGTAACGACGATTCGTCGGTAATTACAACCAGCATCGTCAGGCGGACAAAAATCAACCTCTTATGGATAATATCGGTGGCGAAAGCCTCTACGTGTTAAACTGACGTACGCTTTCGCGACCAATATAAAAAAAAAAGGTTGTATCGTTAGATAGTAAATATATAATTGTGTCGTTAAAGCCGCCACCACCCGACACAGCCAACTAGTAAGGTTTGTGAGGTAAACAGAACGTGCCAATTCGTCACTAGTACAGCACTAGTGTATAGTGTAGTGTATAGTGTACTATACTAGTACAGCACTAGTGTATAGTGTAGTGTATAGTGTAGTATACTAGTACATCACTAGTGTGTATTGTATAATAGTGTAGTGTATAGTGTAGTATACTAGTACAGCACTAGTGTGTAGTGTATAGTGCAGTGTATAGTGTACTATACTAGTACAGCACTAGTGTATAGTGTAGTGTATAATAGTGTAGTGTATAGTGTACTATACTAGTACAGCACTAGTGTGTAGTGTATAGTGTAGTGTATAGTGTACTATACTAGTACAGCACTAGTGTATAGTGTACTATACTAATACAGCACTAGTGTGTCGTGTAGTGTATAGCAGAGGTGTGGACTCGAGTCATGTGACTTGGACTCGAGTCAGACTCGAGTCATGAATTTGATGACTTCAGACTCGACTTGGACTTGCATAACAATGACTTTGTCCCACCTCTGAGGTGTGGACTCGAGTCATGTGACTTGGACTCGAGTCAGACTCGAGTCATGAATTTGATGACTTCAGACTCGACTTGGACTTGCATAACAATGACTTTGTCCCACCTCTGCTATACACTAGTGCTGTACTAGTATAGTACACTATACACTACACTATACACTGTATAGTGTAGTGTGTAGTGTACTATACTAGTACAGCACTAGTGTGTAGTGTATAGTGTATTATACTAGTACAGCACTAGTGTATAGTGTAGTGTATAGTGTAGTATACTAGTACAGCACTAGTGTGTAGTGTATAGTGCAGTGTATAGTGTACTATACTAGTACAGCACTAGTGTATAGTGTAGTGTATAATAGTGTACTATACTAGTACAGCACTAGTGTGTAGTGTATAGTGTAGTGTATAGTGTACTATACTAGTACAGCACTAGTGTATAGTGTACTATACTAGTACAGCACTAGTGTGTAGTGTATAGTGTATTATACTAGTACAGCACTAGTGTGTAGTGTTTAGTGTAGTGTATAGTGTACTATACTAGTACAGCACTAGTGTATAGTGTACTATACTAGTACAGCACTAGTGTATAGTGTAGTGTATAGTGTAGTGTGTAGTGTACTATACTAGTACAGCACTAGTGTATAGTGTAGTGCACAGGGGTCGGCAACCAAAATAACAAGAAGAGCCATTTCTTTCCAATTCGGTACAAAATTCAGTATTTCAAGAGCCGCAATGCATCTGAGTACATATACTGTACTCACGTACATATCGTCAAGAAGCAGCCCGTAAAGAGCCGCATGCGGCTCCGGAGCCGTAGGTTGCCGACCCCTGGTGTAGTGTATAGTGTACTATACTAACACAGCACTAGTGTGTAGTGTATAGTGTAGTGTATACTATACACTACACTATACACTACACACTACACACTAGTGTAGTGTACTGGTGTGTTGAAGAGCCAATCCACAACATTGACAATCTGAGTACGACGTTTCGCCGGTAATTACAACCAGCTTCATCAGGCAGAGCCGTGAGCGAGCGTGCATAACAGCTGCTATGGGTTTGCGACACCGCAGGCTCCGTAGACCATCGATGAGAGCGAGAGGGGGCGTGGCCACAACCTCTTGACGTCACGTGCACGCCGACCAATCGCCGCGTGGCTCAACGGTCGCCCGCGTTTGAACGAGCCAATAGGAAGACGACAGTGGGGGGGGGGGTGTTTTGGCGGGAAGTGATCAGCTGTTCGGCGGGAGCGATGAGCCACCAGTTTTCATTCAATCGTCGAGTCGTGCGGTCGTTTCGTTCGTTTCGTTCGTTCGCACGCCGACCGCCGCGCTCAACCCGTTGCTGCAGGCGCTCGGCACGGCCCAGGTGAGTGCGTGAGTGTGCGTGGTCAAGTGGCGGCAGCAACAGCAGGCGGTGCATCGGGCCGGTCATCTCAGTCGGTCGACCCCGTGGCACCTGCTGGGTCTGCCCCGTGTCCTCTTGCCAGCGGGCGTGCGACACTTCACGTGGCTTTAAAGTGCACCTAGCCTGGCACAGGCGCCGTAAGGTGACGTGACTGTCACTTGGTGGCGAATGGGTTTTTTTAGTTGCAGCAGTTGACTTGACGATGGGGAAGGGAAGGCGCGTGGGTGGTGTTTGTTGTGGTGGTTGGTGGCGGCTGTGGTATTGGGTATTGGACCCCAAGCACAGACAGATGGTTTCGGCTACTAAGACGTCCACGAGAGATTGAAAGACGGGGGGGGGGGGGTGAAGTTAATTTTGTTGAACTTGGCGATAACTCGAGAGGCCGGGGTAGAGTCTGGTTCGCAAGAGCGGCCTGGGTCACCAACATCGCAAATGCAAAAATAAATAGAATAAAGTTCTGTACTGTACAGCAATGAAGTCAATATAAATCAGCGGATGGAGAGACAGAAATTCGTGTATAGTGCAGAGATAGGAGAATACAGATACACTTTTAAACATATGAAGTTATAACCAGTCTTGAAGTTAAAGGTAGGGGCAGACACATTGAAGCACACAACAGCAAACTCGTATAATCATACTGTGTGTACAAACAGGAAAAACCCGTATACATGATGGAGACACGGGGAGACGTAGAGACAAACGTGTCGACAGGAGGATACACACATCCACAGGGACGCACATAGACACGCAGACACAGAAAACACACGGAGAGAGACCTCCAGTTGTGAGACAGAGGGACACCAGAGAGGCATGGAGACAGACACACACAGATACACGGAGATGAATATGGATCTGCTCAAACACAACTCCCTGTATCGTCGCTTCCTCAGTCACAGTGTCATACTTCACCAGACTTTGTACGCTGCTGGCTAGCGAGAGAGTTTTAATATAGGAACTCTCTTACCAGTATCAACATATAACAATATATTTTACCCTTCCTGGCAAGAACACCGATGTTTAGATGTTAAACCACCAAACATAATCCTTTATCAAGGAATCCTGTCTGCATTAACCACACGTACTTGTGGTGAACATGCAAACAAAACACATGCTCTGGTAGGATATGCATTGGCTTTTTAAACGGAGTCTTTTAATTTCCCCCCTTCCATTGAGCGCTCTCATGCTGTTGTGGTGGACTTGAGACGACGTTTCGACTCTTTGGGCTGCGACGAGACAGTCGGGTTTCTTGACCAGAGGCAGCCCTCCCGACACGGATGGAGGAATCGCTGAACCAAGTTCACGGGATGGGGGTCAACCACGGCAGTGGCCATAGAAGAGAGATGGAGATTGACCCCCGGGACAGGCGGGCGACTTTGCCTGGAGAGTCAAACAAAGTGGGTGGTTTTGATTTAAAGATTTCGTGACTGCAGGGATTCATATTCTTGCTTCTTTCGGTAAAGTCACGTAGAAGGGAAATAATAAAATAATATTAATATAAAACAATAAAAAAAAATATTTATAAAAAAATACAAAAAAATTCCAACAAAAATGTTTCAATTTTTTTTTTACCGAAAGAACCAAGAATATAAAGTGGGTGGTGTCGTGGATCGTCAATCTCGCCGACCGCTTGGAGCTAGGAACTGGGTGGATTATTCCCAGTCGGGGCCGAATTCGTGTTGTTTGTACGGCACCGACCTCAGCAGCTCAGGAAGGGGGCGTCTCTGATGCCCTCTCGGCCAGATGAGCGGTAATTGCGAGTTGGGGGTCATGTTGTTGCCACCAGAAGACGACTGGTTATTTTTGTTTTACTATGAACACCGCATGATGGGGAGGGTGGCCGTGGCATTGTCAGCTTGAAGTGATGTCGTCAGCTGACCCCCCGGGTGTATTTATAGTTGAAGATTCGTAATTATTTAGTCACCACAATCGAAGACTGTGTTCAATTCAGCGGTGATTGACGGCGAATCGTCGGTGGGGCGTTGCTGTGAGCCAAGTGATTTAAATTAGTGATCCGTGAAGTTGTGACCTTATTATAAAAACAAAACCTGGTCAGCATTATTCGTTTCACCGAGAGCAAACTCTGGACCGGTTTTGACATTCGGTGCCTCTTCGGCAGTCAGGAGGCTTTCTAGTTCTATTCTAATACAACAACATCGTATAAAAGGAGATGTGTGTCATGTATGTATGTTGAACTTCTTTCGCACCTTACTTAGCCGACCGTGCTAATCGGAGGTATGAAGATGATACCATCGGAAGGACGTGGGATACGTAGCACATAATTGTATTTTGTGTGGAGAGACAAACATAGGAAGCGACGGGCGTTATGTCTGTGTTAAGTATTCTCTGTTACTCAAACCTGTCCACCCATTATCAGTGCCTAGCTTATTACAGACCAATCCACACCGTGCCTACATAAATCCCAACATTAATCCTACAAAGTCCCATGACAAGCGAGAAACACAAACACATAGACGCATTATTTTTTATATTTTTATATTCTTGGTTCATTCGGTAAAGTTACATAGAAGGGAAATAATAAAGTAATACAAAACATTTTTTTGCCCATATTCAAACGTCTTTTCGCCGTATGGACCCCGTGAAAACTCAATTCCCCTGCACAGGAATGCGGCGTTAACCCCTCTGGGTTGTTGACACGCAGTGTGTGGGTGGTTGACACGCAGTGTGTGTGGGTGGTTGACACGCAGTGTGTGTGGGTGGTTGACACGCAGTGTGTGGGTGGTTGACACGCAGTGTGTGTGGGTGGTTGACACGCAGTGTGTGTGGGTGGTGACACGCAGTGTGTGGGTGGTTGACACGCAGTGTGTGGGTGGTTGACACGCAGTGTGTGTGGGTGGTGACACGCAGTGTGTGGGTGGTGACACGCAGTGTGTGGGTGGTGACACGCAGTGTGTGTGGGTGGTTGACACGCAGTGTGTGGGTGGTTGACACGCAGTGTGTGGGTGGTTGACACGCAGTGTGTGGGTGGTTGACACGCAGTGTGTGGGTGGTGACACGCAGTGTGTGGGTGGTTGACACGCAGTGTGTGGGTGGTTGACACGCAGTGTGTGTGGGTGGTTGACACGCAGTGTGTGGGTGGTGACACGCAGTGTGTGGGTGGTTGACACGCAGTGTGTGGGTGGTTGACACGCAGTGTGTGGGTGGTTGACACGCAGTGTGTGGGTGGTTGACACGCAGTGTGTGGGTGGTTGACACGCAGTGTGTGGGTGGTTGACACGCAGTGTGTGGGTGGTTGACACGCAGTGTGTGTGGGTGGTTGACACGCAGTGTGTGTGGGTGGTGACACGCAGTGTGTGGGTGGTTGACACGCAGTGTGTGGGTGGTTGACACGCAGTGTGTGGGTGGTTGACACGCAGTGTGTGGGTGGTTGACACGCAGTGTGTGGGTGGTGACACGCAGTGTGTGGGTGGTTGACACGCAGTGTGTGGGTGGTTGACACGCAGTGTGTGGGTGGTTGACACGCAGTGTGTGGGTGGTGACACGCAGTGTGTGGGTGGTTGACACGCAGTGTGTGTGGGTGGTTGACACGCAGTGTGTGTGGGTGGTGACACGCAGTGTGTGGGTGGTTGACACGCAGTGTGTGGGTGGTTGACACGCAGTGTGTGGGTGGTTGACACGCAGTGTGTGGGTGGTTGACACGCAGTGTGTGGGTGGTTGACACGCAGTGTGTGGGTGGTGACACGCAGTGTGTGGGTGGTTGACACGCAGTGTGTGGGTGGTTGACACGCAGTGTGTGGGTGGTTGACACGCAGTGTGTGGGTGGTTGACACGCAGTGTGTGGGTGGTTGACACGCAGTGTGTGGGTGGTGACACGCAGTGTGTGGGTGGTTGACACGCAGTGTGTGGGTGGTTGACACGCAGTGTGTGGGTGGTTGACACGCAGTGTGTGGGTGGTGACACGCAGTGTGTGGGTGGTTGACACGCAGTGTGTTTGTGGAGGAGTCGGGAGGGACCTGGAGTGGCGTGGGGACAGCTCCTGACAAGTCGTGGCGGGACCGAGAGCGGGAAAGGGGCCGTCCATAAATGACGTCACGCACCTGTGGGGTGGGGGTTGGGGTCAGACATTTGTGACGAGGGGGGGGGGGGTGAGAAATGTGACGTCACATCAAAATGCGCAAACTTTAAATAAATATAGGCAACACGTTCGACTTAATTAAATAGACTTTTTAATAAATGTTTTCTCCTACAACATCAGAGTGCAGCGCCACATAAAATACGCACTACAATGACAATAGTTTAAAGCGATTTGAAGCATGTTTTATTTTGGGGGGGGGGGGGGCAGAGCTTTGTGACGTCATATTTGAGGGGGGGGTCTGACTTTTTGTGACGATGGGGGGGGGGTCAAAAATCGTCCAAAATCGCGTGACGTCATTTATGGGCGGCCCCAAAGGCTATAGCGAAGCCCAGGGTTGCCTTCTCGTTTCGGGTTTATTTTCGTTCAGCCAGGTGAGAACTCGCGTACCGCGTCAACCCAGACGGTTTATCCCACATTCTTGTGCAGGGAAATTGAGTTGTCAGGTCCACACGGCGGACAGACGTTTCAATACGGGCACATGTTTGTGTCTTTGTTTGTGTTTCTCCCTTGCGATGGGACTTTGTAGGATGAACGTTGAGATTTATAAGGCAACGGGATGACCAATAGGGTCTGAATTGATCTGTAACAATGTAGGTACTGATAAGGGGTTGGTGGGTATGGAACTCGGGGGGCCAGGATAGATTCTAGATTTGCAGAAGTGACCTGGGCCACCAAAATGGAAATACTAAATAAATCAATCTTTATTTTGCATGCTGGTATTGCCCTAAATCAAGTAGGACAGGAGCTGTACAGGGGGAGCCTACAGCAGCAGGGACTGAGAAAATAACCCCTTCTACGACCCTCAGCGGCGAACACCGACTGAGCAAAGTCGAGCACGACCACACGCCAAAAGAAAGTGTGACCGTGCGCAACGAATTGCATGAAAAAGTAGTAGATGAAATAAAAGTAGACCTTTTTATTTCCGAGTGTATGGGAAGGCGAGTCTGAATATTTATTTATCGAATTGCTTGTCTTGCACAGAACACGCAATCGGCGCGTACAGAAATGTTGCAAACAGAAACGTGAAATAAATAAAATTATCATTCAGTAATACCCAGATGTATGTCTCCCCCCTTATACGTCGTTTAGCAAATACATCGTCGCTTTATTAACGCCGCCACCTGATTTGCATCGCCTCGGCCCACACTCACGTCGCTGATGGCATCGATCATCCTTTCTCGTTACCTGTCGCCTCTCAGCCTTCGCCTCCAACACCGTACCCTGTGAATCGCTTCTTCCAATTGACGTCGTTTCGATATTCATCGTGGCACCTTTCAGGAACGCATCCCCCGACGTAAACGGGGCAACGCCCTTTAAATTACAACGGTTACAGAAGCACCTTGCTCGGGTCGTCCTTGCTGTCGATCATCTACGACTCGACTCAGCCCACCGCTCTCCGTACTCTTCATTGGCTGCCTTTCGCCAGCAGGTCAAATTATAAAATCGCGCCTGCCTTTGTTATCACGCCTTCACCACCGGTTCCCCACCACACCTCGCCTCAATACTCTCGCCTTGCACTGAAGGCTCATGGTAGAACTCTACGCAGCAGCGGCAGCGTCACTCAAAATCTGCTTCGGATACCGAGCTCTCAAACTGTTACAGCCTCACATCGGTATACACTACATTATACACTCCACTATACACTACACTATACACTACACTCCACTATACACTACACTACTATACACTCCACTATACACTGCTATACACCACTACTATACACTGCACTACACCACTATACACTACACTATACACTACACTATACACTACTATACTGTACACCACACTACTATACACTCTACTATACACTGCTATACACCACTACTATACACTGCACTACACCACTATACATTACACTATACTTTACACTACTATACACTACACACTACTATACACTGCACTATACTTTACACTACTATACACTACACTATATACTACACACGCTATACCCTACACTATACTGTTACGGCCTCACGTCGGTTCTCTGCTGTCAACCCCCTCAGTGTGGAACTCTCTAATCCCTTTGCACATCCGCAACATCAATTGCACTCGGACTTTGAAGAAACATCTAAAGGCCTCCTCGATCTCCTTGGTCAGGCTTTTGAGCTGCCCTGAGCTTGGCTCCGCACCTCTGAGTTGTTGACTTGTCTGTAAAATCTGGCGCGTTATGAATGTCACTTATTATTTACTGGACTGTATTGCACAAATGTAAATGAATGTAAAACAGCACGCTTCCCTGTCGTGCGAGTCGGCTCGGGAAGATATTACAAATTGAGTTGGAGAAACATTGAGCGTGTCGCGTGGCTCGTAACGAATGAGGAACCGGACAGCGACGTCTGTCAACGTGTCCACAGCTCTTCCCGCTGCGTCTCATGCTGAGGTCAAAGGCGGTGCGGCCGAGTGGGCGGCCCTCCGCGCGCGTGGTCACCTGCTCGCACCCGTCGCCTGCCCGAGGGCAGCTGATCGGCAAGCCGGTATGCGAGCTGTCCTCACTCTTATTCATGAACTACCTCGTCTGGTACGCAGGAAGTTGTTGGTTCGATCCCGATCCTGACGCCTGCTGCTGTATATTTTGAGTTTGCGTGTTCTCCCCGTGGTCGCGTGAGGTTTTTCTACGGGTCTTCCGATATTTTCCTCCACATTTAGAAACAAGCATTTTTGAGTATTTGGCTGCTATAAATGTCCACGTGGTGAGCCGCTCCGTTGGCCTATCATTTGTGGCCAGTTCACTTCTGAAAAAGAGTGATATAGCTCAGTGGGCCTTACCTGGTCAAATAATAATAGTTCATAGTTTATTATTATGATTATTGTTTTGCTTATTTACCAATATAAGTCTTACCGAGTCTCAATGACTATTTTTCAGGAGGGTCCTGCTAAGTTTTGCAACAATGGGGCTCATTAATTGGCTGATAACACCTCAGTATATAGAGGACAGCAGAGCGTGGACAGTTGTTGGTAGCGTGGCGGCTGTCTTGCAGCTTGTCTGTGGTTCCCCACGCCTCTTGAGTCGTTCTCTTTTTAAGAGAGCGAGCGAATACTGCGCGCGTTACAATTTGAACTCGCTATTGTTAGGAGTTGCTATGTTACTACCTCAATTGAGTAAGCTTTGGGTAATTTCTGAAATTTGGTAAATTGCGAATTACATCATGGGATATCTAACGCCCACTCCAAAACAAATGGTGTGTAGTATTTTCACGGTTAATACAACCGTAGTATTTATCAGGGTGGCCGCTGGATTAGAACCATGAGCCTCTGCAACCAAACGCTGAATGCACGACCGCAAGGCCTTGTCTCTACCCATCATTGTCATTGGTCATTTTGTCTTCTTCGTCGGAGGAAAGTGCTTTCATCCTTATAAGTCATCATCAGAATAATGTCCGTGAATCATCATCATTGCCATCATTATAATCTTCAGGAGTAGTTACTTGAATCATCATAATCAAGAGCAGAAGCAGGTACATAAATCATCATCATTGCCTTCATTATCGTCAGAACCGAATGCTACCATCAGCATAAGAAGGAATTACATCGATCATCTCCATCATGAGCAAATACCTCCTTATTAATAAATCAGATGACCTTAATTTACGGCCGTGCAAAAATCTATTGGCAACAGAAGTCCTCATCCAGCAGTGGATTGACAAAAGGGCTGTCCACGTACACCACGAGGGCAAGAATCGCCGAACCGCTTCGCGCGTGAACCGTGCCGCGGTTTAACCGACGGCGTCCGTGCCGCCCGCCGGCAGGGCGATGCTCCCGGTGCGGTCTCCGTGCCGCCGCTCGCTCCGCGGCCACGCGACCGCTCCCCGTCGCCGCTTCGTGTCAGCGAGCTCTCGCGCCAGGGAGAGCGGCGTTCGCCCGGCTCGACGACGGGGGGAGGGAGAGACGAGGAGATGGAGCGACGCTGCAGGGAGAAGGTGCAGAGGCTCCGGGACGAGGTAGGCGGCCCTGACGGACGAGGTGAGACGTAGCCTAAGCGCCGTACGTAGCCAACCGTGCTAATCGGAGGGCTGGGAAGCAAACGCCATGGCTGTTCCACGCCATGTGTGCGTGGATGCTCGATTCCACCTGTACGCGCCTGGCGATAGTGCACATCCAGTGCCTGTGGTTTCTCGTCGCCGTAATGTACAATGTAAATCGATCAATCGAGTGGAATCGTCGCTGCTATATTGCATGATTTAGCATTCTATGAAGCAGCCCCAATTTACAAAGAGTATGAAATGGGTCTGAAGCGTGGGTCAACGTAAACCCTCAATAGACTTTCATGGAGCACCATGCAGCACTAACGTATTTTTCAAATTGAAACTGCTCTTAATTGTAGTGTGCACAGCTCTGCGGACCACTGTAATTAATTATGCTGCACATTGAGAAGTGTTATTGTGAGCATTGATTGCATCGCATTTTCAAATATATATATGGATTGGAAGGGATCCTTGTAAATTTCAGATTCGACAGATTATGTACTTGAAAGTCCACTTCACACACATCTCTATCAATGCAATTGCTCACATTTCAACTCTGCTGTCAATTGTTTATTCAATAGTTAATTTATTTGCTTTTGAGATTAACATGCAAGTCATTCCCTAAATAAATTAAGCTTGAACCACAACGGACGGGTGCACGTTCAGATGCTGGGTGATGTTTATGTTTTGTCCTTCCAAGCCAGTGGTGTCACTGTGAAAGCAACCGCAGCGGCGTGTTTATAAACAGTGGGCGTTTTAAACAAACGAGTTTGTTCAGCACCCGGGCGTCTGTCTGTCTGTCTTCGTTCTGCTTTGTCCAAGCGCTCCCGTGAGTGCAGCTGCCTCCGCCCCACGACGGAGACGCTTTTGTCAAAACGACAATTTGCTATGGCAGCGGAAAGTGACCTCGCTCGTTCGCCTGTTTGGCGGCAATTCGGCCGGCACAGGGTCAGCGGAGGGGTGTCTCCTTACGAAAGGAGCCGTGAGCAGCCGAACGTAGCCCGTGCCATCCAAAAAAAAAACGCAAATAGGTCCCCCATTTATTTTGTTACCACGATTTCAGGTTTTGACACCGCATTATTCGGTAGCAACCCGTGGCACAATCCGAACACACGTCGCAGAACGATATGGTGAGAGACCGTCATTAGGTTTGTGTCTTCCCCCTTCCATTGCTCGCTCCCCAGCTGGAGGCGGAGAGGGCAGCGCGATCCACATGGCGGGCGGAGGAGGCCGCACCCGGCACCGCGAGGGACACGGACGGGGGCTGCTCGTGCCGTGGTGACGTCTCCCCGCCGCTGGGCCACGTTCTCCGAGACTCTTGTGGAGGTGACGCGTCTGACAGGTGCGCGGCGGCTCCCGTCGGCCACCTGTGCCAACCCTCCGCACCGGCTAGCCTCGGCCGTGAGGCCACGTCTCAGCGGGGCCTCGTGGATTCAAGTCTCGCTTACATTTCTATGGAGTTTTTTTTCCTCTTCGTTTTCCTCCAATGTTTTCCCGAGCCTGCCGTTCACTCGTGACGTGAGACATCGTGTCCATTTGGATCTCTCGCAGAATTTCTCAATAAATATATTCCAGGTCACTTGTAGAATGGTGTCGGTCATGTGACTAGTAGCCAGATCCATAGTCAGAGATATCCTGGATGCAGAATGTCAGTCATGGAAATATTTACCGGGTCGCTGACCTAGACTGACCTGGCTAGGATTAATCCTCCTTCTTAGAGAATGGCCCACAAAAGCATATATCACAGAGCTACCTCTCAGGACTCTTCAAATGACTTCTGGACCACACAGGAGCATTGGTATCTGGTTATTGTTTGGATTTTGTTTTTTTAGCCATGGGCAGCAACTGCAGAAGCCGTAGAAAACCCATGCAGAATAGGAGGTGAACATACAAACTCCACGCAGATATGCACTCGAGTCGGGAACCGCACCCAGGCTTCTTGCCGTATCGCCCTGCCGCCAAATGTAATTGGACTAGAATTGAACTCGTGATATAGCGGCTTGAGAATCGGTGAGGTTTTCCTGTCTAAATAATGGGCATGACACCAGCACCGGATTGAGACGCCCTAATGAGCCCCCATTTAGCTCGGTAGCCCCTATGGGCGGTTGCACCTGACGCTGCACGATTCATTACAGGCGCCACAATCCCCGGAGTGACAGACCACACCGTTGCCATGGCTTCGGTCATGGCAACGATGCGGTAAATTGTATTCTCATGCCCACGGATACAACATGCATCCTATCGTCCGTATAGTAATGTACTAACATTTTATGCATATGTATGTATGTATGTAAGTTGAACTTTTTTTCTCACCGTACGTAGCCATACCGTGCTAATCGGAGGTGCGATGTATGTAAATGTTACTTTTATGCTTAGGGTACGAACGAGAAAGAACAAACATAATATTAATAATAATTTACTTATGTATCTAGGAGAGCCACATTGAGTTGTAGGATTCACTTTCAGAAGGGTCCTAATATTGGGTTTTTTACTTCAAGGTGTTTTCAGCCAATTAATGATAATAAAACCCACGCATGCGAGGGAGCAACACTCTATCCCCGTACAGATGGAAACAGTTGGCCATTAGGCCGCACTTTTCTGTACCGGCGAGCCAGGGTATGGCTCCTCCTTGACGCCTACGGAAAAGGGAGTTTCACAACATCTGTGTGCGATCCACCAGCCCTCGCTTCCACGGCGAGGGTTGGTAAAACAGAATCGCTTCCGGAATCAAGCGATAACCCCGAATCGTGACGATTGAATCGTGGAGGGGTGGGGGGAGCCCTGGGGAGAGGTCGGGGGTGAGGGGGCGAATGGAAGCATGGCTACCTCCATCGCTTTGTAACAGAACAACATGAAATACTTTGTTTATTTACTGTGTTTATTTTACCAGGTAAGGCCCACTGAGCTATCTAGCTCTTTTACAGAAGCGACCTGGCTGTCACACACGATAGCCAAATTAATTGGCATATCATGTGGACATTTCTAACAGCCAAATACTCTAAACGCACGTGACCACAGGGAGAACATGCAGACTCCAAATATACAGCAGGCGTCAAGGATGATATGGAACCCATGACCTCCTGCATACCAGGCGAGGTAGTTAACATCTCTGAGCTGATGCTTCTCGTGATCTCACTTACGAGAGCATTAGACAGAAAGACCTCCAATTAGCATGGTTGGCTATGTACGATGTAAAAGAAGTTCAATATTCACACAGGACTGATTAATTGCAAAAACACGTTAATTTTATTGTGCAGTGGCTCAGATACCATAAGATTTGAATGAACAAAATTCGTATAATTATTTAAGCATGTATGTTGAACTTCTTTCACGCCGTACGTAGCCCACCGTGATAATCAGAGGTGCTGGGCTCATCACCCCATTGTCAAATCTACTGCTGGTTGAGGGCCTCCCCATGCCATTCAGGTCGTGTGAGTTTTTTTATCCATACCGCACTGAGCTGGTCAGTGAGGGTTGGCTCCACAAACCGTAACACCTGTCATACGCGGTGGTCGCCCATCCGAAAGACTGTCCAGGTTCAAACACGTGTTCAGGGATTCTTGAATCTCCCCGGTCTGACCTCTGACCCGGTCCCCCCCCTCCCCCTTGACCTACGTGTCTGAGGGCAGCAGCACGGGGCGGCAGCTCCTCAAGGCTCGAGGCTCGGTGCTGAGCCGCCTCGAGGAGGCCGAGGAGGGCAGCAGGGAGGTGTGCCGCCACGCGGCCGCTCTCCGGGACGCCATCCATGACATCACGCACGTGCGTACAGGCCGGCACACGCACGTGCGCGCGTGCTCGTCCCGTTCGGCCCGCGGATTGGGCGAAAGGGTGGTGGCAAAGCAGTGCTAATACCTCGCGCCTCGCAGTAACAAGGGCTTGAGTTCGATCCCGGACTCGGGTGCCTTTCTGTTATCCGGTTTCCTTCCATCACCTGCATTCGCATTATTTCATGAGTTTAGAAATCTGCAAGTTGTTGGCGGGAGTAGAGACCAGGGTAGCTCGAAATTGTATCACAGTATTTTCAATTATTTGTGTGCCTGTAGATTTATACTATTGTGGTTTTACTCATTTATGCATTTATTAAATTATCCGTTTATTTAACCCATTGGATGAAGGCCTCCTTTATGCCGTGTCAATCGTGGGGATTGTTCGACCTTCACCCCGCTGGTCAGTGCGGGTTGGTGAAGACGGAGCCGAGGGCTGGTTCAGATGTCACTCGCCACCGACGTTATCCAGGGCCTGGAATCGAACTCGGGCTCGGGTAGCCGGGTTCATTGCGCCGTGCGCTAATCGCTGCTCCACTGCTACACCCCTTCAAACGTTTATTACCCAGAGATTCGCAAGCTTCACTAACGACCGCGGTGTCGTGTCACACGCGTAATTAGCGGGCGAGTCCGCGGGGGTGCTGATTAAACCGTTGCTACTGGAGCGTCCACCTGGCAACGTCAACACTCCTAAATCACCTTTTAGTTTACCGGCCTCTGTATGTATGTCTGTTTAATTTATTTCGTACCGCACGTAGCCAACCGTACTTAATCGCGCGGATAGCGAATCCAACTCGGGTAACCGGGATCGTATAGCAGTGGGCGTACCACTGCGCCACCGCCTCGCCCAAAACTGCTAGACAAGGCACTGTCTGACGCGCCGCTGAGCGGTTCGTTTATAAATCCACTTCATTGATCTTCATCGTCGAGCACGGTGACTGACGGGAACGTTTGCGGATTCGGCGAACCCTTTGTGGCACTGTTTTTTTTATTACTTACACCCCCCCTCCCCTCCCCGTGTGTCGGCAGGGAGGTGACTTGACTTTGGCAGAGGCGGCCAGGATGGAGGTCCTTCTGTGCAGTCTGTTGAGCGTGGAGGGCGCCTTTGGGGCCCTCTGCCCGCTGGCGCGCAAGCAGCAGGCCCGAGAGGTTCGTTCCACTCGCAAGGCCGCGGTTTTTGTTTTCCCGCGAGACATGCACAAACAGACTTTCATCCAGCGGTGGATTTACAAGGTGGTGGGATGATTATATTTGCAGCCCTTTGTCCATTTCGCTGGACGATGAAGGGCCCTCCCCTGTGTCCTATCGTGGAGCTTTGTTTGGGCAGACTTCACCGCATTGCTCAGTACCGGTTCGTGGAAGTTGGAGCCCAGGGCCGGTTCAGATACCACTCGCCACCGACGGTGTACCATGGTCTGGAATTGAACTCGGGTGGTCACGGCCAGAGCACAGTGTCAGCGACACGCTGTGCCACCGCTCCAATCCCTGCACTCTGCAATTTTCTTTTCACACCAAACTTGTTTCTAACCTAGACTCGCCCTCTAAAAACGAGGCTTGTAATCGTTAATGCCCTCTCGCCAGATAATCAATAGCCACTTCACTTTCTGATTGTTATGGATATTGTGAAATTAGTCGGTAGCTTTTCCACATATGCATATATGTATGTTGAACTTCTTTCGCACCGTACACAGCCATTCCTACTTATCGGAGGTGCGGGGGAAGGACAACAAACTAAACACAAAAAGCAGTTCTAAGTAGGTGAGTTTTCAATGTAGATGATTTAAAAGTGCATAGCTCCAGTGGCTTCCTAATATCGGAAGGATGAGCATTCCAGATGGCCACAGAAGCGCATCTGAAAGCGCGCAATGTAGTGAACTTAAATATAACATCATGGAAATCATAGCAGTCCATCAGTTGACATGATAAACTGTTAAAGTTAAAGACTAAAACTGTGCCTCGGAATATACCATTATGAATAGGTATTATGATTCTTAAACATCTGAAAGTGCATGATGCAGTGACTGTCTTTGTTCGATGGCTCGCCAAAGCCACCGCTGCGAAGATGACCGGAGTTTGCGTGACGGTCTATGCTCCTTGAGATCACGTAGGTTGACGACGATGAGACGAAGTCTGTGGTTTAACGTTCGTGCACTGATCCCATCTCTCCTGGCCTGTCTGCCACCTTGCCTCCCGACACTGCCCCTACTGCCGCTCGCCGCTCCCCCCACGCAGAAGGAAAAGTTGTGCCTGCGGGACGAGGAGACACTGCTGCTGAAGAAATTCACGCAGTCGCAACTCGACAACGAGGTGACGTCGGAACCGTTTCCATCTAAACTGAGGCCCGCTGCGTGATATACACAATACCCGCACCTCCGGTTAGCATGGTTGGCTACATACAATGCGAAATAAGTTTATCACGTTGGCTTTCGCGACCAATATCATCCATGATAGAGGTTTTTGGGTTAGATTGCGTTCTAACCCAAAACCTCTATTATGGGTGCGAAATAAGTTCGACATAAGTAGAAATACCCGCACCTCTGATTAGCATGGTTGGCTACATACGGTGCAAAATAAGTTCAACATACACACCTACCGCGCGCCCTCACAGTAATAACTGGAACGAATATGCCGGGGGAGGGGGCGTGTGACGTGCCGTCACGCGCCCAGCACAGTCCGAGTTTAGCGCCGTACAGCGACTGCTGTCGCGCCGGGTTGTGCGTCTCAGAATTGCGACCTCGCTCGTTTGCCTGTTCACCGGAAATTCTGCCGGTGCACAGTGAGCGGGGGGGGGGGGTGTCTCCTTACGAAATGAGCTGTGAGCAGCCGAACGGAGCCCGTGCCATCCAAACAAAACGCAAATAGGTCCCCCATTTATTTTGTTGCACGACGACGAGAGAATGACTTTGCGAGTGCTCGAGGTTGTTGCGCGTTCGGGGTATGACCGCGCGTTGGATGGCAGCGACCCGAGGCGCGATCCGAACCCGCGTCGCAGTGGTGCTAATTACCGCTAATGAACATTGCATTGAATATTCTTAGACTATGGAAAGCAAAATGAAATGCATTACGAGCTGTAAACGGCTAACTCTGGATTCTGGCTTCCCTGTGTCTCTGGCTTGGAGCGGTTTTACTGTGCTGGGGACATTGAATTAAGTGTCACCATTAACGACTTTAATTTTTTTTTAAGAAACTCCCTTCCTGTTAGTTTGATTTCACGACTCGCAGGATTGGGGTCATAGCCCGGACTTGACTTGTCACATGTCGTCTGTTTGCTTTGGGAGCAGAGGCTGTCGCAGCTTCTCCAGGAAAAACAAGCGGAGGTGCAGCACGTGACCACGCAGCTGGAGATGCAGAAGGTGAGGCTCCCCGAGGGGTCTCCCCTGGGCCCTGTCCCCTCGACCCCCATCCTCCTCCCACGCTCTTTGGGTTCCTTAACCACAGCTCCATTGTCTCTCCCTGTGGCGTTAGCCGCCTGTCTCCTCATCCTCCTCGTCCATGCCCTGCGTGCCTCTCTGTCGTCCAGTTCAACGACCTTACCCGCCCCGTCTGCTGATTCTCACCCTCCCTGTTTCCTTATCCTACTTTCCTACTGTCCTCCCCTTCCCAGTCCTCCCCATCCATCCTTCCTGTCTCTCCTGTCTCCCCATCCACCCCTCTCCTTTCCTCCTGTCCTACTCATCTCCCCAACGTCTCAATCTCACCTGTCCCCCATGTCCCTGTTTCTCCGTGCACCCGTGTCCACATTATCCTCTGTTCCTGTACCCCTCCCTCTCCATCCCCCCCGACCCTCGCCCGTCTGCATGTCTCCCCGTCTCCATTGTCCCCCCCCCCCCTTGCAGGACGGAGTGCGCGTGACCGCGTGGGAGTCGCGGGAGCTGGAGGGCGAGCGCGCTCGTCTCCAGCGGCAGCTGAGAAGCCGCGCGGCCGACGGGGACCGCATGGCGGTGCGCCTCGCCGTGAGTTGTCCCGCCCACTCGCTCGCCCCACCTGCCCGCCCACTCGCTCGCCCACTTACTCACCCGCTCGCTCCGCCTGCCCGCTCGCCCGCCCGCTCGCTCGGACGCAACTAAACAGCCGCGCCGCCGGGAGGATGGTCCGTCCATGAGCCAGAGCTATATTTGGTAGCGCTAGAAATAAATGAGAAATATTTTTATTGTTACATTACAGAGATGGAGAATGATTGAGAGGCGCAGGAAACCACAGAGCAGCGTCAAGGAAGCCAGAACCGGCGCCAGCGATCGCCCAAGCTCTGTGGTCCTATATTAGGCTACTTGGCCAACTCCAACATTAGGGGTACCATGCAAAGGCTCGGTTGCACCCTCATCCGTTTTCACCGACCCTCGACCCCCCCCCCCCCCCCCCCCCCCCATGCGCCACCAGGTTCTGCAGAAGTCCGTGTCGCGGCAGCGTGCCGAGGCGGGGCGCCTGCGGCGCGAGGTGGCGACGCGTGCCCGCGAGAGGGAGCCGCTCAAGGCAGCCGCGCGCTCCTACAAGCGGCGAGCGGAGCGCGGGGAACGCGACGCGCGGCAGCTGGGGACGCGGATACGGGAGACGGTACGCGCTCACTCGGGGGGGCGCCGGGGCACGTCGACACTCGCGGGACACGGGAACCGCTGGCGCTGACCGACCCGCGCGCGCGGCACGGCCGCGTTGGGGGGCGAACGTGGGATGAGCAGAAGTGATGGGGCCTGGTTACCCGGGCGGTGGTGGGAATGCACGTGGCGTGTATTAATCCGACGCTGTGAAAGGCAACGAGGGTTTGTGGATCACCGCACAAATGTTGTGAAACTTCCTTCCCGTGGGCGTGAAGGTGCCATACCCTGGCTCGCCAGGAGAAGGCAAGTACAGCACTAATGTGGACTCCACCTCTTCCGTCCGTATGGGATAGAGTGTTTCCCCCTCGCACGGGTGGGTTTCTGCAGCTGCTCCGGTTTCCTCCCATATGTATACACTCATTCATTGGTCGATAATACCTTAACATTTATATTCCTTGGTTCTTTCGGTAAAGTCACGTCAATAGAAAAAATTAAGTGAATAAAAAAATATCACGACAGTTTCGATCGCAACACAAGCGGTCGTCATTAGGAAAAGGGGTTAGCCTCTAAAGGCAAACTGTTTATAGGTTTGGAGATGGGCGTAGCCCACGTGTGTCAGCAGCAGCATGGGCGGGGCAGCAATGCCAATGCAGCAGCAATGCCAATGCAGCAGCAATGCCAAAAAATGACTGCACCCCGCTCCACCCACCACACTGCTGACGGTGGAGGTTGACTGACGAGAAAACACAAGTCAAGTCATGACCCAAAGTGGTTGATGACATCGTTCCAATGATTGCTGAGTCTATAACCTTCTTTTCGGTTAAAATTGTGTCTATATATGGATGGCTTCATGAACGAATCTTTGTTGATGGACAGTAGGCTTGCAAAGTACCATCGTCTTGGAGAAATTAATTTCGCGTGAGCCAGCCGCATTAAAATAATGCTCAGCCATGGCAGAAGAATTGGTCCTGCCGTGTTTCAAATCTGCCTTATATTCACGAACACGGTCCAGGGTAGGGTAGAAAGGAATAAATACGATTTTTTTCAATCAGCTTTTGAAGTAACCAATTAAGCCTTTCCCATTCCGATGACGTATACGTCACTACAGTTCTCTGCGGCGAATACAGTGGCTTTAAAAACAACGGCGCTACGCCTCTCAATAAACTAACCGCTTGCACATTCAGAGATTCAGTGGTGAACGGGACACCCACCCTGCAACTTGCAGACGTCTCGGAACGAGAAAGGGTTAATATAATTATAGTGGAGTTCGTGGGCATGACTGACAGGACACGTCGCCAGCTAACGATGGCGTGGCAGCCAAGTGCAACCCTTAAACACGGCCCAGGGAAGTGGATACCACAGAACTCCCTCTGAGGTCCCTTCAGGTGACATCTGATCACACCGGAAGGGGGCAGCATTGTGCCACCTTCTCTGCCACCGATAGTAATGTCCATAGCATGGCAGACGAAGCAATATATTTAATTATCATCGCTGCCATTCGGCGAAATTAAGTGCAGAACCAAATTAAGTGCGGTGGTGATTTGTTTTGAGTAATCATTGGCGACCGGGCTGAGAACATCAGCTCGCCACACCTGAGAACCTGGTTTCATCACAGGGCAGTAGCGGAAATCCGCATTCAAAAACCCAGGATTTCAGCGGTGCTGGCTTATAACGGTAAATATCTAAATTTAAAACTAATTTCTTTTAAAACTGCTTTCTGCGATAAATTTTTGTCCTTACCCCCACACCGCCGATTCGCAGAGTTGACTACGTACGGTGCGAAAGAAATCACTTCAAAATTATACAAATATAACGAAACTATTTTTACCAGGTAAGGCCCACGGAGCTCTAAATGTGGAGGGAAAAAGCAGAGGACCCAGAGAAAAATCCACGCGACCACGGGGAGAACATGCCAACTCCAAATATACAGGCGTCATCAGGGTCGAACTCGCGACGTCCTGTATACCAGGCGAGATAGTTAACTCATCACACACGAGCCACCTGGGTGCCGTCGGGATGATTGAAGCGTTTCGTGACACGTCGTTGTTGTTGTTTCTGCCGCCAGGAGGAGCGCTTGGTGGAGGCGTCGTCCGCGATGGGGAGCTGGCGCCGCCGGCACGACGAGGCGAAGCGGGAGAAGGCGGCGCTCGCGGCTCGCGCGGAGCTCCTCACCGAGTGCGTAGCCAGGGGACGTGGGGGGCATTGTAAACACGGTGCTGGGCAACGATAGATATCAATGCACCTGGCCTCTACTGCCCACATTGTACGGTTAATCACCCATCGGAGCACCAAACCAGGCTCGGGGCTGCTTGGACTGCGATAACCGACAAGATCGTGACCCGCTACCTCACTGGTCATTTCCCCAGCCCCTCCACACTTCGGGCCATTCCAGGGTTCACGGTCGGCAGGGACCAATCCCACGACGCCTCACGCCCCCGTGGTGCCAACGCACGCGGACCCCCCCTGACCTCCGTTCCTGAGCCTCCGTAGCTCAGCATGCCCCCTCTCTCGTCTCCCTCCCTCCCACGTGTTTTCTGAAGACGGATCGGGAGGCTGCAGGACGACGTGCGGGCTCTGGAGGAGTCTCCCTCGGGGCGGCAGGAGTTGGCGGCGCTGGCGGCCGAGCTGGCGCAGTTACACTCGGACAACGAGGCGCTGCAGGTGGCCGCCGCTGCTGTCGCGATGTCACAGTCGTGGGGGGCGGTGGGGAGGAGGGGGGATGATGTCACCGCCGAGTCTCGGTGCTTAGGGCAGGGGTGTGGAACCTATGGCCCATGGGTCAGACATGTCCCGTCACTTCATGCACTTTCAAATCTAGATTGAAAACTCGCTTCTTTAGAACGCTCGTTTGTGTTTAGTTGTCATTCCCCCGCACCTCCGATTAGCACAGTTGGCTACGTACGGTGCGAAAGTAGTTCAAAGCACATTCATACATGCAGGAAGGGATGCACACAGAGTCAAACATGGATCTGTAAAAATCAAGAAGAACTCCACATTCTCTCCTGGCAGTACCCCTGACTCAGGGTTCTCATACACCACCCCCGCCCTGGCTTTGGACGTCATGCTCGGCCAAGGAGCTCCGCCATCAACATTTAACTCGCACGCCTCAATCGCAGCCACGTGCACGGATCATCCGTTTGTCGCATCATTGCCCACCGTGCTGGGTGGTCGTTGACTTTCGTGGGCCGGTTTGCCACCCGCTACTTCGTCTGGCATGGCCCGTGGCCACCTGAAGCCGACTGCTTCCAAACGGCCTTCAGGACGGGCTTCACTGTGAGCACCGAAGCCGCACTAATCGGGTCCTGCAGGGGAGAATCTTTCGACCTGGCAAGGGCACTCTTCCTCGTTTCCGCTGCCACGCTCACGTCACTTCTGTCACGGCGAGGTTGCCTCTCGCCGTGACAGAGGAGGCGACTTTCGAGGAACTGCCAACAGAATCTAAAGTACAGCGATCTTCCCGAGTCAACGTACACTTACAAGGAATGTATTTTATTTAACATCGGTTTATGTTTCGTGGAAAACGTTTAGTATATCCATACGACACGGTTGCTTTTTGCTCTGATTTCTCTTCGCTTCATCGCTGTAACTTTATTAAATTTGTTTTGCGTTCGTCATTTCGGTGACCCCAGGGCTCACTGTTTGTAAATGAGACTCATGCTGGTCTGCGCGAGTCCCCACCTGATTTTAAACAAAATCGACTCAGATTGCCCCCAGAGCCTCCGCTGACACGTGCGATGGACGCCGCCACTTTAACACACAGTAGTAGTTGTAGGCGTTCGCGACAAATAATTAACCGTGATAAAGGGAGAGGGGGTATTTGGTTAGATTGCGTAAATATAAATGTGTCGTTATAAACCCGCCACTACCCGATGTAGCCATTTAGTGAGGTTTGTCACGTAAAAAAAATGCGCCAATTCGTCACCAGTTCAGCAACACCCGGTGAGGTTTGTGACGTGGCCGTCTGGCGCAGGTGTCGCTGCGAGAGACGGAACGGAGGGAGAGTCGGCGGCAGGAGGAGGTGGAGGCACTGAAGAGCGCCCTGCGCCAGCAAGGCGACTCTGCCAGCCAGCTCAAGCAGCAGGTCGCGCGACTCCACGAATCGCAATTGATGACGACGACGTTGACGATGTTGATGGCAATAAAGTAGCAATGAATCGACCAAAACAACAAATGAACGCCCGTGGCTGAATCTAAACAAATTTATTTGACCAGGTAAGGCCGACTGAGCTATACGGCTCTTTTTCAGAAGCTACCGAGCCACAAATTGGGTCATCGTGTGGAAATTTATATCAGCCAAATACTCTAAACACGTGTTTCTAAATGTGGAGGAAAAACGGGAGGACCTCGAGAAATATCCACGTGACCACGGGGAGAGAGACACGCAAACTCCAAATATACAGCAGCAGGCGTCAGGGTCGGGATCGACCTCCTGTATACCAGGCGAGGGGGTAAACATCTCGTCACCGGCAATGCGCCCGGTCTCATCAGATCTCGGAAGCTAAGCAGGTTTGAGCTTGGATCGCGCTTGAATCGGTGGCCACCGTGGGCACTGGACAGGCTCTTGTAGTCGATGTGAACAGCAGAGAGCGGTGCAGAGAAATCCATTGCTTTGTGCTTCTCGCACCCTTCACCAACCCATATTGACCAGCGTAGTGAAGTATGGCCAAATGTCTATTGCAGCATGCAAGGCACTGGGAGGCACTCATCCAGCAGCGGATTTACATGTTACGTGTACAATAAAATAATTGCAACCAAAATAAAATGCAACAAATAAATGTTCGTGTTAATATGCCTTCAAATGTACGAGTAAATATACCTGGGGACCCTCCTGTTGATGTTATTACTTTATCAAATTACTATTCGCACGGCCAATTGCTGGGCGGGGTAAAAGTATGAACACAATGGGGTTTTATTTCGATTTAAAGCTTTCGTGACTGCAGGGATTCATCTTCTTGGTTCTTTCGGTAAAGTCACGTAGAAGGGAAGTAATAAAATAATAAAAATAAAACATAATAAAACAATTCTCACGACGTTTCGGCCACAACGCAAGCAGCTGTCCTCAGGTGAAAACCAGGTCCGTCGAGGCGACAGAGTCTGAATGAAACAGCACACGAGCTTGGAGCATATATATAAGCTGGGCGCATTGACAAAGGAATTTGCATATCAAAAGGAATTTAGCATATTTATGGGAAATGCAGGAATGTGATTAGTACTGCATATGCATGTGCATTATGCAGGATTAACAACATCAAAGGGAGCTGCAGTTACTGCTGCTGCTGCAGTTGCTGCTGCTGCTGCTGCAGTTGCTGCTGCTGCAGTTGCTGCTGCTGCTGCTGCAGTTGCTGCTGCTGCTGCAGTTGCTGCTGCTGCTGCACTTGCTGCTGCTGCTGCTGCACTTGCTGCTGCTGCTGCAGTTGCTGCCTTATCCATTTTAATATAACACTATGTATTATTCTACCCACCCTAATGTGTATCACACTGCTATATGTTTACTATACAATTACGACACCATACATTACTCTGCACACTGCACCATGCCAGTGAGTGGAACGCGGTCTGAAAGTCACCGTAAACGTGAACACAATCAGTTAAGATCCGAAATGGTTTATTACGTCCTTCCAATGATTGCTAAGCCAGAATCCATCTTCTCGGTTGAAATTGTCTCTGTGTTTGTATATGTATATGTGGATCGCCTCATGAACGAATCTCTCATGATAGCCAGATGGCTTGCAGAGAACCTCTGTCTTGGAGAAGTCAATGTCATGTGAGCCCACTGAATTGTAACAGTGATCTGCCACGGCTGAGGTGTTTGTCCTACCGTGTTTCAGGTCTGCCTTATGTTCACGGATGCGGTCCGAGACATGTCGTTTGGTTTCTCCAATGTAACTGCTACCACAGAGGCAACTTAGTTTGTAGACGCCAGGGGACTGTATGTCTGGAACCACATCTTTTACAGACGGGACCAGATCACGGATTTTATGTACTGTGTTGAATCGGACCTGGATCTTGTGTTTAATCAGGATTTTGGAGATCTTTTTTGTGACCCCAGCAATGTAGGGTAAGGTGATGGTCTTGAAAGGCTCCTCAACAGGATCCTTCTTGATGGTTGGAGTGATGGCTTTGCGGATTGTGTAGTCGGAGTAACCATTAGCCTTAAGAGCTTGGCGTACGTGTTTGAGTTCACTGGAAATGTGTTCATGGTCGGAGATGCATTGGGCTCTATGATATAGAGTCTTGATGAGGGAATTCTTCTGGGATGGATGGTGGTGGGAATCCGGTTTTAGATAAGCATCCGTGTGGGTGGCTTTCCTGTAGACAGAGTGGCTCATTGAACCATCAGGTCTCCTTTTGATTAGGACATCCAAAAAGGGTAGCTTGCCATCATCATTTCTGCTTCAACCGCATTAATTGATCAGACCAAACAGTTCTCGTTGAAACCTTCTGCAGCCAGGCCACCAAGATTGTACGGCTTGCCAAAGATACATAAAGAAGATACACCTCTTCGTCCCATTGTCTCTACTATCAACTCCCCCACTTACAAACTGGCTCGTTTTTTGTCCGAAATCCTACGGCCTTTCACTGGAAAAACCACCTCTGCAGTACTAAACTCTACTGACCTGGTATCGACAATCAAGGGGATTGCCCTGTCCCCAGACGACCTGCTTGTCAGTTTTGATGTGGTTTCCTTGTTCACCAAGGTGCCTGTGCCTGACACCATCGCAATCATTGAAGACTTGGTTCATCAAGGACTGAATGCTGGGGTATCCCCCCTGGTGAGACACTGCTTAACCAATACATACTTCACCTGGAATGGAACCTTCTACAAGCAAATTGAGGGCACCCCAATGGGCTCCCCCCTATCTCCGGTTGTAGCCAACATCTTCATGGAGAAATTTGAGACGGACGCCATCCAGACTGCCACTCTACGCCCGACCTTATGGAAGAGGTACGTAGACGACACTTTTGTCATCTGGCCACATGGCCGGCCTGCTCTAGACCAATTTCTCGACCACATCAATTCCATACACCCAGCCATCAGATTCACCATGGAAGTCGAAAATGATGGCAAGCTACCCTTTTTGGATGTCCTAATAAAAAGGAGACCTGATGGTTCAATGAGCCACTCTGTCTACAGGAAAGCCACCCACACGGATGCTTATCTAAAACCGGATTCCCACCACCATCCATCCCAGAAGAATTCCCTCATCAAGACTCTATATCATAGAGCCCAATGCATCTCCGACCATGAACACATTTCCAGTGAACTCAAACACGTACGCCAAGCTCTTAAGGCTAATGGTTACTCCGACTACACAATCCGCAAAGCCATCACTCCAACCATCAAGAAGGATCCTGTTGAGGAGCCTTTCAAGACCATCACCTTACCCTACATTGCTGGGGTCACAAAAAAGATCTCCAAAATCCTGATTAAACACAAGATCCAGGTCCGATTCAACACAGTACATAAAATCCGTGATCTGGTCCCGTCTGTAAAAGATGTGGTTCCAGACATACAGTCCCCTGGCGTCTACAAACTAAGTTGCCTCTGTGGTAGCAGTTACATTGGAGAAACCAAACGACATGTCTCGGACCGCATCCGTGAACATAAGGCAGACCTGAAACACGGTAGGACAAACACCTCAGCCGTGGCAGATCACTGTTACAATTCAGTGGGCTCACATGACATTGACTTCTCCAAGACAGAGGTTCTCTGCAAGCCATCTGGCTATCATGAGAGATTCGTTCATGAGGCGATCCACATATACAAACACAGAGACAATTTCAACCGAGAAGATGGATTCTGGCTTAGCAATCATTGGAAGGACGTAATAAACCATTTCGGATCTTAACTGATTGTGTTCACGTTTACGGTGACTTTCAGACCGCGTTCCACTCACTGGCATGGTGCAGTGTGCAGAGTAATGTATGGTGTCGTAATTGTATAGTAAACATATAGCAGTGTGATACACATTAGGGTGGGTAGAATAATACATAGTGTTATATTAAAATGGATAAGGCAGCAACTGCAGCAGCAGCAAGTGCAGCAGCAGCAGCAGCAACTGCAGCAGCAGCAGCAACTGCAGCAGCAGCAACTGCAGCAGCAGCAACTGCAGCAGCAGCAGCAACTGCAGCAGCAGCAGCAACTGCAGCAGCAGCAGCAACTGCAGCAGCAGCAGCAACTGCAGCTCCCTTTGATGTTGTTAATCCTGCATAATGCACATGCATATGCAGTACTAATCACATTCCTGCATTTCCCATAAATATGCTAAATTCCTTTTGATATGCAAATTCCTTTGTCAATGCGCCCAGCTTATATATATGCTCCAAGCTCGTGTGCTGTTTCATTCAGACTCTGTCGCCTCGACGGACCTGGTTTTCACCTGAGGACGGCTGCTTGCGTTGTGGCCGAAACGTCGTGAGAATTGTTTTATTATGTTTTATTTTTATTATTTTATTACTTCCCTTCTACGTGACTTTACCGAAAGAACCAAGAAAAAAAACAATGGGGTTTTATTTCTTTTGAGGATAATCGGGCAACGTGATTGATGCCATTCATTGCTTGCCGAGTCTCGTTAAGGGAGAGAGGAAACGGTGATGCATTTGCAATGTTTGGGGTTGTGATGGTGAATCTGTTTCAGGTGGACGCGGTTCGTGATGAGGCCGAGGTCGCCCGTGCCAAACTGGAGTCTCTGGAGGCTGAAAATCATCGGCTGCAGCAGCAGCAGCAGCTCACGGAAGCAGTGGAGGTGCCAGCTTTGCCCTTGCTCATCAGCACCAACCAGCCACTCCAATATCGACAGTCGTAGTTAATAGCCCCGAGTGATGGCACGTGCCTGTAACACAGCCCTTTGTAGGCAAGGGTTGGGGGATCGCATCGCGTGGTGCATTCCCCAATCTGCTACGAGGTGGACAGGCAGGACCGCACAGATGGGTTCGATCTTTGAATGCTTTCTCCCTCGTACGCACACGGGTCTTTGTCGCGCGCAAAACGTAGCGTCGATAACGAATCGGGGCCAACCATTTCGACGCAGGACCCTCCTGGAACGATGCCTTGAGACTCGCGAAAAGCGTTGCAACCGCGGCGTGGGTTTCCCCCCCGCCCCCACCGATTGAGTTTTGGGGTTGTGCCGACGCGTCGTTTGTAACCGCGTACGACGTTTCGCTCCGCGTAGCTGGGCGGAGCGACTTCACTCGGGTCCAGAGTAGTCAAGAAGCTCCCCGGCAAGTGGAGCAAAACAGCCGCTGCGTCTATCCTCACCGAGCACCGGGTGGACAAACGGGCTGCTGGTGATGCCGCTGTTGAGGCCGATGGCGCCGGTGCCATTTTAATGAACCTCTCGCGCTGGTCCTCCGAGCCACGACCGCCTGCATTAGTGACTCACTCTCATTATTGTTTGTCGTTGTCACTGACCTAGGAAAGTCTCTGAGTTTAAAAACTTTTTTTTCTCACGGGGGTTCTGCCAAGTTTTTTTGCAGTCGAGGGCGACGTTGCTACATTGATTCCCAATTTAATAATTTACGGGTAATTCTAGTTTTATTTAATTTTTTACCTACGTGACTTTACCGAAAAAAGCAACGAGTATAATTTACGGGTAATCTTTCACAATCGGGATGTTTTGCCAATACAAGTTACATTCTACGTTGTTTTTTTCGTCCACTGTGGGAGAAAACCCACGTGGATCAGAAGAACAAAATCCACGCAGAGAGGCACCCGAGTCGGAAATTGAACCCCCAGGCCCTTCTTACCGTGAGGCAGATGGCGCCGCAAGAAGGGGCGTCACAGGGCGGGGACGTTGCTGCCGGCGCCGCGAGGGTGCGCAGGCTGCGGGCCGAGGGGGAGCAGCTGCAGGGCCTCGCTGAGGAGCTGGGGAGGTGAGAGCCACGGGGTGGGGGGGGGGGGGGGTGGGGAGGTAGTTAACATCTTGTTACCGTGGCGGCGCTTTGTCAGCGCCGCCACGGTAACAAGATGTTAACTACCTCGCCTGGTATACAACGGGAGGGTCATGGGTCCGATCCCGACCCAGACGTCTCCTGTATATTTGGAGTTTGCGTGTTCTGTCTACCCGTGGTTACGTGGATTTTTGTCCGGGTCCTCCGGTTTTTCTCTTCACATTTAACATTGAAATGGTTTACAGTATTTGGCTGCTATACATTTCCACATGATAGGCCACTTCGTTCGGCTATCATTTGTGGCTGGGTCACTTTTGAAAAAGCAGCGATATACTGTAGCTCAGTGGGCCTGACCTGGTAAAATAAAATAGTTTAGTTCAATAGTTTGACTTTGTTCATCACCACTCACAGGCATATAATAAATTGTTAAGGCGACATGTAAATCGAGATTACTGTATTTTGCATTGTATCATCTCCAAGGTTCCAGTGACTTGCAGACAACAAGTTCAAAGCGAGCGCCCTCACCGTCATTCTCGTTATCGTCACCATCGCCGTGGTTCTTGTTGTCTCTTTAGGAAGCCGCTGGAGCTATTTTACTTTTGAATCAAGATTTTTTCATCTGATTTCTTTATAACCGATATTTGTGTGTTAGTTTGTTGTCCTTCCCCCGCACCTCCGATTAGTACGGTTTCGTTACATACGGTGCGAAAGAAGTTCAACAAACATCCACACGCACGCACGTGCGTTATCATCACCGCTGTGTCCGCTGTGTCGCCAGCGAGGCTCTGGAGGCGGAGCGCCACGTCTCAGCGCTGGCTCGCACGCTGGACGAGCGCACGGCGGCGCTGGCTCAGGAGGAGGCTCGGAGCCGCGAGGCCGAGGCTCGGCTCGGCAGCCTGCAGCGCCAGCTCCGCACGGCGCGCGAGCGAGCGGACGTGCAGGTGAGGGGGGGGGGCAGGTGAGGGGGGGGGCAGCCTCCACCGCTCGGCCTGTCGCCAATTGCCCTCTCGGCCTTTCAGAATTCGCTCCCTCCCTTCCCGAGTTGATCACTCGTCACCGTTCATCGGGCACACACCCATGTCGGTCTTGGGAACCCGTTGTCATCACTTGCAAGCTGCGTGGATTGAATCCTAGGTTCTATATTTCGTGTATATGTAATGCGGGCGTAAATGGGCGGGGCGGATATGACGATCCGAGAGGGAGGAGTCAGGGTGACGTGGGGGAGAAGTTATAGCGGGGAGACAGGAAGCTATCTGGGGTCAGTCGGGGGAGTGAAGGGTGGTGAACACGTTGGGTGGTCGCCGTGCCTCAGCCTGGTGGCTGAGGGGCTCATGACGGCGCCAGCCAGCGGGGTGGAAGAGAGAGTGGAGGATTGAGGTTGGAAATGGCGAGATAGCCATAGAGGCCACGAAGGGCTGACATTGGGAGGTGGCGAGATCGCCACGCACGGAGGAACAGGGAGCAGCGATGGAGCTGCTGGGGGAGCAGCCAGAGGGCTGTACCAAGAGAGCCTGCAGCGGAGCTGCAGGAGCGTGGAAGGCTACGGGAGCGAAGGCAGATGTGGGGCTGCCAGGGAGAGAGTCTCAGGAGGAGTGCCGTGTGGGAAGGAGAACGCGAACCCCAAATAAAGGACACGGAGTCAGCGAGAAGTGTCTGAGTCCTTTTATTACACTGGTGTCAGAAGTGAAACGGCATCTCAAAACACCTGAGAGAAAGAAGAAAAAAAAAAAAAATATTCCTGCTACATCATCCGACGACGACGACCTTCCTCAGACAGTGGACCTGCCTGCGATGGAAGAGGTGATCCGTTTTGGAACGAGTACGGGTCCGGGTGAGCAAGGTGTCGCCGCGTCGGTGGACCTGTCTGTGCCGGAGGACGCCAACTTACGATGGAGACAGATGGTGATGCAGATGGGGACCTTGAAAATCGTGCTGGCGCGACTGTGTGAGTTCACCACGCCGAGGACGACGTCGGGGAGGCCCGGTGGTGATCCGCAGGCCTCTGCCTTTCCTGCGCTGCCAGCGCCATTGCCACGTGGCACGAAGACGCCATCTTGGGCGTGGCAGGGGAGAAAAGGCGGGAAGCCGCCATCTTGTCTTCACCGCGGCGGGAGGACGCCGCCATCTTCAACATCGCGGCGGAGAGGCAGCCTTGCGCTGCCATCTGGAGGTGCCACGGGGTGAGCAGCCTGCTGTGAGCTGCTGTTTTTCGAGGGGGTGCTGCGAGGAGAAGACGCCGATGCTGCAGCTGCTGGGGCGGGAGCTTCCCGTCCTGGCTCGGGTGCGTGACAACGGAGCCGTCAAGTCGCCGAACGAGTTCTGCGAGGCGTCTCAAGTTGCCACCCTGCCGTCCTCTTCTTGCTGCAGCCCCGGGCGAGTCATAACGATACGCACCCGGCCTTAACACACACCTCACTCATCTTTCGAGGGCCGGGGGGCTATTTTGGGTTTCTCTTATGACTCGATTGTGCGGAGCGCGGTTCGGACTGTGTGTATGTGTGTGTAATAACGATGAACGCGCTATCTGCTTGTTGCTTGGTGTCAATAAGTGTGTGCGTGTGTTGAGAATGGACGGAGAGTCTGCTGTAGTTGCTGAGTGTCAAATTGTGTGTGTGGGCTGCTGCGTGGAGTTGTTATCTTGATGGTGAAGTTAATTATTAACTTGGGAGCGTCGGGTATCTTGCGCTGTATTATTTGTGGGCTACCTTGTGCGATGGGCTTAATTGGAAAAAAATATATATATTTTTTTGTGTATTGTGCTGCGAGGTGCTGTGTGCGATGTGATTGTTGCAAGAGAGAGAATAATTGTGTTGTTGCTGCAAAGTTACGACAGGATTAATGGTGTGTTGGTTGCCTGCAGATCTGCTTGCTATTGTGCTTAAATGTACGCGTGTGATCGCGATATGCTGATTGCATGTGCTGTTATACCGTTCTGTATGGTTATGGGGTGCGATGCAGTGGTTGACTATTGGAATTGAGATTGTTATTATATTGTGCGTACCTGTTGGAAATTGGTAACAAATTCGAGGGGGACCCTAAAATTCGGTTGTATTGGTGTTGTGCACACGAGATTTCGTGTATATTATGGGTAATTGCGCTTTTTGAGAGAGAGAGCGCGCTTTGAGGGTGCGTGATGACGCCGTTGTGGGTGTCTCAAAGGTTAATGCTAATGGGACCGTAAATTGGCGCCAAGTGGCGTCGCGTATTCGGTTGATCGCATGCAGCCACGAGTTGCTTGGCGAGTTGGGTTGTGTAACTAATGTGGTTGGTAAAATATTGGTTAAAAATTCCACGATATGACAGCTGTGCGCAGCAAGCTGGGGCTGTGCGTCTATCGTTGGTGGGGTTGTTATAACGTGACGGGGGATGCGTCTTGTGACCCCCAGCTAAGGGAAGCTGGGGTGCACGAATGGAGAAAACTGGCCACGTGTTCGCACGTTGGGCCGCCATTTTGCGCGCACGCGGGGTATGGCGACGATGCGCTTTGCGGAAAGGGCCGCCATTTTGAGTGCGCGCGAGATATTGCGCGAACGCGCTGGGCAAAGGGGGCCGCCATTTTGAGCGCGCGGGAAAAACCGGGGTGGGGCAAATATTCCATCTGTTATGCCTGCCATTGTTGATTGGGTGATGCACGAGTTGTGGTCACATCGGGCTATGGCTGATGGCTGACCTGACAGCCCGGAGGCGAAACCTCCGTGGTATGTCTTAAACTAATGGGCCATGTGCTCATATGGCTCGGGGAGTCATGGTTCAGTTGTGCGGTGGCAGACTGAACCTGGTGTGCCGGGGGCTCACGGGATCTGGGTTAGGGTGTTATTGTCTCTATAAGAGAACATTGCCCCGTGGGGGGAGTACAGGGGGTCTGGCATTGCCGGGGGATGAACCTTCCCTGGGCTATAAAGCATCGGACTATACGAGGCTGGTGTGTGTCCATCTCTGATGGGATAGTAAGGGAGGAGCGTGGCCGAGTTGCTGCTCATCCCCGAAATTGCACTAGCTGAGAGTATGGTCAGTGGATGTTGCTGTGGGTTGACGACCACGGTGGGGGTTAGGGCGAGTTAAACGTTACCGCTGGGGAGCGTGGCTCTCTCCACGCGAGGGTGTGTGATTAGGTGTTTTGTTGGGTTGCTGAGAGTGACCGTGGGTACATGCTGTGTACGTGCGATGTCTGTGCTGGTCCTCAAGGGAGGACTGCTGGTGGGCAAGAGCAGGAAATTTTGTTGTTGTTGTTGTTACGTGTAAATAATATTGTTGTTAAAATGTAAATACTGGGGCATCCATTGCGTTTATTTTGGGTATTTATGGGGAGTTTTTTTTAAGCGGGCCGGATTTACATCATCTCCACTACCCTGGGGCCGGGTGGCTGTCGTGTACGACATGCGGATGTGCGTTGTTGTGCTGTGCCTCAGGGGATTGGATTCTCCTTCTCGTCACAGATTCTTCAGCTCCCGTCGCACTGGGTGTTACCTGGTGTGCTAGCTGGATGAGGACTTGAAGGAGCAATTGAGCGCCGTTCGTCATTCTGCTCTACCACTTGCTCTTTGACGTTGGACTTGAGCCGAGCGGATGGAACTGCAACATGGACACGCACTAAAACATCACATTCTGGGTTGTGCGCGTTGGCCGTTCTTGCGTGTCAGTTGCCGTTGTTGTTCATTGTGCCATTCTTATTCTTGTTGTTGTTGTGCGGAGGACAGGCCGGTGTTCTGTTCCAGTTCCTGATACCTCCCCTTTCGTTGCTTGTGTTGTTGTTGTTATAATCTCCGTTGTGTCTGGGGGACTCCTGATTGTGATGCCTTCGCCCGCATTATTTTGTTCTGTTTCAGCCGAGGACGGCTGGGATTTTCTCTACGGGGGAGGGTAGTGTAATGCGGGCGTAAATGGGCGGGGCGGATATGACGATCCGAGAGGGAGGAGTCAGGGTGACGTGGGGGAGAAGTTATAGCGGGGAGACAGGAAGCTATCTGGGGTCAGTCGGGGGAGTGAAGGGTGGTGAACACGTTGGGTGGTCGCCGTGCCTCAGCCTGGTGGCTGAGGGGCTCATGACGGCGCCAGCCAGCGGGGTGGAAGAGAGAGTGGAGGATTGAGGTTGGAAATGGCGAGATAGCCATAGAGGCCACGAAGGGCTGACATTGGGAGGTGGCGAGATCGCCACGCACGGAGGAACAGGGAGCAGCGATGGAGCTGCTGGGGGAGCAGCCAGAGGGCTGTACCAAGAGAGCCTGCAGCGGAGCTGCAGGAGCGTGGAAGGCTACGGGAGCGAAGGCAGATGTGGGGCTGCCAGGGAGAGAGTCTCAGGAGGAGTGCCGTGTGGGAAGGAGAACGCGAACCCCAAATAAAGGACACGGAGTCAGCGAGAAGTGTCTGAGTCCTTTTATTACATATATATAACACTATCAGAGACATTAGCTGTTGACAAACAAACGAGTAGGCTGGGGTGGGGGACACGTCATCATGGCTTGCAGCAGGGATGAAGTGCGGTGGTCGAGACTAAGGATGGAGTTGGCAGCCAAACGCGCCCGAGAAGAGGTCGTCCCATTGAAGGCGGTGATGGAGAGGATGAGACCACCATCAGCTCTTGCGTGGTTGTCAAACAAAAACATCCAAGTGATGCTTCTACTGTTTTCTACCGTCTATGGGGAAACGTGGTCCGATTTACGATGGCGTTTCCAGCAACGCATCGTGTAGTAAGAGCGGCTACCCGCCTATACTTTATTTTCCATCTGTAATGTTGCTGACGCAGATCACCTTTGCAAATAAGACTATACCCTGGTCTCTGCAAGTTCTCCCCGAGGTTAAACAAAATAAACTTGACCTCGTCAGGTGACCCAGGCACGCGAGCAGGAGGCCCAAGCCGAGCGGACCGCTGAGGGCCACGTGTCCGAGCTGAGAGCCGAGCTGCGGAGAGCACAAACCCAACTCGACCGCCTGCAGCGCTCGGCCCAGCAGGTACCAAGCATTGACACCCACCACGATGGAGACGACGACGATGACGGAAGGAGGGAGAACGGAGTTTGCACTGCCGAGGTCCTCGGTTCGAACCCGGGCTTCGTCCACCTGCGACTAAGCCAGGTTCTCAAATGCAAGGGAGTCGATGGTCTCAGCCTGGTCACCAACAATTCCCGTGTAGCGTTCTGGCGTTCTCCAGGTGGCTGCTGGCTGATGACAGCGCTGGCTGATGGCAGCGCTTGCCCCAGTCTGGCAAGGGCTACTGGCTGCATGGGGGGGGGGATCTTTGTAGTCGTTTGGCCACAAGTCAGACCAGACCTGCGATTCCATCAAATGGGAGATGGAGTTGGTGAATTGTCTTGAAATAAATTCTTGGAAAATTCCCACCTAATTAGGTGGCCAGAAGACAGTATAGCAAGTAGCCTGTGAGCCAATCTGCATGGGAGTTGTTGTTGTCGTCCCTTTTTCCTAGCACATGCAAAATACTTAGCAACAATTTGCCAAAAAAGGTTAGGCGCTCACTCACAACCCTCGCCCCAACAATCTGTGAATTTATGTTGAACTTCTTTCGCACCGTATGTAGCCAACCGTGCTGACATGCAGGAGGACAACAAACTAAACGCAAAAACCAGTTCTAAAGAAAGGGGTTTTGAATATAGATGATTTAAAAGTGCATAGCTCTAGTGGCTTCCTGATTTCAGAAGGAAGAGCGTTCCAGACGGCTGCAGAAGCGGATCTGAAAGCGCGTGATGCGGTGACCGTTTTTGTTCGATGTGCCAGCCAAAAGCCGCTGCTGCTGCTGCGAGGATAGCCGGAGTTTGCGTGTTGATGATTTATGCTGCTTGACGAGACCAGCGTGGTATTGTGGGGGGAACTGTCTTGTTATCTTTGCGTGCGTGCGAGCTCAGGCGGAGCGCGATCGGGAGAGGGCGGTGGAGGAAGCAACGTCGCGGCTGAAGCGATCTCACGACGGGACGGGCTCCCTGCAGAACTACGTCAGCTTCCTGCGCGGCTCGTACGAGCGGGTGTTCGGAGGCAGCCTCGCCATGCCCGTGCCGCCACTCTCCCCCGTGTGACATCAAGGAAGAAGAAAATATCACGCATACGCACGGATTTTGTAATGCTTTCCAAGAGCGCCCGTTGGTCCTCGTAAGTATTTAAGTAGCGATACTTATCATCCGCTCCTGGATGATGTCACATGCAATTATGTCATTGCCTTGGCAGCCAAAAGACAATCCTCTTGGAATTGTTTTTTTTCCAGGTTATGGGGAAACCTTTTGATCAATTTGGCCGTTCTTCTCTTGGTAAGCTCCGAATAGCAACACAACTTTCATTCGGATAGCATCTTGACGGGGTTTATGTGGGCGCACCTCCCACCCGACCCTCTAGACAAACAGCAGACGGAGGGAATGCAAGAATGCTTTCAACCTCTGGGAAAGTGTTCAACAGAAAAAAGGTTGCGAAGTTGAATTGCGAGCCGAGAAATGTTCCTTGGTAACGCTGCCCCGCCGAGATGCTGAAAGACGTTCGTGCATGATTTCTGTCCACCCAGAACGAGGGGGTGGGGGGAGGTACATCGATGCAGCATAACACGCGGGGCCTCATACACCGGTCCTCATAGAACAGTCTAAAAATCCAAATTTGAACTGACGTTCGTCTTCCGACTGTTTCGACATCACGAGAACCGATTTTGACGCACCACCACCTACCCCCAAGATTTTCTGACTGGGCATGCGAATCACGGGAAAATAAATAATTGTTGCGGTGTACCGCCAGTACGTTCGAATGTGCAAACAAGATTTGGTCCCAACACTACCCATCAACTTCTGCACTAATTATTAACGTTATTTAAATACTTACGAAAACAAACCCATTAAATAATCCCTTCGCGTTTGCACGATTTTCCATAATTTGCTTCGGTTATTATTATTCACAACCCCCTCAAGTCGATTCACGACTGAAGGTGTCCTTAGGCCGCGTCGGCCATTGGAGTCGTCTGGCCCCACTTCAGCACGCTGGTCAGTGTGGGTTGGCAAAAGACGGTGGGTGGGGGGTGCGGTATCAGGGCTCGTTCGGATACCACCACCACCGATGTGAGCCGTGGCTGGGAATCAAACTCAGGTTGTTGGGTTCATAGCGCAGTGCTCAAACCACTGTGCCGGTCCTCCGCGGTTGTTCAATGCTTAATGGTACTTTGTGGTGCCATAGTTTTAATTAAGAAACCCAGTGATGTGCCTTTTATGTACGTGTGCAGCCATAAGTGAAAACATGCAATGTACTTTACCGATCTCAGGGTGTTTTAGTGGGGACAGCTCATTGATGGCTCCTCAAGTAATGTACATGATTTGATGGCGATGCTGTGATTGGCGTCTGTTAAGTTTACAAATAATCGGTTTGACTTCTGTGTGTAATGTATGGAGTACTGCTGTGTCGGTGTAGATGTGTTTATCAGCTTGTACTGTGCTACAAATTTAGAAGCTCCTGAAACTTCGGACCAGGTGGTGAACAACCGAACTTGAAAACCTTCAAGTTCGGTTCGTATGTGATTCGTATGTGATTTTACAATATTTACATGTTCATATATTTAACTTTACTGAGATTTGTGTGTCACTTATATGAAGGGCTATTGCAAAATGAGCAATTGCAGACTTATCATGCATTGTTTTAGTATAGTGGATTTAATGATTTGGATTTTTAAAAAATTGTCGACACTGGGACCAAAAGTCAGTGGAGAACACAACCCTGAACATATTTATGAACCACGTGAGTCCGTGCCAAAACCAGAAGCATAATATTGGCATCTCGCAATGAACTCTTGTTAACTTAATCCAGGAAAGGTTCGTCAAGTCCCAAGACTTTCAGGAGGTTCATGCCAAGATTTTGCAAGAGGGGAGCAATGTTTGCTCTATGTAATCCCAATGAAATAATTTGCAGGTAATTTTCCGAATTGGAATGTTTTGCCAATTCCGGTAAAGTTTGGATTTTTTTTTAGCAAAAGGTCATGGAAAAACCCACATGCAGGGCAGGGGTACAACAGTCGACCTCCACACAATCGCGAAGCTAACCCGGTGTTACCTTTGCACCACATCCGTTCAGGTGTACCTGCCAGCTGCAATTCCTGATGTGTGCTGGGGCCTGGTTTTGAATCCAGGGCAGCGGATTCATTTACATTCTCTGTCGAGATGAGTGAGCGGTGTTTTCAAAGTGTGCCATCAGCCTCTCATTTCAAGATCTTCTAGCCCGTGTTTGTTTTTACCGTTCAATATGCAGGAAAACATGGTTCATGGTTCGCATAAAAACGCTTTCAGAATAATTTCTGCACAAACTGAAAGTTCCAAATAAAAATTCATGAAAATGTATATTTCCGTTTTCCTTACATTTATATTCAAAGGAATAAGCATAAGAAATGTTAATGCGAAAACCAACCCATTGTGATTAATGGTGCTGGATAGATCAATGAACGATGCTATGAAAAATAATAAGGTTTACCCTTTCTGGCAATAAAACAGGTGTTAACATGTTTAAACACCAAATTGAAACCTTTTTCAAGGAGTCAATTCTGCATAAACCACACGTGCTGTTTGGTGAACATGCAAACTGCTAATATATGCATGATTTGAAACTGATTGGCCTACACCAGACAGCCTTCTTTACGGCCAAGTCTCACCGGTGTTAGACAAGAGAACGGCAAAAGGCGAACAGCACAAAGACAAGGCACATACAAGATCATTTAGAGCTCGGGTTGAGGCGCTCTATCACGGGACCTTATTGCCAGTATGCGTGTTCACCACAAAAGTACGTGTGGTGAATGAGGACTTGATTCCTTACAAAAGGCTTCACACCTGTGTAGTGACTTGTGGCGTCACTACCAGGTGGACACACACACATGACGTCATCCCGTCTGGGAGCGGGAATGACGTCACGACTGGGTGAGGGCCCCGGGGGTTGAGGCCGTGGCACTGAGTGAACTCGGCTGGACACGTGACCGGATCAAGGTGGGGACCGGGGGCACCTTGGGGGGCCACGTGGACAGGAGAGGAGCCTTCTCGAAGGTGGGCGTGGCCAGGATGTGGCCCGGACATGCCGAGGCGCATATAAGCGGCCTCCGCACCGGGTTCGGGGCTGCTCGTGTCAAGAAAGAAGACTCCTCGTGAAGAAGAGTTAAGCCTCAAGTCAGCGTGGCCAACCAGTCGCCCTCCTGGCTGGGTCACGCGAGTTGTATCGGAGAGTCAGTGCTAGTGAGTGGTGGTGTGGTGTTAGCGAGAATAGGTCGGTGGTCACCACCCTGTGTTGTGTTAACAATAAAGTGTTGCCTCCCAAGAAGTGTGAGTGCGCCTAATTGGAGCCCATTTCACCTGTTTTATTGTTAGGGTAAAACCTATTATTTTTCATATTTGATACTGGTAAAAAGGTCCCATGATAAACGATGCTATGTAATCATCTACTGCTGATAATAAACCAGAGAAGTTCAACATACACCATTTCGATTTTTGTACCCAAATCATTTTATTTCCAACAATAGGCAGTCATGCTCCGATTATCACCCGACATTTGACATTGACACGACATGGTATGCAAGGACACCCTTGTTCACTCTTGCACGACACATAAACACAGTACACACGAAACATCGACATAGAAAAACATACAAATCGCCACTGCCCATGTGCTGCCGTTCTGCAGGATAAATCCCCGCGGTGAAGGGGATCATTACTGAAATGCCGGCTCGACGCGAATGGTGATCACACCGGACTTGCATTCCAGAGGACGCCGGTCGCATCTCCCGGCAAAGCAAATGAAGAGAAGCTTCATAGATCCCCCCCCACCCCCCCAACTACGTCCACCCAACAGTGTTCATGGGTTCACCAGTCAATCGACAAGTCGTGCAGGCCAACGTGTGGGTAACTCTCACTGACTCAAAATACAAAAATACCCACAGCTCTTTTGAGCGCCCTCCAGTGGAGGCCCTTCCACCAGCAGTCGTGATAGGGAGCAATTGCAGGGCTGATTTATATTTACGGAGCGCCTTCACTCAAGGCGCTTGACAGAGTGGAACGTTAAGGAGTGGAGGGGGGGAATGCTTAATGTAACAAGGGAAGTTCATTCCAGTGGAGGGGGAGTTGTAAGGAGAAAGGGCCGTAAACGGGATAGGGCACAGGGAGGGGACAGAGAGAAGATCGGGAAGGCGACGACTCGGGGAGAGACGTGGCAGGAGATGGGGCAAGATAAGCTAACCCAAGCACGTTACACCTTGTTAAAGTACAATACCATAACGCCCCGATGATCAGAAAAGGGGGGTGGGGGGCAGGGAATGAAATGGAGAAACACTAAAAGGGGCCAAGACCACAGACACAATGGGACAAGACAGGAGCCGTGGAGGTATAGTCCAACGTGGCCTGAGCCTAATTTCTAATCATTGTGGCAGCGTCGTGTTATGTCCACGACCTGATGCACTGCTCGAGTGACAACGAATGCACAATGCATGCAAATCCCACTTGAAATGGCACAGGGCCGACATGGGTGGCATACTCCACGTGGGAATAAACATTTCAAACACGAACTGGGGGCAAACTTTTCAGCCAATTTCGATTGCGCGAAGCAAGCGTAACCAAGACCGGCCCATGCGTTTACTTCACATCACGAGTGCTGTTGAAGGCTGTGCAGTGGCGGCTCACAACGGGGCAGAGTTCAGGCGTTGCTCGCCACAATCAGACTTCATGGAAAACGAACACGCACCCCCACCACGTACATGCCAAGGACAAAGCTGTACACAATTGAGATTAATCCCAACCCAACATCACTTTCCATTTACATTCAAATTAATCGAATTCCGTCAACCAGTGTACATTTACGCACTACACCGGTTCCATTAACCAACAAACAGGTCCCTGCGGGGTGGGCTGGTAGGAATAAAACATAATTTATTATTACACTTGTTTAGCCAGGAAAGCCTCACTGAGTGTAAAGGTTTTTGTAGGGTCCTGCCAAGTGTTTGCAGTAGGGGGCGATGTTGCTACACCGAATCGGACGATACGAAGGGAGAGTTTGAGGCCTAGTTCGAGGCTTTAGGCCTAGCTGTAGGCCACTGTGAGTTAATTATTAATTTACATTTTAAATTATTAATGTAAAAGCTTTAAATGTTAATGTTTCTATTTAAAAACATCAGGGAATGTGACATTGTTAAACATAACTCCCTTTCACACACGCGGGGGTACGATACGAAGGGAGAGTTTGAGGCCTATTTCTAGGCTTTAGGCCTAGCTGTAGGCTTTAGGCCGCTGTGAGTTAATTTTTAATTGAAATGTTTTAATTAAAAACTATGTCAGGGAATGAGTTAATTTTTAATTTAAATGTTTTAATTAAAAACTATCTCAGGGAATTAAAAAACTATCTCAGGGAATTATAAGGGAATGTTACACTTGTTTAGCCAGGAAAGCCTCACTGAGTCTAAAGGTTTTTGTAGGGTCCTGCCAAATGTTTGCAGTAGGGGGCGATGTTGCTACACCTAATCGGACATCGGACGGACGGACGATATAATCTATTGTAGGCTGGTTCACTTCGTTCCTACCAGTAAAACGTGTCTTATCAATGCCATACAAACGGGAAAAGTGTGTTGATGTAACCAGCACACAGGTGGACTTTCATGGGGGGTTCACTGCTAACGTTGGGAGGGGGCCAGGACGCCCGAGAATGAAATTCGCAATTGTCCCAGAACCTCTGCATTGCTCAGTGACCTTGACGGTCGCAGGTGCTGTGGTACCATCGGCATGCAACGCGACATTTACACGGCTTCATCTTCTTGGTTCTGTCGGTAAAGACACGTAGAAGGGAAGTAATAAAACGTGACTTTACCGAAAGAACCAAGAAGATGAATCCCTGCAGTCACGAAAGCTTTAAATCGAAATTTACAAGGCTGTTGAATAACCGCGGTCATATTGCTCTCACGCATCACACCTGTCCGATTACAGCTGGGAGAAAATATTGGGGTTTTTAGACCAGGCAACATAAAACTTGGGTCCGACGGCAACCAAACACGCGATTGGAATTCACGCATCGCGAGGCATTGTAAAGGATTGCGCTTTTAATCCAATACAATTTTAAGGATTCATAATAAACTAATAGTCGAAGCCTCCTGCATGAATGTTATTTCAACGAGGATGTCTTGCAAGCCTCGGCAATTACGAATACAGCTGTAGTTCAGGATTCAAACCTAGAAACGTTAGCATAACCCAATACCAACCTGCAATCAAAACTATAATTTCATTTATTTCTCAATAGGACGAGCATATTTTAAAGGGGGGATTGGAAAACATTCACATTTTCTGAGGAAATGCATGCCTCGAATTGTGAATTCATGGGTTTCCTACGATCCCCAAAAGAATAAATGTCGCACTGGACGCCAAACAATTCTAACACCAAATCCCCATCTACGACTCGGCTTCGTGTCGCGTGCACGCCGCTCATACGGCTGAGAGTAACGATGACCCCTATGGCACCACTCTCTTCGTACGCGACGCTCGGAGAATATGAAGACTTGGTCCAATGAACACAGCGCCTCTCCATGTCGGGTTAAAAGCAGGGCTCTTTTGGGGCGATAATGCAGCTTTTATAAGGCTGGCACCGAGTAACAGGCGCTTGTTTCTGAAGACCGACAATTACTTCCCCTTCTTCGTAGCGGTCGTGGCTGTGGTGGTGGCTATGGTGGTGGCTGTGGTGGTGGCTGTGGTGGTGGCGGTGGTGGTGGCTGTGGTGGTGGCTGTGGTGGTGGCTGTGGTCGTGGCGGTGGTCGGGGCATCCGTTTCCTGAAACTCGTCACCCTGCTCATCTAGAAGCCCCTCCAAACAGTCTTCCTTGTCCCCACCCATGCCTCCATCTTCCTCCTCCTCCCCCCCCTCCTCGTCCTCCTCCATTTCCTCCTCAACATCTTCCTCATCCTCTTCAAACTCATGTTCATCTTCTTCCTCCTCCTCAGCCTCCACGTCTTCCTCCTCCGCCTCCTCGTAATCCAGGTCTTCCTTATCTCCCAGCTCGTCACTGTGCTCAGTCGCCCCTCCCTCGGGGGGCTGCTTCTCCTGCCCGGTCTCCTTGGTGCCCTTCGCCACTTCGGCGCTCTCTGCTGCAGCCTCCTCGTCCTCCCCTCCCTCGCCCTCGTCTTCGTCCATGAGCTCCTGGAAGAGGTCAGAATCATCTCCCAAGTCATCTTCCTCCCCTTGGGTCTCCTCCTCCTCCTCCTTCGCCGCAGCGCCCTCCTCTTTCCCCCTCGTCTCGGACGTTGCACCCTTCTCCTTGTCGTCCTTGACTGCCTCCGTTTCACCCTCCCGTTTCCCGTCTGCGTCCGTCTTGACCTTGACGCCATCCGCCGACTCCTTGTGCTCCGTGGGGTTCTTCTTGGCCGATTTCTCCAGATCTGCTTTACCCTTTTTAGCGACGACCTTTGTTTCCGCGGCCGCGACTGCGGGAGCGGACTTCTTGTTGGTATCCTTCTTCGCTTTTGGATCCTCTTTTTTCAACTTGCTGTTGTCCTTCTTGACGTTCATTTCACCCTCGTCAAAAACGTCTTCACCCTGGATGGGAAAAAAAAAAATACATGTGCGTGCGCAGGCATGCAACGTTGCTTAATCAAATCTGTATGCGATGAGAAAAATCCATCATGGAAAAACAGTGTGGGCCAAAAAACCATGAGTTTTTAAATCTACGTATGTATGCTCAACTTCTTTCGCACCGTACGTAGCCAAGCATGCAAATCGGAGGTGCATGTGAAAGACAACAAAACTAAGCACAAAAAGCAAGAAATACTTGTAAAACAACCCAGCATTTGTGCATCATGCAAAAACCATCAGCATTTCCGGAAAGTGCATTGTGATCCTCTCATCTTAATGTCACTGTAAAAAATGTTTTCACTTATGTACGACAGTCCCCCAAGAAATGAGGAGGAAAATGGGTCAACCCAAGTGAGAAAGAAGGACGAGGAAGGGATTCCCAAAGGTGAATTTATATATTTTTTAATTACCAGGTAAGGCCCACTGAGCTATGTAGCTCTTTTTCATAAGCGACCAGACCACAAATGATAGCTCAACAAAATAGCTTATCATGCGGAAATGTATAGCAGCCAAATCTATCTAGCTATATAAAAGTTAAAAATTGTCTGTTTGTGGGTTTGTGTGTTCACGCGCTTGCGAACGATTTGCCTCTCCAACGGTGGGGTTTAGGTAAAAAAAAAGAGCCATGTACCACGCCGTAAGCCCCACGGTGAGCAAGGGCTATTCCTTTTTGACATAAATTACTTTAATTAGGGATTTATGACGTGTACACGGCCATAACAACTCAAGCGCCTTTGGTGGGGGGGATGGCCCATGCCAAATCGCACGCCTTCGGTGGGAGGGGGACATTTTCTTTCGCGTTAAATACACTAACCGCTGACGTTAATTCTTCACTGCGTGATGCCCCCCTCACCCCGATGTGTGCAGTTACTACTATATACAGTCGCTAGATGCTATCACTATAGGCCGTAGATATTACTGCAGAGCAGCCGGGGAGATTGTGGCTGGGGGGGGTCAGGGGTAGCAGCCCAGCCCCAGCCTGCCAAGGTGCCACCTCGGCCGGCTGGACAATCTAGGCGAGGCCAGAGGTTCTGCACAGGACTAGGCCTCACCACGCCACTCTGTCAGGTGAGTACTTGTGCAATACAGTCGATAAATACTGCTATAGAGTCAGCATGTACTACTGTAGTGATAGCAGGTACCACCACAGTCAATATGCACTGCCGTAATCATAGCAGGTACCACCACAGTCAGTATGCACTGCTGTAATCAAAGCAGGTACCACCAGAGTCAGTACGCACTGCTGTTAGATTTTTAAGAGTAGTTTTTAAATATTTTTAAGACCCGGGCAATGCCGGGTACTTCCCGCTAGTCCTCTATATGCACGAATCTCAATGTGGAGGGAAAAACCAGAGGACCCGGAGAAAAAACCACGCAACCACGGGATGAACACGCACACACACGACCTCCTGCATACCAGGCGAGGTAGTTAACATCTCGTCACCATGGAGCAATGCGTGGCGACTCACCCGCTTGAAGCGTTGGAAGCGGTGGGCCATGGTGGCACTGTCGTAGACCTGGAAAACCATGCTCTGAATGCCCTTCTTCTTATCGTTTGTGAACGTCTAAGGGGCAAAGCACAACGGACACCCGTTTACAACACATCACGGAGAGCGAGCACACTGGGCAACCTACGTCTAAAACTACTCAACATTTACAACTTTGGATATAAGATGCGATTTAAGAATTAATTTGCCACGTTTTGTTTTGCAATCAAAGCAAAAGGTCGATTTATGACAAGTGTGCTAATTTAAAATCCCTTCCTGCCAACAGCAAAATGACAGAATTACCTTTGAAACACTGATCTAAGTGGCCAAGTCTTCCAAAGTCAATTCGTCGTGCTGTAGTCATTAAAATGTATGGCAGTCGCAAAACCAGGAACATGTCACACGAGTGAACTTGTGACCATGCTTTTCATTCTCACTAGCAAAGCTACAAACTCATGTCACAGCCAAGATATGTAGCTGCAAATTAAATAAATAACTAGACCTTTTTTTAGGATGCATCCCTTTGAGATTTTTTTTCTGACGAGCTATCACAATCTTCAAGAGGTTCACCCATTAAGCGTTTTAATTATTAAGACGAACAGATGTCATCAAGTTGTCTGAGTATCATGGCAATGCCTAAGTTTCAGGGCCACTCCACTCGGTGAATTGGAAGAAAGCAACATGTCTACCAACTGACAACATAAAAGTTATGCCCCTGGTTCCTTGAAACAATAATAATAATCTGGACATAAGAATGAATTTAAGATTTCCATCCGTAAATTTACTCTGCTGTTCCATTATGGCAGTATGGTAAGCCTTAGTCACCGGAAGAAAAATACAACTCTATTGGTACCGAGGCTCCCACAAGGCCGTGCGGGAGGCTGTGTGGCACAGTTTGGAGCCAGTTATCATAGAGTGCGGTCGTGTGGCTACAGTTCTCTGCGATGAATAGTGTCTTTAAAAAACGACGCTATGCCTATTATTTGTTTCTTTTGGTAAAGTCACGTAGAAAGAAAATAAAAATGAATGTAAAAATAAAAGCAAAAAACCCCCCAACATTTCGATCGCAACACAAGCGATCTTCATCAGGCGGAGAGAAAAGAGGGGGCAAGCCTCCAAACGCAACTGCTTATAAGGGCTTCCAAAGTTATGGGCGGAGGACGAGAGTTGCGAGGCAGTAGCAAGGAAAGCTGTGTGGCGTAAACAGCATGGGCGGGGCAGCCAATGCTAATGTCGGAGTAAAGCGCGAGATTGAGGTGGGGCTGAAGGCGAGGGGCGCAGTCTAAGTGTGTTAGCCAATGGGGAGAGGGTAGAGATGTCTCTACCCCCCCTCTCTCCCCCCATCTCCCCCTTCCTCCCCCCATTGTCTAACACACTTGGACTGCGCCCCTTGCCTTCAGCTACACCTCTATCTCGCGCTTTACTCCCCCTCTCTCCGCCTATCTCTACCCCCCCCCCCTCTCTCTCCCCCTATCTCTACCCCCCCTCTCTTTCCCCCTATCTAAAGTTGTTCCGCACTGCAGACGTGCAGCTTGAGCAGTCAGTACATCGCACCAAGGGAAAGGGAGAGGTGGGGTTCAAGTGGGGCGATGGGCGGGGGAGCGTCTGTGTGCTGCACCTGGTAGCAAGCGGCGTGCACGCTGGAGGCGATGTGGCGCCGCAGTTCCAGCTTGTCCCGGAGCAGGAAGCGGCGGCAAGCGAGACAGCGCACCACCTCCGTGCGTATCCAGCCTTCGGGCAGCGTTATGCCTGGATGTGGAAAGAACACGGGATTCCTGTGTGGGCTAGTGCCATGAGCAGCAGTGTTTCCAACCTTTTAAAGCTTTCCCTCATGACAATTTTATTTATCAATATGACTAGCAGCAAAGTTAGTGACTTTCTAGGACGAGGACATTATGCAGACTGAGGGACGATTGCAGGTACCGTTTCACTCTGTACAATACATGGTAAACCGTCCAGAGACATTTTCTAAGGTCCACGTAGAGACACCCAGCATCTTCAAACTTGTTTTGCTTGTTTACTCAGGAAAATCGTCGCTGAATCTCATGACTTTTATTTAGGAACGTCCTGCAAAGTTGCCACAGTAGGGGCAATGATTGCTTCTCACCTAAAAAAGAAAGTTTTTGTCTATCTGTGGATGCAACTTGCGACGGATTTAACTCGCAAACTGTGGGGTTTACGTTTCAAAAAAGTAGCCAGATACCACGCGATAAGCCCCGTGCTGAGCCAGCGCTATTCGTATTTCACATTCGTCAACTTTAAAGTAGTTAAAGTAACAATTTAGTACTATTAATTATTATATTACTACACTGAGCACGCCAAAGCACGCATCTGGGCATGCGCGAAACGCTGACACGTGGTTCCCATAGCAACACACACGCGCAATCGGTGGGGGGGGAGGGGGGAATTCTCACTCACGTTAAAAATGAAAAAAAAAAACACAATGTTGAGGTAAATTATTCGGAGTGCGATATCCTCTCCCCCCCCCACCCCAATGTGTGCACTTAATACTATAGAGTCGGTAGATACTACTATTATAGCCGTTAGATACTATTACTGTAGAGCGGGCGGGGGGATGGTGGGGGGGGTAGCGGCACAGCCCCAGCCTGCATAGGTACCACCTCGGCCGGCTGGGCAATCTAGGCGAGGCCGGGGGCTTTGCATGGGACTAGGCCTCAACACTACACTCTTTGAAGTTAGTACTATTATCGTGCAGTTAGCAAACACCTATGACGGTCGGCAGAGCACAAGAGGGGTTGGGTGGCCAATCATGCCCAGTCGCCTATGCCGACACCGGTGCTAACATTTATACACCATACAAGGTATTTATTTAAGGCTGAGTCAACCTAGGGAAAATCCCAGGACCGGTTCAGACATTTGTCACCGATGTTGGCCGTGAGAAAAAATCGAACTAGGGTCGCCAGTTCGCAGGGCAGTGCACTAACCACTACAATGCTGCTCTCCACAGCGTGCACACACATCCACACAATTGTTAAGAATAATCTGGGCTTGACACAACAAGCTAATAAGAGCTAGCCGACTGTTTCTCACCATCAATCAGTTCGTTGAATGGCCGGCTGTTGTCTTCTTCCCATCTCTTGCGAGTCATCGGGACTATCTTGCTATTCCTGTACTCAATTTTTTTCTGGTAGAAACAAAAATGCACAAAAGTACAAGTGTCAAAGCAAGCACATACCTGTCAACCCATACGGTTTACCCGTATTCTTGTACAGGGAAATTCAGTTTTCAGGTCCATAACGGAGTACAGACGTTTCAATACGGGTAAAAATAATAATCAATATGAGTGTGTGCATCCAAATATCAAGCAAGCAGCATCATCAGCATCCAAGATCACAGTAGCATGAGTAAATCACTGACAATTATCAACTTGAATACATAACAAGTTTTTGTTTAGTAACATAATTTTTGTCCGTTTGTGTTTCTCCCTTGTGATAGGACTTTGTAGGATGAATGTTGAGATTTACAAGGGCACGGGGTGATCAATAAGACCTGAATTGGTCTGTAATAAGGTAGGCACTGATAAGGGGTTGCCAGGTATGCAAGCAGGCACTGCATAAACACAAGTGGAATGGGACAGATTCTCCTTTATAAAATAATTATCCTTAACCAGTCTCAGCCCAGGACCAAATCACCTGCAATGCATCCAGAATCTCTTGAGATCTCAGGAGCTAAGCAGAGTTGAGCCTGCAAATAACTTGGATGAGTGATCACCATGTACAACAGGTGGTGTTATATAGGCTGCATGACTATATTGTGGGCAGCATAAGGTTAGTGCAGAAAAATATACCAATGTACTGTACCATCTGTGCTGTCTCTGATAACCAACACTACCCAGCGTTGTGACGTTGATCAAACTCAGGTCACTAGGTTCATAGCAGAGTGCTCACCACTATGTCAAGGTTCTTTCATTGAGCTATCATCATTTGTGGCCCGGTCACTCCTGAAAGAGAAGCTAATTGGTCAGTGGGTTTTACCTAGTAAAAATAAAAAGTTTAGTTTTAATTGTATATTTTAAAAGTGATGTTCTTACCTTTCATATATGTTTCACTCCTATCGTGTTTTTGTATTGTGTTGCTGTAACGTTCTGACCTGCCCCTACTGGACATCTGTGAAAAAAGGAGCTTTAGAGCTCATCGGATTACTCCAGTATCAATAAATATTCTGATTTATAATTTCCAGAGGGCTGCATCAGCATCGGATCCCAGAGCAAGCTGGCACTCACATGCAGAAAGTGTGAGATGTGTTTGTCGTTGGGGAAGAGGGTGTCCACGACACGCAGCGTGCGCCGGTGGTTTTCGCCCGTCATGTGCTCCTTGATGATATTCTCGTCGTACGTGAAGAACTTGCACAGCGAGCAGCCATACTTGCACCTTTGGGCACAGGCCGAGCGCACTCTAGGTCACCGAGGCCGAGATTTAACCTCACCGACGGCACGTGGGCTCGCGTGTCGAAGCTGAGTCAAACGTCAATGTGAACAGTGTCTAATGGGGCCCTGCGTGGGCTTGACCAAGTCATTTAGTGCTCACAAGTTTAATTGAAGAAATTACCTTATTTATTGCATCTTTGGAGTTTAGACGTAACATGGAACACGTTTTACTTTCAGAATGGTTTGTTAAAACAAATGTATGGTTTGCGTATTAGGTGTTGAGTGAAAGCAGACATTAAATTAATCAAGTAAGTTTAATGTACAGGAAACTCCTGCTATATATAAGGGATACGTTCCTATGAAATGCTACCTAAAGCAAAACTCGGGGGTTGCGTTCCTAGCCGACCATTTCTGGAGAAAAAAATGTGCCTAATATCATTAAGTATAGGAAATTGCATATTATAACAAGTTAAATTTCATTTTAAAATTAATTTTAACTCGATACAAATTAGCTTAAACTCATCAGGCACGTTTGCAGAGCTGTGTCTTGTGTGCCAAGTTGTTTTTGTTGCAATATTCTGTCGCAATATTCTGTCACAGCTGGGCAGAAATGCTAAATAAACCCTTCTTGAAAACCGCTGTCATGGCCCGAGCAATTTTTTATTGCCAAAAAACAGGCATATGTTCTTTTAAATGACCTTTCACAGCTTTTGCCGACTCCCAGGTGGTAAACGATGAAAGGGGTTGAGAGCTTAAAATTTCCTGAAGCGTTCCGACCTAGCAGGAGCGTAAATCGATCTCTGGCTGCTTTATAACTTGGCGGTCTTCTCTTCTTTAGAAAGGAATGTTTTTGCTGGAATTCACTTTTCTGATACAGCCTTGTGTCATCGACTTTGAACACTTAGCCAACTTCTTCAATAGCTTCTTTCAAAATGTTAGAGGATAGTTTCTTGCCGCTTCACTGTCACCATTTGCAGTTCCACCTGACGCTTTAACATGATGCAGACCGCTTACACCTGGGTAAACCAGCCACACTAAGCTCCTAAAGTTTCCATTGAGGTCTTCAAAATTTTAGCTTTTTCCTCGATGATCAATGTACTAATCGGCACGCTATGCTGATTTTATCTTCAATCCAGGCACTTCAGTCTTTCCCCATTTTCTAGAATTCCACTTCTGCTACGAGTAATTGTGGTGACAGTTAAAGGTGCCACATTTTTAGCTCATGCAGGAATTTTTTCCTGCATTAACTTGAATAGTTCTCACAAAGACCGTGGGTCGGCAAAGCATTCTGGCAACATCAACTGCCCTTTCACCTGCTTCAACAAAATGCTTTAAAACTTTAAATGTAACCTGGAAATTTAATACTGTTCCTTTGCCTTGTTTCCAGAGACACCATCACCATTTGCTGTTTTTTGTCATATTTCTAAAGCCCTTTTGTACTTTTTTAAAGCTATATGACTTCCTAACATGTTTGCAGTGATCACACAAAATGAAGGGCTGGCAGATGGAGGCTGAACACGTGGAGATTATTATTTGGTGGTACGCACGATGTGCGGAGAGGACGGACTTACATCGCAAGATATAGTCCTTGTATTCACCACGTGCGTTCCTCGTTAAGAAATGCAAGAAAAACTTAGCAGATTTTTTTTTAAATAACGTATGTGCGAAACATTACTCTTACGGCAATGTTCCCAAAATAATGGACGACACATATATCCGAAACATCGCATAATGCGAAAACCTATAGCGATATTGCTAGAATACTTGGCCTACCCACGGCTTGGCCTGACCCATCTGCATTAACTCCACCACTGCTCACCCTATGCGGCCTCGATTTGCAAGCTCTACAAACATCTCTGCTAAGTTTTACCTAATTCACTATGAGATCTCTTCTACCAGTGGCAAAAAATAGTAGTAGGTTTTTACCCTTTTAAACTGTTAGAAAACTGACACCTTTATTCAAGGCATCATGTTTGCAATAACCACAACACAAGTAGTCAAAAAAAGCAAACAAAAAGAAGCAACTCTGATAATGATAATAATATGCACTGTCCTTGAAGTTGATTGGTCCACACCCGAGACGGCTTTCTTTAGAGCCTAGTCCCCCCATTGGTGTTGGACCAGATGACACCAGAAGGCGTACAACTCAAACACAGTGCAATATCAGAGTATTGGGAGCTCGGGGTAAGCATTTACACTATGAGATCTCTTTTACCAGTGGAAAAATATAGTAGTAGGTTTTTACCCTTTTAAACTGGTACAAAACTGACACCTTTATTCAAGGCATCATGTTTGCAATAACCACAACATAAGTAGCACTGTGTTTGAGTTGTACGCCTTCTGGTGTCATCTGGTCCAACACCAATGGGGACTAGGCTCTAAAGAAAGCCGTCTCGGGTGTGGACCAATCAACTTCAAGGACAGTGCATATTATTATCATTATCAGAGTTGCTTCTTTTTGTTTGCTTTTTTCACTACTTGTGTTGTGGTTATTGCAAAATGATACCTTGAATAAAGGTGTCAGTTTTGTACCAGTTTAAAAGGGTAAAAACCTACTACTATATTTTACCCAATTATTTGTATTATTAGTGAAAATGTTACCTTATGCATCTGTACACTTCATGTCGGCAAAGAACGCAACCCCTGAGTTTAACATTGTCCGTGGGAAACCAAGAGTGGCTTCAAAAGTAATTTAGAGTTAATTCGCATTTTACCAGCAATACATCCCTTTAGAACGAGTGGGGGATTCCTGTGTAAGCTTTTGTTAAAATATTCAGACACTCACTTTATCCAGTAGCGGTCTTCCACCCCGTGTTCATCTCGTGTACCGTATCCTTGCGCAGAATCTACAAACAAAACACACATGCAAGGGGGGCAGGTGCCCGAGTGAACACGAAAAAAACATTCAATATCATGGTCCACTTCACGGGAGACACTATCCACATTGAGCAGAATCCTGCATCGAAGAAAATAATTCTTAAATATCAAGCTTATATGTTGCTCCAAGAACCCCAGTTAACTGGTATTAAATTAACTACGAAGAAAAATATTTCGAATTATATTAATAAAAACACTAAATCCATCGAATGTTTATTTACCCGAATCACTTACATTCTGGGATTGAATGCAGGCAGCCACCTGTAATTAAACCCGGTCTCAAGTGGAAGGTTAATTACTGCACAAAAAACACATTTAATTTGGTTCTTAATGTATTTGGTGACATTTCAACCCCTAGAATGAAATAAATTAGTTTGAATGTCATGCTGTGTGGAACAGGGGTCCCTTCAAGGGTCCTCAAAGGTAACTGGATGGCCCATTGTTCTCTCACACAAATGGTTGCATTGCTCTACAAGACATTTGAATGGATACTTCGTCTTATGACATGATGCCGAACGCAAAAGGGGCCGTCGCGATGCCTCGAGAACAAACGCGCAAGCGAGGCGCTCACCTTGAATTCGCATGCGCTTGTTCTGCGGCATCATCGGATGATCCATTTCCCTTCGTTTCATGGGCATTCGCATTGTATTCTTTGGCACAAAAACAAAGAGAGGCGGGCATTATGCACGCCGGCGCCACCACACTCACACAAAAGGTAAAACTTACTGTTTTTCAGCCGCCTTGACACATCACAGCTTTAGGGATGCTCAAGGTGATTATGTGAAAGTTCCACGTGCTACACTTGTAGGTCGCGTTAACCCCTCTTCTGCTTGTCTCCTTCGTAGAGAAAGAAGAGGCAGTCCAAACGAAACTTGGCCCCATGACTTGTCAAGTTGACAACGAATATATTTTGATCGAGGTCATCACAACACTCTTTACACTCTCCACTGCTATTATCTCGGTCATCAGCACTTGACTAAGTTGTCTGGCAATCACTCAATTGTGAAACGATGCAAGAGAAAACCCAATGCTCCAGATGTCCATTTTCGTTGTACGTTTTGTGCAATGAGATCCCCTTCAAAAGGGTGAATTTCTCAATGCCTAAACAAAATCCATTAACTTCCGGCTTCAGAAAGTGATTTTCATGGTCTGCACTGTGCTATTCCTTCAGCGGCCAGTTTTCTTTTATGAGTGTTTTAGTCCAAAAGTCTATCAAATTAGCAATGTGCCTTTCTTTCCACAATCTACCTAAGGAACCAGTCAGTCCTCATCAACATAAAGTCCATGTTTGCACATCGATGAAAGGACAGAAAAAATATGAAGTCAATTGAAAACCTTATCTCCACAAGAGAGCACACAACATTCCGTTGTCAATTGCAGATGAGCAAAGCCCAGGCTTTTCCCAAAACTATTCAAACATTCAAGACGCATGGAAATTTTCACATTCAAATGTGATTGAAATACTTTTGATGACCGATCCTCGTTTTCACTTCAATGTTCAAATAATGTGAAAGCAACAGATGCTACGATATATATTTCTGACTTTGTAAATTTTAAACATTACAATTGTTTGGATGATCCAACATTCCATCTTCTTGGACTGCTGGGTTTTTCTTCCCAGTGTGCAGTGTGTGAACGTAACTGCTCGATGATTCTACGATGACATGACCTCACGATCTTAGCGTCACACCACATAAGGGCTAGTTTCCAAACCATTTCCACTATCCATCGCCGTGCAATTCAAGCGAAACTGTTAAACATATTGCTTTTCCAATGGTGCCACACCAGTCAGTGGTACTGCCAAGCTAGTTCTAAAAGGTGCTCACGCAGCCTTTCCGTTCCCACACCAAACCCAAAGGTGCATTGGATTGGCTTCATTCACAGGACAGCTGGCAAGACGTGAGCTCCTTCCTTTGTCGTCTCGATGCTGCAGCGTGCTTCTCTTTGCATGTTCACTTGGCCAGAGTGCACGACAAGGTCGATCTTCACAGCCTTTCAAGCACAACAGGACCCGGAAACCTGAAACCACTCAACATTCTGGAATCTCGCTCTCCTTACGGGCAAACGCAAGATGGAACGTAAGCCAAAGTAAACCTCGTGTGATCGTACAAAATGAGTCCTTTGCGACGCAGCAGTGTTTTTCACTTAATACAAACCACAGCAAAAACCCAGCCCAATTGTCGACCCGCAACAATGCTGCAGAGGTACGGCAAACAATCCAGCAGACTTCTGAGTGAACTTCCGAGGGCAACCAGCCTCCAGCAGATGGGCCACGACGCCAAGCCTGAAGGTCATCGCTGAGCAACAGGAAGTACTTACGCCGCCGGGCCCAGGGATGTTGCGCTCGTTCCGGAAGGGACTTCTTCCACGAGGAGGATAATGACCCGACTGAGGGGCATCCATGCGTCGGCCCCCCCGCATATCAGGGGGGGACCCAGGAGGACCATGGCCCATCATTCGGCCGCCCCTGTCGTGTCTTCTCGGCCCACCATGGGGGACCGGGGGAGGTCCCCGGTTGCCGTGACCGTCGTGCCGACCGAAATAGCCAGAGGGGCCGGGTCCAGAGCGGGGATCGTAAGAACCTTGGGGAGATCCAAACCTGGAACAGTAGCAACACTCGTTATTGTGTTGGTGGCCAGTCTGTATGGGGAGGGGGGGAGGCTCAGGGGAGATGATGGGGGTATGTGGTTTGACTGAGATGTACAATGCGGTGGGGGTACAGGGCTGGCGAGACTTGGCTCTGTGCACTGAATAAAATGTAAACAAAAAGAGGGAAATAAAAATTAAACCCTACATACACAGCATGAGCACTGTAAAACAGCTTCCAAGTCATAGCAGGTGTGACAGTTTAATAGCATTTGGCAAAATGGCTGGGCTACCAAAAGGAACAATGAAGAAAATTCATTGAATTGAAAAATCCTTCCCAAAGAATTCGATGCCAAGAATTGTCATGAATGTTGCTCAAGAGTAATGGAGCAGTGACCGCCAAGTCAAAGGAGCATGTTGTAAAGGACCGTTACAGTCCTGGTTTGTCGATGCTCGCCTGCAGATTATCCCAATTGCAAGATGAACATCAAGGCAACATGACAAACAGAAGGGTGATAAGCATTGCAACGAAATCATTCTCTCGTCAAGATAATTCCAACTACAGTAAAAATCTGACGAGTCAACAGCTTTTCACAGTCATTGAACATCTGTGCTCAGCTTGATGTGTTTACCAGCAGGAGAAAATTATTTGGAAGGGTTAGAGATCAAATCTCCATTTGTTCTACATATTGTTCGAAATGGCAACTACCAACAACTAAACCCTCAACCAAATGAAAATCCGTAAATTCACACTTCATCTTCTCAAAGGAAGCAACACATGCACTTTTACAGCATTGAAAAGGCATGGCAAAATCTAAATTAAATATATTTCACAATTTTTCATGAGTAACATCTTAATTTTGCCACTGCAGGAGTGGAGGGTACAAGGCTATGAAGCTTCCAGATGACACATTGACGGAAGACACCAGAAAAGGCGCCGCATGAAATTGAGCGCCGCAGCAGATCTCACTACACATCCACACGACTTCCTTACAGGATGTTTTAGTGGTCTGTCGAGCTTCAAAGCTGTGATGGGCAAACACAAGTGTTGTGGGGGTGTTTCCCCATCCCCACCCCCATGCGCTGTCATCTTTGTTCCATCAGCTTCAGCTTGCTTGACTTGAAAATCCTGCTTTATTTCACATGGAATTACAGCAATTCAACTCAGGATCTCAATGATGATGGGGTGCAGTGCTCTGGTATGGACAGAGCTTTATTCTTGTACCCCCCCCCCTTACTCCACCTCTGCTACCTAGCCACCATACAAACAATACACTCAAGTTGAAACACCTTCTTGACATTTCTTCAGAGCCACATGGTCACTGTGAAACTCGCTAATGTAGGTCGACTAAGTTGAAAACACATTGAGAGTGGATTCTATTTGGCACTTCCCGATGGGTCTTGTTGCGCGAGGTTATCACAGCAGTGAGCACAACACTTAGGACTCACCCGTGCGGTGGAGGGCTTGGAGGGGAACATGGGCGGTCCATGCCACCTGACAGGAAGAAGAAACAAAGATGACGCTGGACTCATAGATGTTAGGTTTCTTAAACACAAGATAACACAAATTGATTAAAACCTCTTATCATCTGTGGGTGGATTATCTAGGTTGCAGATTAACTAGTGCTTGGAAAAAAAAGATAATGGGGTATTCCACACTAATTTGCACGTTTAAATTACTATATTATTTTGCTTATGAAAAAAAAGCCTCAAGACTTATTAAGGGGGGTCCTGGCAATTTTTTGCAATTGGGCTTTTGTGATGTGTAATCCTAATTGTGTAATTTGCAGATATTTTTTCAGCATTGGGATGTTTGGCCAATACCAATTACATTGCATCTTATTTTACGTGGGAACATTTTTGGGAGAAACCAGAGGAAACCCGTGCAGAACAGGGAGAGAAAAAACTGCGCACAGAAAGGCACCTGCGGGTCGGAAATTGAACCCTGGAACTTCAAAGTATGGTTCTGGTGAACACGCGCGTGAGACCCTACCTCTCATCTTATCCACCTTGAGCAGGTGGACGACATCCCGTAGGATCGACGCAGCCTCCACCGTCGAGTCAATTCTCGGCTCCACCATGCGCTCCCTGTGGCTGCGCCGTTCCGGTTCTGCGATGGATGAAGGGAGTTGCTCCATCAGCAAGACGGCAAGCGGACCACGGCACGGCGTGTACACAAGGTAGCAAGTGGAGCTACGCATTTATCTATTTTTGGAAGTGTTGGTAATTTGAACCAATATCAATCAATCTTGATTTGAAGCTTTCGTGACTGCAGGAATCCATACTCTTTGGTTCTTTCAGTAAAATCACAGATCTGAAACACGGTAGGACCAATACCTCTGCCGTTGTTGTTCATTGTTTTAAAGCTGTGGGCTCACACGAAATTTATTTTTTCCAAAACGCAGGTGCTCTGCAAACCCACCGGCTATCATCAGAGATTTGTTCATGAAGCCATCCAGATATTTAAACACAGACACAACTTCAACTGAGAAGATGGGTACAAATTGAGCAATCATTGGAAGGACGTTATTAACCAGGTAAAGTCTTAACTGACTGTGATGTTTCCATCCTACCTGCCGACTCTCTGAGTACATCACCAGGTTAAATGTTTCGATTTAAAGCTTTCGTGACTGCAGGGATTCATCTTCTTGGTTCTTTCGGTAGAGTCACGTAGAAGGGAAGTAATAAAATAATAGAAATAAAACATAATAAAATAATTCTCACGACGTTTCGGCTACAACGCAAGACGGCTGCTTGCGTTGTAGCCGAAACGTCGTGAGAATTATTTTATTATGTTTTATTTTTATTATTTTATTACTTCCCTTCTACGTGACTTTACCGAAAGAACCAAGAAGAACAGGTTAAATGTCTTTACATTAATGGGCTAAGTGTCTCACGAACACAGCTACCGTTGCCCCTTTCCCTCGATATGGCGGGAGCTTCTCGTTTTTTAACAGACTATAACTGGCTGTGATGTTTCTGTGGATGTGTCTCTCTCTGTGTTTGTGTCCCTCTGATTATTTGGCTGTGTGTGTGTATCTCTCTGTCTCTCTCTGTGTGTGTCTCTCTCTCTGTGTGGGGGTTGTCTCTCTGTGTGTCTCCGTGTGTCTCTATGTGCTTGTGTCTCTCTGTGTCTCTCTCTGTTGTGGTCTCTCTGTATGTGCATCTCTCTCTGTGTGTGTCTCTCTGTGCGTGTGTATCTCTCTCGTTGACATGCTGGTCTCTCCTCGTGGTTGCTCTTGAGGGCTTTTGTTCTTGTTACCTGGTTCTCTGACACTGACACGCTAATATTCTCATTGGCACAGCCCCCGGTTGCTGGAGCCGTCTCACATTGACTTGCTAATCTCTTACATCTACATACAAATTCCATGTCTAGCTCTGCCCACTTACCCTTGGGTTGAGCCCACCTAAAGCCTATATAACCTCGTGTTGCAGCAGCTCTTTTTCCAGTGTCAGCAGTTCTCCTGCTGTTTGTCTCACCTGATGACGGTTGCTTGTGTTGCGATCGAAACATCGTGATCTATAAATTTTCTATCTACGTGACTTAACCGAAAGAACCAAAGAGTAATATCAATAAAGTTTGTGTCATGGTTGTTTTTACTTGCATATGCAATTAAATTGTATGTCTAGAGCCCTTTAGCTGCTAGATGAGGATATCCCTACACCATGAGGGTCATGGGGGGGTCAGCATTCAGGACAGGGCAAGCTGGTTAAGACAGAGCATAGATGAGGGAGCGGAGGTATAACACAATGGATTGTTCTGCACTGCCCACCACGTAGCCCCAGAAACTTCAACGTGTTGTGCATGCTAGTCGGTCATGCGAGCTGTATCCAGGCTATGCCCTACTTAAGCTTCCGAGATCTTATAAGATCATGCACATTTCAGGTGATTTAGTAACAGGAATTTGACCGAATTAAGCGATTGTTAAACGATACAATGTGAACCAACAACCGTTACCTTTTCCAATGGAATTTTAGTGATGAACGCACTGCTTAGCACGTGCAAATGTACAGACGGCAAGGCAACATTATTCACTCACTTGATGCAGCTAATCTGGCTGTGACGGTCCCACCTGATGACGGAGACTTGTGTTGCCTCCGAAACGTCGTGATCTTTATTTTATTTTTATTAATTTTGATGTTTTACCTACGTGACTTTACCGAAAAAACCTAAGAATATTATTCACTGTGGCAATTTTGTGGCAAATTTGCCATCGTTTCTCAGCCAAAACGTATAGGTACAATCCTGTAACTGCTTGCTCGGTCACGCCATTGCTCGGGAGAGAAGGGCTTCCACGAAAGAGCGATAGCGGCGATCTGGTCTACTGCTTAGCAGCACACATCGAGTATTTGGCTGCTATAAATTTCCACGCAATAAGGTACTTCGTTGGATAAGTAAACTGTCATCACCTAGGTGAGGCTGGATGGGCAGCTTCCCAGACTTGATTAAGTCCACCATACCCCTCAGCATATCTGTAGTCATGTCCGAGTGGTCTTCCCTCGGTCTCTCGGGCGGCGGACCTGTGAGCAAACACCCACAAGTTTAGTCAAGCCAGCATCAAACAACAGTATAAACTCTATACTCTCCAGGAACGACATGGCCTCCCTCAGATCACTGGATGGCATTCACCTGTCAGTTGACGGCATACAGTAAAATCGTTGATAATTTATGATAACGCTTTTTGGGTTAGATTGCAAAAATGTCAATGATCTACCCCAACATTTATAAGGTTTGTCGCGTTAACAAAATTTACCAATTTGTTACTACTTCAACACACCGGGGTGTTGGAGAGCATACACAGAACTAATTATTGTATTTCTAGGACACAAATCAAGTGCATCTGTAGCACTACACGCAATTGATCTGTTGCTACAAATATGCATAATCAGTCACTCCAAGGCATGCATATCTCAGTCCCTAGTCATAAAGAAATCTCTCATTCATGCTGATTTTGGTAAATTTCTGCAACGTAAACATCATAGATGTTTCGACCAAACGGTATTACACAACAGGCTTGTGATCCATCGATTTGGAGGAAAGGATTGGTGGATCACGTATATCTGTGAAATTCCAAATCTCGCTGGCCTGTAAGATGTCCTGGAGATGGCGTTAAAGCAATTTTATTTGTGGACCCATCTAATCAGACCTTGTGAGTGTTGTCGACTCACGTGTAGGTTTTCTCCAGTTGCTACAGTTTCCACTATATTCAACACACTTCAGAGCCCTCGTGAGAAATTGTTTCCACCCCTACTCCTCTTCCAATGTCACATCGTAGCCACGGCAGCGCAGGTTATTCTAGGTATGCTTGGTTTTCTTTTAAACACTTTGTTTTGTAGAGCCAGAATCAAACAGTGAAATTCTAGTCCGACAAGCCAACAAGTATGGCGGAGCAGGATTAATTATTTTCACCCGAGGTTTATTGCACATGAAGTCATATGCAGTGCAAAATCAATATGTTGCCTTCTGAGCCACGCTGGCCTTGCTCGGCCCTGGGGTAGCTGTACCACGGGTAAAAATGCAATGAGCGAGTTTTTGCCCATACATACCACGCGAGGGCTCATATCCGTGTTGCGCAAGCGGTCGATCGCCCCTGTACCCATATCCATCTCGCGGGGGGGCATTCGAGGGCTTCCGCATGGGGGGCGGCCTCTCCATCTGCCGGTCATCCCCACGTGGCCCAGGCCGCTGGAACCCCTCCATGTGCCGCTCGTCCCGGTCTCTCGGTCGCTGGAACCCTTCGGGGTCCCGGTCCCTTGGCGGGCCCAGCCTTCGCGCTGCACTACCGCCGCCACCCACCCTGCCGGGGCCGGGAGGAAGTGGTGACTGGTGCTCGTCGTAGAGTTCAGGGCTGTGGTAGAAAGACTCCTGGTCGGGCTCTTGATGCATTGCGTGCCGCCTGGTCTCATGGCCCCCGTCAGGCGTGTACTCCCGCCGAATCGGGTTATGCACGGTGCCATACGTCTCGAGGCTGCGGGGCCTGACCTGGAAGGCCTGCCGCGGGCTTAGCTCCCTCTGGTTGTAGCGATCGTGGCCCCCCGACACCACCGATACGTAGTGTTGTGGGTCAGGAGGGCTCGGGTTGCGCGGCTTGCTGCCGTATGCTGCACCGACCTGGCGGCCGCCATCGTGCGGGCCGCCGCCCAGGGGCCGCCGCGCGTCGTACGGCTCAACACGCGCAGACTTGGGCTTGTCGTAGCGGTCACCGCCCACGGGTCTCGGCGCGTCGTAGTGCATCGGCGCCACGTGCTTGCGTGTGTTGAAGTCGCCAGGGCTCTTGGGTCGTCCGCGGATGGGGCCCGGGTCCAAGTCTTCGTACGGGTCGCCCCCCATGGGCTGCACCCGCTCCTTGTAGTAGTCATTGCCAATGCGCCGCGAATCCACGTGCTCGCCGCGCTCCGCAATGCCGGGGACGCGGTAGTCTGACGATGACTTTCCCGACAAACCGTGAGCATAGTCGCGGCCAACCATGCCGCCTCCACCGTAGCCTGGGCCGGTTTTCATGTGGTAATCCTGACTCGCTTTGGGCATGCCGTGATAGTCACCCATCTGCTTCTTCAAGTCGACCGACGCAACGTGGTCGCTGTCCTGGTACTCGTAGATCTTCTTCCTGGGGGCGATGTAGTCCATCTCGCGCGGGCTGTCGTAGCTGAAGATGCGCTTCTCAGGGAAGGATCTGCCCGCATCGCCCATGACGAGGCCCTGCTTGCCTGTGCGCTCCATGGGAGACGCGTTCTGCATCATGCTCGACGGGCCCTCGTCGAGGTTTCGATCCGAGGGGAACCCATAGCCTTGGTTGCTGCCTCGAAAATAGTTTGCTCCTGTGAAAACAAGAAACGTTTTATTCATCATAAAAACTGTGTGGCCGCCGAGCTACATTGGCTTCTAGTTGCCGAACGAATACATTATCAGGTCGCAATCATTACATACAAAGTGCTTACCACAAATGAACCACAATGCCTTGCTGATCTCATCAAGGAGCAAAATCCATCACGCAAACTCCGGTCATACTCGCAGAGCATATTAAAGTAAAAACAAAGTACTATGTAATTATGTTTAGGTTGAAGGGAGTTAAAGGAACCCACCAAAACCTTTGTATGTTGATTTTCTTTCCCACTGCTTATGGGAGGTGCGAGGGAAGAACAAACTAAACACAAAAAGCTGTTTTGCGGAAACGAGTTTTCAATCTGGAGGATGTTAAAGTGCACGGCTCCAGTGGCTTCCTGACATCGAAGAGCTTTCCAGACGGCCGCACAAGCGGCTCTGAAAGCGAGCGACGCAGGGACCTTAAATGTACCACAGCAGTCATGGAACATCGCAGCAGTCCGCCAGCAGATGTGAGAATAAACGATAAACTGTTAAAACGAAAGCCTAAAACTGTGCCTCGCAACGTACCATTATTCATAGAACGTTTAATTCTTAAACATAAAAATGTGTAATTGTTGGGCCTGACTAAGCCTTTGGCCGCCATCTTGAGGCCTTTCATTCGAAACTCTCGCAACGAGCGTTAGCCCTTCGCCTCAGTTAACAAAATATACACGCAACAACCCTCACTGACGCTGCAATTGTTTTCATTTGAACCTCTTAAAACAAACCATTCTACAAGAAATAGCGATTGGACCCCGAGACGCGCAGGCTCCTGGGTTGAAGACCAGTCTGACATCCACAACCACGTCGTAAAAAAATATACGCGAATATTATAACATAGACGCGCCCCTGCGAGTGTCTTTCACGCGCGATTAATCTAACTTGGAACGAACTTGGCGTAGGTGCAGGAGTTTGTTGTGCAATGTTGGTGCCCGTCTCGCCCCCGTACCAGAACTCTGCATTCCGCGAGCGATCAGCCGCCGCTGAGAACGATGAGGAGGCAGTCTCCGTTTTTTTTGTTTTGCTTCCTAACCCGGTAGAGTCTTCCGGAAGACGTTGGGTTACACGTTGAGGTACGCCTCTTCCTATCCCGGTAGACTCTTCCGGAAGACGTTAAATGAACGTCTTTCGGAAGACGTTCATTTAACGGAAGACATATTCTTGGTTCTTTCGGTAAAGTCACGTAGAAGGGAAATAATAAAATAATATTAATATAAAACAATACAAATTCTCACGACGTTTCGACTGAAACACAAGCAATCGTCATTTTGTGTGAAATCCACAGAAAGAAAATTTTAAAAAAGTGGCGTTTTTTCTAACGTCAGCACCACGGACAGCGATTTAGCAGTTTGCCAGATGGACGAGTCCATCTATGTTCCAAAAAGAGGAGGGGGGAGCAGAACATGGAATGCGGTCTGAAAGTCACCGTCAGCGTGAACACAATCAATTAGGACCCGAAATGGTTTGATCCTTCCAATGATTGCTAAGCCAGAATCCATCTTCTCGGTTGAAATTGTCTCTATGTTTGTATATGTGAATAGCCTCATGAACGAATCTCTCATGGTAGCCAGATTGCTTGCAAAAAACCTCTGTCTTGGATAAATCAATGTCATGTGAGCCCACTGAATTGTAACAGTGATCTGCCACGGCCGAGGTATTAGTCCTTCCGTGTTTCAAGTCTGCTTTGTGCTCACGGATGCGGTCCGAGACATGTCGTTTGGTTTCTCCAATGTAACTGCTACCACAGAGGAAACACAGTTTGTAAACGCTAGGATACTGTATGTCCGGAATCAAATCTTTTACAGACGGAACCAGATCACGGATTTTATGTACTGTGTTGAATCGGACCTGGATCTTGTGTTTATTCGAGATTTTGGAGATCTTTTTTGTGATCCCCGCAATGTAGGGTAAGGTGATAGTTTTGAATGGCTCCTCAAGAGGGTCCTTTTTCATGGTTGGAGTGATGGCTTTGCGGATTGTGTAGTTGGAGTAACCATTAGCCTTAAGAGCTTGGTGTACGTGCTTGAGTTCACTGGCAATGTGTTCCTGGTCAGAGATGCATTGGGCTCTATGGTATAGACCAGGGGTCGGCAACCTACGGCTCCGGAGCCGCATGCGGCTCTTTACGGGCTGCTTCTTGACGATATGTACGTATGTACAGTATGTACTCAGATGCATTGCGGCTCTTGAAATACTGAATTTTGTACCGAATTGGAAAGAAATGGCTCTTCTTGTTATTTTGGTTGCCGACCCCTGGTATAGACTATAGAGTCTTGATTAGGGTATTCTTCTGGGATGGATGGTGGTGGGAATCCGTATTCTTAGTTTTTTTCGGTAAAGTCACGTAGGTAAAAACATTCAAACGTAAAATAAAATAAAAAAATAAAAAATCACGACGTTTCGGAGGCAACACACGCTTCCGTCTTCAGGTGGTACCGTCACAGCCACGACAGCTGTATCGAGTAAATGAGAGATTGCAGGAGCTACCACTCCGTTTATATAATGGTTGAAGATGGTGGTGGGGTGGGAATCCGGTTTCAGGTAAGCATCCGTATGGGTAGCTTTCCTGTAGACAGAGTGGCTCATTGAACCATCAGGTCTCTTTTGTATTAGGACATCCAAAAAAGGTAGCTTGCCATCTTTTTCGACTTCCATGGTATATCTGATGGCTGGGTGTATGAAAACCGCCACTTTTTTCAAATGTTCTTTCTGTGGCTTTCACACCTGATGATGATGATTGCTTGTGTTGCAGTCGAAACGTCGTGAGAATTTTTACTGTTTTGTATTTATATTATTTATTATTTCCCTTCTACGTGACTTTACCGAAAGAACCAATAATATGAATCCCTGCAGTCACGAAAGCTTTGAATCAAAATTTAACGGAAGACGTTCATGTAACGTCTTCCGGAATAGGAAGAGGCGTACCTCAACGTGTAACCCAATGTCTTCCGGAAGACTCTACCGGGTTAGGAAGCAAACCAAAAAAAACGGAGACTGCCTCCTCATCGTTCTCAGCGGCGGCTGATCGCTCGCGGAATGCAGAGTTCTGGTACGAGGGCGAGACGGGCACCAACATTGCACAACAAACGCCTGCACCTACGCCAAGTTCGTTCCAAGTTAGATTAATCGCGCGTGAAAGACAATCGCAGGGGCGCGTCTATGTTATAATATTCGCGTATATATTTTTACGACGTGGTTGTGGATGTCAGACTGGTCTTCATCCTAGGAGCCTGCGCGTCTCGGGGTCCAATCGCTATTTCTTGTAGAATGATTTGTTTTAAGAGGTTCAAATGAAAACAATCGCAGCGTCAGTGAGGGTTGTTGCGTGTATATTTTGTTAACTGAGGCGAAGGGCTAACGCTCGTTGCGAGAGTTTCGAATGAAAGGCCTCAAGATGGCGGCCAAAGGCTTTGTTAGGCCCAACAATTACACATTTTAATGTTTAAGAATTAAACATTCTATGAATAATGGTACATTGCGAGGCACAGTTTTAGGCTTTCGTTTTAACAGTGTATTGTTTACTCTCACGTCCGCTGGTGGACTGCTGCGATTTCCATGACTGCTGTGGTACATTTAAGGTCCCTGCGTCGCGCGCTTTAAGAGCCGCTTGTGCGGCCGTCTGGAAAGCTCTTCGATGTCAGGAATCCACTGGAGCCGTGCACTTTAACATCCTCCAGATGGAAAACTCGTTTCCGCAAAACAGCGTTTTGTGTTTAGTTTGTTGTCCTTGCCTCGCACCTCTGATAAGCAATGTTAGCTATGTACAATGGGGAAAAAAATCAACATACAAAGATTTGGGCGGGTTCCTTAAACTCCCTTAAACCTAAACAATTATATAGTACTTTGTTTTTACTTCAATATGCTCTTAGTGTATTTTACTAATTTCCCATGCAGCACTTAAGAGTGCCACGGTGGCGAGATGTTAACTTCCTCGCCTGGTATACAGGTGGTCGTGGTTTCGATCCCAACCCTTGACGCCTGCTGTATATTTGGAATTTGCGTGTCTCTCTCCCCAAGGTCGCGTGGATTTTTCTCCGGGTCCTCTTGTTTTTCCCGTCACATTATTAACAACGCGTTTCGAGTATTGGGCTGATCTACATTTTCACGTGATGAGCCGCTTAGTTGAGCTATCATTTGCGGTCAGGTCGCTTCTAAAAAGAGCTATTTAGCTTAGCGGGCCTTATAGGCTTGTTAATCACGAGAGGGCTTAAGTGTAGTTTTACTATTCCTCTGTTTAAGTAGAGGAGACAATAGTGATTTACTATATGGGCGATAGTTTGGTTTGCATGGCCACAATTGTACTACAGTTCTGTGGTTTGTCTTGCATATTCCATTTATACAGGAGATTTGCGCAACGGCCTGTTCTGATGCGGTTGATGGTTACTTCATTGTCATCGAGGAGTAATGTCCAAGTCAGGAGGTGCAATATGTTTCGGTCTCGATTGAGGTGTTTATTCTGAACGTCTACGTTGTTCCACTGCCAGCCTGCATTTTTGTGGCCCCGAGTGAGATTCTAGGATGGTGACCAGATCAGTAGGAGGATACATAATTGAGGCGGAAGTTTAGGTACTTTGTTGTGTCGTAAACAGAAAGTTTTTTTTTTGCAAAATCGTTGTGCTTATTTGGATGCTCTTTTTTCCCCCAAAGGTTGTAAGCCAATTGTGTGATTGGTGCCATCTCATGTAATTAAGTATTCATTCGGAACGCCTTAACCAATGCACCAGTGTGAGAGAACAGCCCTTGAATGAGTACTTTCCCACTTCTATAGAAAACATTGTTGCGTGATGGTCAAACATACTAATCACATGGCCATAATATGTGGTGTTTAAAACACAAAAAATGCATTCCAGTAACACTGTTTTGCTTCTCTCATAAACGTGTTGACCGAACATACCCAAGACAATGACTTTTGAAATATAAGTGTGCTTGCGCAGAAGGCTAGATGACTTGAGACGAATGTGTGACAGCCAAAGGGGAGAACGTGCCTGAGAGTGTGTATATCATGGAGATGGAATGATGAAGTCCATCAATGTGGAGGACTTAAATGGATTGTTTTGCAGGATAGTGAGGGAAGGAAATGACCAGCAGTGGATTGGTTATGGTTTATGATGATGTAGGTTGAACGTCTTTCGCACTGTACGTAGCCAACCGTACTAATCGGAGGTGCGGGGGAAGGACAACAAACTAAAGACAAAGCAGTTCTAAATAAATGAGTCTTCAATCTAGACTTAACAGTGTGCAGCTCCAGTCACAGTGGCTTCCTAATCTCGGAAGGAGGAGCTTTCCAGACTGCCGCTGAAGCGCATCTGAAAGCGTGTGATGCGGTGACTGTCTTTGTTTGATGGCTATCAAAAAGCCCCTGAGAGGATGACCAGATGGTTTATGCTCCTTGACGAGATCAGCAAGGTATTGAGGTTCATTTGTGGCAAGCACTTTGTATGTAATGAGTGCTGCCTGATAATGTATTCGTTCGGCAACCAGAAGCTAATATAGCTCGGCAGCCACACTGTTTTTATGATGAATAAAATGTTTTTCGTTTTCACAGGAGCAAACTATTTTCGAGGCAGCAACCAAGGCTATGGGTTCCCATCGGATCGAAACCTCGACGAGGGCCCGTCGAGCATGATGCACAACACGTCTCCCATGGAGCGCACAGGCAAGCAGGGCCTCGTCATGGGCGATGCTGGCAGATCCTTCCCTGAGAAGCGCATCTTCAGCTACGACAGCTCGCGCGAGATGGACTACATCGCCCCCAGGAAGAAGATCTACGAGTACCAGGACAGCGACCACGTTGCGCCGGTCGACTCGAAGAAGCAGATGGGTGACTATCACGGCATGCCCAAAGCGAGTAAGGATTACCACATGAAAACCGGCCCAGGCTACGGTGGAGGCGGCATGGGTGGCCGCGACTACGGTCACGGTTTGTCGGGAAAGTCATCGTCCGACTACCGTGTCCCCGGCATTGCCGAGCGCGGCGAGCACGTGGATTCAAGGAGAGTTGGCACCGACTACTACAAGGAGCGGGTGCAGCCTATGGGGGGCGAGCCGTACGAAGACTTGGATCCGGGCCCCATGCGCGGACGACCCAAGAGCCCTGGCGACTTCGACACACGCAAGCACGTGGCGCCGCGCAGCCTGAACCCTCCTGACCCGCAACGCTACGTATCGGTGGTGTCAGGGGGCCACGATCGCTACAACCAGAGGGAGCTAAGCCCACGGCAGGCCTACCAGGTCAGGCCCCGCAGCGTCGAGCCGTATGGCACCGTGCATAACCCGATTCGGCGGGAGTACACGCCTGACGGGGGCCATGAGGCCAGGCGGCACGCGCTGCGTCAAGAGCCCGGCCAGGAGTCTTTCTACCACAGCCCTGAACTCTACGACGAGCACCGGTCACCACTTCCTCCCGGCCCCGGCAGGGTGGGTGGCGGCGGTAGTGCAGCGCGAAGGCTCGGCCCGCCAAGGGACCGGGACCCCGAAGGGTTCCAGCGACCGAGAGACCGGGACGAGCGGCACATGGAGGGGTTCCAGCGGCCTGGGCCACGTGGGGATGACCGGCAGATGGAGAGGCCGCCCCCCATGCGGAAGCCCTCAAATGCCCCCCCGCGAGATGGATATGGGTACAGGGGTGATCGACCGCATTCGCAACATGGATATGAGCCCTCGCGTGGTATGTATGGGCCATTCTTCTGAGCACGATGTGTTTTAGTACAGAAAAACTCGCACATTGAATTATTACCCGTTGTACAGCTGCTCCAAGGCCGAGCAAGGCCAGCGTGGCTCAGAAGGCAACAGATTGATTTTGCACTGCATATGACTTCATGTGCAATAAACCTCGGGTGAAAATTATTAATCCGACTCCGCCATACTTGTTGGCTTGTCGGACTACATTTTTCACTGTTTGATTCTGGCTCTACAAAACAAAAGCTGACCTCGACTCGTGCCCCGCCCACTCCATTCTGACACTTGGGTTACGCCCACTTTTACACCTTTATAAACAGTTGCATTTAGAGGCTTACCCCCCTTTTTTATATTTAGTTCGCTAGCTTGCTTAGGACCGTGCAAATCTTTCGGTCGTTTTTTAACCCACTTCCCGTGATCCAATCCAGCTGACATTTTGCACACAGACTCGTTGTGCGTGACAATTTATTTTCGTGAAAATTTCTTTCCAAAATTTTACACTTTTTAGGAAAAAATCTCAAGCCAGAAGACGAGAGGACTCTAGCCGCCACGCATATAAAGGATTTATAGTGAAAAACTTTGTTTTTACGGGTTAATTTTTCTCTCTGCCTGATGATGACCGCTTGTGTTGCGATCGAAACGTCGTAGTTTTTTGTTTGTTTTATTAATTTGAACCTATCTACGTGACTTTACCGAAAGACCCAAACAATATGCGTTATGTATTATCAATATTTTTGCTGTATGCCGTCCACTGACAGGTAAATGACGTCCAGTGGTCTTCGTGAGGCCTTGTCGTTCCTGGAGAGTATAGAGTTTATGCTGTTGTTTGATGCTGGCTTGACTAAACTTGTGGGTGTTTGCTCACAGGTCCGCCGCCCGAGAGACCGAGGAAAGACCACTCGGACATGACGACAGATATGCTGAGGGGTATGGTGGACTTAATCAAGTCTGGGAAGCTGCCCATCCAGCCTCACCTAGGTGATGACAGTTTACTTGCGCAACGAAGTGCCTTATTGCATGTAAATTTATAGCAGCCAAATACTCCAAATTTGTGTTTCTGAGCAGAAGACCAGATCGCCGCTATTGCTCTCTTTTGTGGAAGCCCTTCCCCCCTAGCAATGGCGTGAACGAGCAAACAATCCGAGGATTGTACCTCTACGTTTTGGCTGAGGAGCGATGGCAAATGTGCCACAGTGAATAAGGTTGCCTTAGCCGTCTGTACATTTGCTTGTGCCAAGTATTGCTTGCATGACCAAAATTCCATTGGAAAAGGTAACGGTCACTGGTTCAGTCACATTCCTGTTACTAAATCACCTGGAATGCGCCTGAGTTGTATCCAGGCATATCCTGCATGACCAACCAGCGTGCACAACACGGTGTTGAAGGTTCTGGGGCTACGTGGTGGGCAGGACATTGTTTTATAACTCTGCTCCCTCATCTATGCTGCCTGTCTTAACCAACTCGCCCTGTCCTGCATGATGACCTCCATGACCCACATGGTGTAGGGATATCCTCATCCAGCAGCTAAAGGGCTGTACACATACAATTTAATTGCATATGCAAGTAAAAACAACCACGACAAATACTTCATTAATATTGGTTCAAATTACCAACACTTGCAGAAGTAGTTAAAACTCTTGGCAACTGCCCCGAGTGCCGTGTATACACGCCGTGCCGTGTTCCGCTTGCCGTCTCGCTGATGGAGCATCTCTCCTCTACGCTTCATCGCAGAACCGGAACGGCGCAGCCACAGGGAGCGCATGGTGGAGCCGAGAATTGACTCGACGGTGGAGGCTGCGTCGATCCTACGGGATGTCGTCCATCTGCTCAAGGTGGATACGATGAGAGGTAGGGTCTCACGCGCACGTTCACCAGAACCATACTTTGAAGTTCCAGGGTTCAATTTCCGACCCGCAGTGCCTTTCGATGTGCAGTTTGTTCTCTCCCTGTTCTGCATGGGTTTCCTCTGGTTTCTCCCAAAACATTTCCCAAGAATAAAATAAGATGCAATGTAACTGGTATTGGCCAAACATCCCAATGCTCAAAAAATATTTGCAAACAAGCAAAATAATATAGTAATTTTAACGTGTGAATTAGTGTGGAATACCCCATTTTCTTTTTTTTACAAGCACTAGTTAATCTGCAACCTAGATAATCCACCCACAGATGATAAGAGGTTTTAATCAATTTGTGTTTAAGAAACCTAACATGAGTCCACGTCTTCTTTGTTTCTTCTTCCTGTCAGGTGGCATGGACCGCCCATGTTCCCCTCCAAGCCCTCCACCGCACGGGTGAGTCCTAAGTGTTGTGCTCACTGCTGTGATAACCTCGCGCAACAAGACCCATCGGGAAGTGCCGAATAGAAGCCACTCTCAATGTGTTTTCAACTTCGTCGACCTACATTAGCGAGTTTCACAGTGACCATGTGGCTCTGAAGAAATGTCAAGGAGGTGTTTAAACTTGAGTGTATTGTTTGTATGGTGGCTAGGTAGCAGGGGTGGGGCGAGGGGGGGTAAGGATAAAGCTCTGTCCATACCATAGCACTGCGCCAGCAACATTGAGATCCTGAGTTGAATTGCTGGAATTCCATGTGAAATAAAGCAGGATTTTCAAGTCAAGCAAGCTGAAGCTGATGAACAAAGATGACCGCATGGGGGTGGGGATGGGGAAACACCCCCACAACACTTGTGTTTGCCCATCACAGCTTTGAAGCTCGAATGTATACGTGTGTGTCAAACGATACGTGGCAGACCACTAAAACATCCCGTAAGGCAGTCATGTGGATGTGGAGTGAGATCTGCTGCGGCGCTCAATGTCATGCGGCGCCTTTTCTGGTGTCTTCCGTCCATGTGATGTCATCTCTAGACTGAGGGGCTTTAGCATTGTTGCAAGCTTCATAGCCTAGTACCCTCCACTCCTCCAGTGCCAAAATTAAGATGTTACTGTGTTGCTTCCTTTGAGAAGATGAAGTGTGAATTTACGGATTTTCATTTGGTTGTGGGTTTAGTTGTTGGTAGTTGCCATTTCGAACAATATGTAGAACAAATAGAGATTTTATCTATAACCCTTCCAAATAATTTTCTCCTGCTGGTAAACGCAGCTGAGCACAGATGTTCAATGATGTGAAAAGCTGTGCACAACATGTTCATCAGATTTTTACCGTAGTTGTAATTATTTTGAAGGGCGATTTATTTCGATGCAATGCTTATCACCCTTCTGTTTGTCATGTTGCCTTGATGTTCATCTTGCAATTGGGATAATCTGCAGGTGAGCATCGACAGACCAGGACTTTAATGGTCTCTTACAACATGCTCCTTTGACTTGGCGTTCACAGCTCCATTACTCTTGAGCAACATTCATTACAATTCTGGCCATCAAATTCTTTTGGAAGGATTTTTCAAGTCAATGAAATGTTCTTCAGTGTTTCTTTTGGTGGCCCAGCCATTTTGCCAAATGCTATTAAATTGTCACACCTGCTATGACTTGGAAGCTGTTTTACAGTGCTCATGCTGTGTATGTAGGGTTTATTTTTTATTTCCCTCTATTTGTTTACATTTTATTCAGTGCACAGAGCCAAGTCTCGCCTGCCCTGTACCCCCACCTCACCATACATCTCAGTCAAACCACATACCCCCATCATCTCCCCTGAGCCACCCCCCCCTTGCCATACAGACTGGCCACCAACACAATAACGAGTGATGCTACTGTTCCAGGTTTGGATCTCCCCAAGGTTCTTACGATCCCCGCTCTGGACCCGGCCCCTCTGGCTATTTTGGTCGGCACGACGGTCACGGCAACCGGGGACCTCCCCCGGTCCCCCATGGTGGGCCGAGAAGACACGACAGGGGCGGCCGAATGATGGGCCATGGTCCTCCTGGGTCCCCCCCTGATATGCGGGGGGGCCGACGCATGGATGCCCCTCAGTCGGGTCATTATCCTCCTCGTGGAAGAAGTCCCTTCCGGAACGAGCGCAACATCCCTGGGTCCGGCGGCGTAAGTACTTCCTGTTGCTCAGCGATGACCTTCAGGCTTGGCGTCGTGGCCCATCTGCTGGAGGCTGGTTGCCCTCGGAAGTTCACTCAGAAGTCTGCTGGATTGTTTGCCGTACCTCTGCAGCATTGTTGCGGGTCGACAATTGGGCCGGGTTTTTGCTGTGGTTTGTTTTAAGTGAAAAACACTGCTGCGTCGCAAAGGACTCATTTTGTACGATCACACGAGGTTTATTTTGGCTTACGTTCCATCTTGCGTTTGCCCCTATGGAGAGGGAGATCCCAGAATGTTGAGTGGTTTCAGGTTTCCAGGTCCTGTTGCGCTTGAAAAGCTGTGAAGATCGACCTTGTCGTGCACTCTGCCCAAGTGAACATGCAAAGAGAAGCACGCTGCAGCATCGATACGACAAAGAAGGAGCTCACGTCTTGCCAGCTGTCCTGTGAATGAAGCCAATCCAATGCACCTTTGGGTTTGGTGTGGGAACGGAAAAGCTGCGTGAGCACCTTTTAGAACTAGCTTGGCAGTATCACTGACTGGTGTGGCACCATTGGAAAAGCAATATGTGTAACGGTTTCGCTTGAATTGCACCGCAATGGATAGTGGAAATGTTTTGGAAACTAGCCCTTACGTGGTGTGACGCTAAGTTCGTGAGGTCATGGTGGAATCATCGAGCAGTTACGTTCACACACGGCACACTGGGAAGAAAAACACAGCAGTCCAACAAGATGGAATGTTGGATCATCCAAACATTTGTAATGTTCAAAATGTACAAAGTCAAAAATATATATCGTAGCATCTGTTGCTTTCACATTATTTGAACATTGAAGTGAAAACAAGGATCGGTCGTCAAAAGTATTTGAATCACATTTGAATGTGAAAATTTCCATGCGTCTTGAATGTTTGAATAGTTTTGGGAAAAGCCTGGGCTTTGCTCATCTGGAATTGACAACTGAATGTTGTGTGCTCTCTTGTGGAGATAAGGTTTTCAATTGACTTCATTATTTTACTGTCCTTTTATTGATGTGCAAACATGGACTTCATGTTGATGACGACTGGTTCATGAGGTAGATTGTGGAAAGAAAGGCACATCGCTAATTTGAGAGAGACTATTTGACTAAAACACTCGTAAAAGAAAACTGACCGCTGAAGGAATAGCATAGTGCAGACCATGAAAATCACTTTCTGAAGCCGGAAGTTAATGGATTTTGTTTAGGCATTGAGAAATTCACCCTTTTGAAGGGGATCTCATTGCACAAAATATACAATGAAAATGGACATCTGGAGCATTGGGTTTTCTCTAGCATCGCTTCACAATTGAGTGATTGCCAGACAACTTAGTCAAGTGCTGATCGAGATAATGGCAGGGGGGAGTGTAAAGAGTGTTGTGATGACCTTGATCAAAATATATTCGTTGTCAACTTCACAAGTCATGGGGCCAAGTTTCGTTTGGACTGCCTCTTCTTTCTCTACGAAGGAGAAAGGGCTTTTATCAGACGAAGAGGGGTTAACGCGACCTACAAGTGTAGCACGTGGAACTCTGACGTAACCGCCTTGAGCATCCCTACAGCTGCGATGTATCACGGCGGCTGAAAAACAGTAAGTTTTACCTTTTATGTGAGCGTGGTGGCACCGACGTGCATAATGCCCGCCTCTCTCTGTTTCTGTGCCAAAGAATACAATGCGAATGCCCATGAAACGAAGGGAAATGGATCATCCGATGATGCCGCAGAACAAGCGCATGCGAATTCAAGGTGAGCGCCTCGCTTGCGCGTTTGTTCTCGAGGCATCGCGACGGCACCTTTTGCGTTCGGCATGATGTCAAAAGACGAAGTATCCATTCAAATGTCATGTAGAGCAATGCAACCATTTGTGTGAGAGAACAATGGGCCATCCAGTTACCTTTGAGGGCCCTTGAAGGGACCCCTGTTCCACACAGCATGACATTCAAACCAATGTATTTCATTCTAGGAGTTGAAATGTCGCCAAATTACATTAAGAACCAAATTAAATGGTTTTTGGCGCAGTCATTAACCCACTATACTTGAGACAGTGTTTAACAGGTGGCTGCCTGCATTCAAACCCAGGATGTAAGTGATTCAGGTAAATAAATATTCAATGGATGTAGTGTTTAGGTTTTTATTCGTATAATTCACATTTTGCTTTGTAACTCGTTTAATGCCATTTAACTGGCATATAATGAGCTTAAAATGTAAGTATTAATTTCTTGGCCACAGGATTCTGCTCAATGTGGATAGTGTCTCCCATGAGGTGGATTGTAATATTCAATGTTTTTTTTGTGTTCACTCGGGAACCTGCCCCCCTTGCATATGTTTTGTTTGTAGATTCTGCGCAAGGATACGGTACAGGAGATGAACACGAGATGGAAGACCGCTACTGGATAAAGTGAGTCGCTCTAAATATTTTAACAAAAGCTTACACAGGAATCCCCCACTCGTTCTAAAGGGATGTATTGCTGGTAAAATGCGAATTAACTCGAAATTACTTTTGAAGCCACTCTTGGTTCCCCACGGACAATGTTAAACTCAGGGGTTGCGTTCTTAGCCAACATGAAGTGTACAGATGCATAAGGTAACATTTTCACTAATAATACAAATAAATAGGTAAAACTTAGCAGAGATGTTTGAAGAGCTTGCAGATCGAGGCCGCATAGGGTGAGCAGTGGTGGAGTTTATGCAGTTGGGTAGGCCAAGCATTCTGGCACTATAGCTATAGGTTTTCGCATTATGCGATGTTTCGGATATATGTGTCATCCATTACTTGGGGAACATTGCCGTAAGAGTAATGTTTCGCACATACGTTCTTTAAATAAAAAATAATCAGCAAAGTTTTTCTTGCAATTCTTAACGAGGAACGCACGTGGTGAATACAGAGACTATATCTTGCGATGTAAGTTCGTCCTACACACGTCGTGTCTACCAGCAAATAATAATCTCCACGTGTTCAGCCTCCATCTGCCAGCCTGTCATTTTGTGTGATCACTTAGGAAGTCATAGCTTTAAAAAATTACAAACGGCTTTAGAAATATGAGCAAAACACGGTAAATGATGATGGTGTCTCTGGCAAGAAAAGGCAAAGGAACAGTATTAAATCTCCAGGTTACATTTGAAGTTTTAAAGCATTTTGAAGCAGGTGAAAAGGCAGTTGATGTTGCCAGAATGCTTGGCTGACCCATGGTCTTTGTGAGAACTATTCAAGTTAATGCAGGAAAACATTATAGAATGATCTAAAAATGTGGCACCTTTAACTGCCACCAAAATTACTCGTAGCAGAAGTGGAATTCTAGAAAATATGGAAAGACTTGAGTGCCCGGATTGGAGATAAAATCAGCGTAGCGTGCCGATTAGTACATTGATCATCGAGGAAAAAGCTAAAAGTTTGAAGACATCATTGGAAACTTTAGGAGCTTAGTGTGGCTGGTTTACCCAGGTGTAAGCGGTCTGCATCATATTAAAGCGTCAGGTGAAACTGCAAATGGTGGCAGTGAAGCGGCAAAAAACTATCCTCTAACATTTTGAAAGAACCTATTCAAGAAGGTGGCGATACACCTGAGTAAGTGTTCAAAGTGGATGCCACAAGGCTGTATCAGAAAAGCGAATGTCGGCAAAAACATTCCTTTCTAAACAATAGAAGACTGCACCAAGTTATAAAGCAGCCAAAGATCGATTTACTGTCCTGCTAGGTCGGAACTCTTCAGGACATTTCGAGCTCAAACCCTTGCATCGTTTACCACTCGGGAGACATCAAAAATTGTGAAAGGTTATTCAAAAGAACATCTGCCTGTTGTTTTGACGATAAAAAATTGCCATGCCAGCGGGTTTCTAGACGGGTTTAATTAGCATTTATGCCCAGCTGTGATGGAATATTGCAACAAAACCAACTTTGCACACAAGACAAAGCTCCGCAAATGTGATGAGTTTAAGCTAATTTGTATTGAGTTAAAATGCATTTTAACTTCTAATCATATGCATTTTCGTGCACTTAATGATGTTAAGCACATTTTTTTCTCCAGAAATGGTCGGTTAGGAGCGTAACTCCTGAGTTCGCTTTCGGTAGCATTTCATAGGAACTTTTCCCTTGTGTATAGCAGGAGTTTCCTGTACATTAAACTTACAATGTCTGCTTTCGCTCAACACGTAATATGCAAAGCATACATTTGTTTTAACAAACGCCTCTGAAAGGAAGATGTGTTCCATGTTACGTCTAAACTCCAAAGATGCAATAAATAAGGAATTTCTTCAATGAAACTCGTGAGCACTAAATGACTTGGTCAAGCCCACGCAGGGCCCCATTAGTCACTGTTCACATTGACGTTTGACTCAGCTTCGACACGCGAGCCCACGTGCCGTCGGTGAGGTTAAATCTCGGCCTCGGTGACCTGGAGTGCGCTCGGCCTGTGCCCAAAGGTGCAAGTACGGCTGCTCGCTGTGCAAGTTCTTCACGTACGACGAGAAAATCATCAAGGAGCACATGACGGGCGACAACCACCGGCACACGCTGCGTCTCGTGGACACCCTCTTCCCCAACGACAAACACATCTCACACTTTCTGCATGTGAGTGCCAGCTTGCTTTGGGATCCGATGCTGATGCGGCCCTCTGGAAATTGTAAATCAGAATATTTATTGATACTGGAGGAATCCGATGAGCTATAAAGCTCCTTTTTTCACATATGTCCAGTCGAGGCAGGTCAGAACGTTACAGCAACACAATACGAAACACGATAGGAGTGAAACATATAGGAAAGGAAAGAACATGACTTTAAAAATATACAAATAAAACAAAACTTATTTTTTACCAGGTTAAACCCACTGACCTATTAGCTTTTATTTCAGAAGCGACGGGGCCACAAATGATGATAGGTCAATGAAAGAACCTTGACATAGTGGTGAGCACTCTGCTATGAACCTAGTGACCTGAGTTTGATCAACGTCACAATGCTGGGTAGTGTTGGTTATCAGAGACAGCACAGATGGTACAGTACAATGGTATATTTTTCTGCACTAACCTTATGCTGCCCACAATATAGTCCTGCAGCCTATATAACACCACCTGTTGTACATGGTGATCACTCATCCAAGTTCTTTGCAGGCTCAACTCTGCTTAGCTCCTGAGATCTCAAGAGATTATGGATGCATTGCAGGTGATTTGGTCCTGGGCTGAGACTGGTTAAGGATAATTATTTTATAAAGGAGAATCTGTCCCATTCCGCTTGCGTTTATGCAGTGCCTGCTTGCATACCTGTCGAACCCTTATCAGTGCCTACCTTATTACAGACCAATTCAGGTCTTATTGATCACCCCGTGCCCTTGTAAATCTCAACGTTCATCCTTCAAAGTCCTATCACAAGGGAGAAACACAAACGGACAAAGATTATGTTACTAAACAAAAACTTGTTATGTATTCATGTTGATAATTGTTATCAATCGTATTACTTATCATGCTACTGTGATCTTGGATGCTGATGATGCTGCTTGCTTGATATTTGGATGCACACACTCATATTGATTATTATTTTTACCCGTATTGAAACGTCTGTACGCCGTTATGGACCTGAAAACTCAATTTCTCTGTACAAGAATACGGGTAAACCGTATGGGTTGACAGGTATGTGCTTGCTTTGACACTTGTACTTTTGTGCATTTTTGTTTCTACCAGAAAAAAATTGAGTACAGGAATAGCAAGATAGTCCCGATGACTCGCAAGAGATGGGAACAAGACAACAGCCGGCCATTCAACGAACTGATTGATGGTGAGAAACAGTCGGCTAGCTCTTATTAACTTGTTGTGTCAGTCTAGCCCAGATCATTCTTAACAATTGGTTGTAGTGGTTAGTGCACTGCCCTGCGGTCCGGCGACTCCAGTTTTATTTTTGCTCACGGCCAACATCGGTGACTGATGTCTGAACCGGTACTGGGATTTTCCCTTGGTTGACTCAGCCTTAAATAAGTACCTTGTATGGTGTATAAATGTTAGCACCGGTGTAGGCAAAGGCGATCGGGCATGATTGGCCACCCAACCCCTTTTGTGCTTTGCCGACCGTCATAGGTGTTTGCTAACTGCACTTGCTTTAATAGTTGGCTTGATAAAATTGGGGATATTATTTTCGTTTATGTTACTTAAATTATGCACAAGGTTATGCCTTTTGGAGATGATTGACAATGCAGTGTACCAGCACACATGTCCGTCAGATAGCACGGAGCACATTGGTATAGACACTTGTATTCTAACGTGCACAGATTAGTTAATCATTTGATTACTTGGCAGCCAGCGCAGGTCATCACGGATGGTCAGTGTGATGTATGTATGCATGTTGAACTTACGTGGCCATGTGGTTATACTTACACTTCTGCACTATTAGACGTGTGGCTGAGTTCAGGACAGAGTAGAGTGGATGTATATGGATGGCGCTGGTGCGGCTGAAGACGCTGTCACAATAGTCCACACGAGTGGTGATGAATGCGAGGACTAGTGTCTTGGCTGCATCAAGAGTCTGAATGGCCTATTGCGCGTAGCCTCCGTATTTGGGAATGGCCCACGTTGTGCGCGTCAAGAATTTAAGTTCATGGTCAAGGTCAACTCCCAGGCACTTGACACCAGCAGTCACTGGGGTGATGATCTGAACGGTTGTGAGTTACTTCCTGGCACCAAGCCAAATTAACTGGGTCTTCTCAGGGTGACGGTCCAACACTGAACGTTGGCAGGTTTCTGCGTGGTCCCACATCCACCGGTCAATGTCATCAATGCTGAGGTGCGATAACAATGCGACACGTTGAAACAGCTTCATCACCAAAGTAAAACTGCATGTCTTCAGCATATGTGTGTTTGCCAAGACCGTGTCACTTGGGCAATGGTTGTGATATAAGCCGTGTGAAGTAGAAAGATCACCCCGTGCCCTTATACCTTGTGTCTTCCGAATTCGATACTAGCGACATTCCAGCGACATCTTGCCGTAAGTTTACATATGCGGACGATATCGCACTCGCAACCCAAGCACGGAAAATGGAGGACACTGAGGCAGCCCTCGACAAAGGTCTGAAGACTCTGGAAGAATGCTTCAAGAATTGGCGCCTTAAGCCAAACCCATCGAAGAGCGTCGTCTCCGCCTTTCACCTGAACAACAGACAAGCTTCGAAAACGTTGAACGTTAACTCGTGCGGGGCGAAGCTAAGGCATTATGAACACCCTCAGTATCTAGGAGTTACCCTGGATCGAACGCTTAACAACCATCACCACCTCAAACAAGCAAAAGGTAAAACGAAAGCACGAGTGAATATTATTCAGAAACTTGCAGGAGCAACCTGGGGAAGCGATGGCAGCACGTTGAAGATATATCGATGCTGGCCCCTGTTCACTCCACTGCGGAGTACTGTGCCCCGGTGTGGGGTGCAAGCCCTCACACGAGCCTTGTCGATGCCGAAATTAACAACGCGCTTCGTATCATCGGCGGTTCCGTCAAGTCTCCTCCACTCCTGTGGCTTCCGGTGCTGGCGAATATCGCTCCGGCGAACATCCGACGCAATGATGCGACGACACGGGAGTACAACAACAAGATAATGAAAAACTTCACTCTACCACTCCATCGAGATCTAATAGAACCCCCACGCTGCCCAAGGCTAAAATCCAGGAAACCGTTCTGGATAAGCGCCTCCGCTGGTCTGAATCATGGGCGGCCATGGACGTTGCAAACAAAAACATAATTCATAATTCAGTACCGGGATTCTCTCTTCCACGTCGACTTTGTACCACATTGAACCGCGCTCGAACACAACACGGCAGATGCGCGTACACGTTCCATAAACGGAAGATCAATTAATCGCCCAGCTGCGACTGTGGAAAAGTCCAAATCATCAAGCACATCACCGATGAATGCTCCATGCACATCCTGGCGGTATCGCTGAAATCCACACTGCGTCAACCACATCATTTGACTGGATGAGGAACCCTTGCATTCATTTATGACGATCGTGAAGAAAACATTTAAACTGTGGCTTTTCACAATTCCATACGAAAGTAAAAAATAGAAAGAGCACTGGACCCAAAGAATTTACCAGCAAAGGCAACCGTGTCTTGTGTCCTCTGCCGAATGGACGAGTCAATCCGGTAACTCCAAACGCATCGTGAAAACGGTTGATGATGTTGTGGTCGACCGTGTCAAAAGCAGCGGGCATGTGAATTAGACCTAAGATAGCATTACGTCTCCACTATCAGCGGCTTAAAAAGCATATGAAACGACCTTGAGAATGCAGCCTCTGATATTCCCTGTAGGCTGACTGAAGGCGAAAGAATGTCATGTTCAAGGAATGCGATGCGCTGAAGACAGACCATAATCTCAACAACTTTAGAAATATATGTAAGTTGTGATATTGGTATGTAGTTCTTTACGTCAGCTAACTTCCCGCTGACTCAACGGATGTGAACCTTGATTAATGCATTGCACAGAGCTGTTATAAACGGTAGAATCTCTGGGAGAAACTACGCAAGAGTCTTGGTTGGTATATGGATCAAGTGCACGTGACTTGAAAGGAGCACCCATGATTATACTCCGGACAACATCAACTGAGAATGTGGCTCAAACTCTTTGAGCATTTCAGTGGTAGGCTCGAGGGATGGAAAGACTATTCCCACCAGTAGAACTGCAGATTGTGGTGATGTTATTGAAGTAGGTGAGAAACTCGGTTTCCCGATCTTGTCAGATCCCAAGAGTATGGTGCTGATCATATGTGGTTGTACAGTGCTGAATATATTGAGGGGTTTTCACTACTAAGTTTATTGAAATGGCTATTGTTCTCTGAGACTATGGAATTATACACCACAGAAATTGAGAATAATACAAATAATTTCAACCGCTGTGATTGCTCCAGACTCAGCGCAGCCTGGAAGTGTATTAAGTAATACACAATACATCCTTATAGAGGAGTCACATGCTAAGTGGCTGATTACTGATCTATTACATAATTGCAATATCCCCCCCACCAATGCCTCTGATCTCGAAACCTGATGGGGTTCAACAATGATGACGTCATCTTGCACTATTTAAGACCGGTAGCAGGTGGATGGCTTCACTATTCTGGCAAATCGCCCGAAGATGCTGGATGTAATTACCAGCGAAACATCGTACTCAAATTATAAATGTGGATTCACTTTTCAAACACACCGGTGGGCTGAAGAAGTAACTTATTGACGTTTTGTTAACGTGACCATTTTTTACCGATTGTCCGTATCGGGTGGTGGAGGGTTGCGACACATTTATAATAACGCGATCTAACCCAAAAACCTTTATCATGAATAATACTGGTCGCGAAAGACTACGTGTTAAACTGAGTAGTATCTGGCTCTGCAGTAGTATCTACTGACCCTATAGTAGTATTTACCGACTCTATAGTAGTAACTACTAACTCCATAGTAGTATCTGCTGACTCTATAGTAGTATCTGCAGACTCTATAGTCGTATCTAACCGACTCGATAGCATCTACTGACTCTATAGTAGTAACTACTGACGATGGTAGTATCCACTGACTATAGTAGTAACTACTAACGCTACAGTAGTATCTACTGACTCTATAGTAGTACTGACTAGATGTATTTACTGACCATAGTATCTACTCACTATAGTAGTATCTATTGACTCTATAGAAGTATCTACTGACCATAGTCGTAACTACTAACTCTATATCAGTATCTGCTGACTCTATAGTAGTATCAGCTGACTCTATAGCAGTATCTGCTTACTCTATAGAAGTATCTACTGACTCTACAGTAACATCTACCGACTCTGCAGTAGTATCTCCCGACTTTACAGTAGTATCTACCTACTCCATAGTCGTATATACTGACTCTATAATAGTATCTTTCGACTCTATAATAGTACTAACTTCAAAGAGTAGTGTTGAGGCCTAGTCCCGTGCAAAGCCCCCGGCCTCGCCTAGATTTCCCAGCCGGCCGAGGTGGCACCTTTGCAGGCTGGGGCTGTGCCGCTACCCCCCCCCACACCATCCCCCCACCCGCTCTACAGTAATAGTATCTAAAGGCTATAATAATAGTATCTACCAACCTTATAGTAAGTGCACACATTGGGGTGGGGGGGGGATAGGACATCGCACTCTGAATAATTCACCTCAGCGTTGTGTTTTTTTCATTTTTAACGTGAATGACAAGTCCCCCCTCCCCCTTCCACCGATCGCGTGTGTGCATTGCCATGGGAACTACGTGTCAGCGTTTCGCGCATCCACATATGCGTGCTTTGACGCACGCTCAGCTTAGTAATATAATTAATAGTACAAAATTGTTAATTTAACTACTTTAAAGTTGACGGATGTGAAATACGAATAGCGCTGGCTCACCACGGGGCTTATCGCGTGGTATCTGGTTACTTTTTTGAAACGTAAACCCCACAGTTTGCGAGTTAAATCCGTCGCAATTTGCATCCACAGACAGACGGACAGACAAAACACGTCTTTTATAGGTAAGAAGCAATCATCGCCCCTGCTGTGGAAACTTTGCAGGACGCTCCTAAATAAAAGTCATGAGATTCAGCGACGATTTTCCTGAGTAAACAAGCAAAACAAGTTTGAAGATGCTGGGTGTCTCTAAGTGGACCTTAGAAAATGTCTCTGGACGGTTTACCAAGTATTGTACAGAGTGAAACGGTACCTGGAATCGTCCCTCAATCTGCATAATGTCCTCGTCCTAGAAAGTCACTAACTTTGCTGCAAGTCATATTGATAACAAAAAATTGTTGCGAGGGAAAGCTTTTAAAGGTTGCTTCGTCTGGTGACAAAAAAAATCACACTGCTGCTTATGGCACTTGCCCAAACAGGAATCCCATGTTCTTTCCACATCCAGGCATAACGCTGCCCGAAGGCTGGATACGCACGGAGGTGGTGCGCTGTCTCGCTTGCCGCCGCTTCCTGCTCCGTAACAAGCTGGACCTGCGGCGCCACATCGCCTCCAGCGCGCACGCCGCTTGCTACCAGGTGCAGCACACAGACGCTCCCCCGCCCATCGCCCCACTTGAACCCCACCTCTCCCTTTCCCTTGGTGCAATGTACTGACTGCTCAAGCTGCACGTCTGCAGTGCGGAACATCTTGAAAGTCAGACTCGGAATATTTATTTATACCGGATGAAGCCGATGAGCTATAAAGCTCTTTTTCATAGAGATCCAGTAGTTTCACAGATATCCAGTCGTCACGTTACAGGCCTACGAAGAGATGTTAGCCACAATGAAGTGCTTAACCCTTTCCCGTTCATAACTCGGCGATATAAACAATAATCGACTCTAAATGGGGCAAAACTGTTCAGCCTATTCGGCCAAGTTGATGATGTTACACGTCATGCACTTTGCGACTTCATCTCATTGTGCAGCTCACAGGGTAGCGATAGTATCACTTAGTAACCCTTTCTCTTTCCGAGACGTCTGCAAGTTGCAGGGTGGGTTTCCCATTCTCTGCATTTCTGAACGCCCAAATGGTGAGTGTTAATTTTATTTAGAGAGGCAGAGGGTCGATGTTTTTAAAAACCCTACTCACCGCAGAGAACTGTTGCGACACAACCGCATTCTATGATAGCTGGTGCCAAACTGTGCCACACAGCCTCCCGCACGGCCTTGTGGGAGCCTCGGTACCAATAGAGTTGTATTTTTCTTCCGGTGACTAAGGCTTACCATACTGCCATAATGGAACAGCAGAGTAAATTTATGGATGGAAATCTTAAATTCATTCTTATGTCCAGATTATTATTATTGTTTCAAGGAACCAGGGGCATAACTTTTATGTTGTAAGTTGGTAGACATGTTGCATTCTTCCAATTCACCGAGTGGAATGGCCCTGAAACTTAGGCATTGCCATGATACTCAGACAATTTGATGACATCTGTTTGTCTTAATAATTCAAACGCTTAATAGGTGAACCTCGTGAAGATTGTGATAGCTCGTCAGAAAACAAATCTCATAGAAAGAGGTAATTCCGTCATTTTTCTGTTGGCAGGAAAGGATTTTAAATTAGCACGCTGTCATAAATCGACCTTTTGCTTTAATCGCGAAACAATACTTTGCAACAAAAATGTCAAATCGCATCTTATTTCCAAAGTTGTAAATGTTGAGTAGTTTTAGACGTAGATTGACCAGTGTGCTCGCTCTCCGTGACGTGTTGTATTGTAAACGGGTGTCTGTTGTGCTTTGCCCCTTAGACGTTCACAAACGATAAGAAGAAGGGCATTCAGAGCATGGTTTTCCAAGTCTACGACAGTGCCACCATGGCCCACCGCTTCCAACGCTTCAAGCGGGTGAGTCGCCACGCATTGCGCCACGGTGGCGAGATGTTAACTACCTCGCCTGGTATGCAGGAGGTCGTGTGTGTGCGTGTTCACCCCGTGGTCGCGTGGATTTTTCTCCTGGTCCTCCGGTGTTTCCCTCCACATTGAGAAGTGTGCATATAGAGTATTTGGCTGCTATGCATTTCCACATGATAAGCTACTTTGTTGAGCTATAATTTGTGGCCAGGTCGCTTCTTGAAAAAGAGCTACATAGCTCAGTGGGGCTGACCTGGTCAATAAAAAATATATAAATTCACTTTTGGAAATCCCTTTCTCGTCTATCTTTCTCACTTGGGTTTACCCATTTTCCTCATATCATAGTGGACTGTCGTACATAAGCGAAATTAATGTTTTCAGTGACATTAAGATGAGAGGATCACAATGCACTTCCAGAAATGCTGATGGTTTTTTGCATAATGCACAAATGCCGAGTTGTTTTACAAGTATTTCTACATACGGTGCGAAAGAAGTTGAGCATACATACGTACATTTAAAACTCATGGTTTTCCGGCCCACACTGTTTTTCCATGATGGATTTTTCTCATCGAATACAGTTGTAATAAAGCGACGTGCGTGAATGTGCACGCACATGTCTTTTTTTATTTCCTATCCAGGGTGAAGACGTTTTTGACGAGGATGAAATTAACGTCAAGGACAACAGCAAGTTGAAAAAAGAGGATCCAAAAGCGAAGAAAGATGCCAACAAGAAGTCTGCTCCCGCAGGCGCGGCCGCGGAAACAAAGGTCGTCGCTAAAAAGGGTAAAGCAGATCTGGAGAAATCGGCCAAGAAGAACCCCACGGAGCACAAGGAGTCGGCGGATGGCGTCAAGGTCAAGACGGACGCAGACGGGAAACGGGAGGGTGAAACGGAGGCAGTCAAGGACGACAAGGAGAAGGGTGCAACGTCCGAGACGAGGGGGAAAGAGGAGGGCGCTGCGGCGAAGGAGGAGGAGGAGGAGACCCAAGGGGAGGAAGATGACTTGGGAGATGATTCTGACCTCTTCCAGGAGCTCATGGACGAAGACGAGGGCGAGGGAGGGGAGGACGAGGAGGCTGCAGCAGAGAGCGCCGAAGTGGCGAAGGGCACCAAGGAGACCGGGCAGGAGAAGCAGCCCCCCGAGGGAGGGGCGATTGAGCACAGTGACGAGCTGGGAGATAAGGAAGACCTGGATTACGAGGAGGCGGAGGAGGAAGACGTGGAGGCTGAGGAGGAGGAAGAAGATGAACATGAGTTTGAAGAGGATGAGGAAGATGTTGAGGAGGAAATGGAGGAGGACGAGGAGGGGGGGGAGGAGGAGGAAGATGGAGGCATGGGTGGGGACAAGGAAGACTGTTTGGAGGGGCTTCTAGATGAGCAGGGTGACAAGTTTCAGGAAACAGACGCCACGACCACCGCCACCACCACAGCCACCACCACAGGCACCACCACAGCCACCACCACAGCCACCACCACAGCCACGACCGCTACGACCGCTACGAAGAAGGGGAAGTAATTGTCAGTCTTGAGAAACAAGCGCCTGTTACTCGGTGCCAGCCTTATAAAAGCCGCATTATCGCCCCAAAAGAGCCCTGCTTTTAACCCGACATGGAGAGGCGCTGTGTTCATTGGACCAAGTCTTCGTATTTTCCGAGCGTCGCGTACGAAGAGAGTGGTGCTGTAGGGGTCATCGTAACTCTCAGCAGTACGAGCGGCGTGCACGCGACACGAAGCCGAGTCGTAGATGGGGATTTGGTGTTAGAATTGTTTGGCGTCCAGTGCGACATTTATTCTTTTGAGGATCGTAGGAAACCCATGAATTCACAATTCGAGGCATGCATTTCCTCAGAAAATGTGAATGTTTTCCAATCCCCCCTTTAAAATATTGTCGTACTATTGAGAAATATATGAAGTTATAGTTTTGTTTGCAGGTTGGTATTGGGTTATGCTAACGTGTCTAGGTTTGAATCCTGAACTACAGCTGTATTGGTAATTGCCGAGGCTTGCAAGACATCCTCATTGAAATAACATTCATGCAGGAGGCTTCGACTATTAGTTTATTATGAATCCTTAAAATTGTATTGGATTAAAAGCGCAATCCTTTACAATGCCTCGCGATGCGTGAATTCCAACAGCGTGTTTGGTTGCCGTCGGACCCAAGTTTTATGTTCGACAAATCTTTTGATTTGCAGGTGTTTGGTCTAAAAACCCCAATATTTCCTCCCAGCTGTAATCGGACAGGGGTGATGCGTGAGAGCAATATGACTGCGGTTATTCAACAGCCGTGTAAATGTCGCGTTGCATGCCGATGGTACCACAGCACCTGCGACCGTCAAGGTTACTGAGCAATGCAGAGGTTCTGGGACAATTGCGAATTTCATTCTCGGGCGTCCTGGCCCCCTCCCAATGTTAGCAGTGAACCCCCCAATGAAATTCCACCTGTGTGCTGGTTACTTCAACACACTTTGCCCATTTGTATGGCATTGATAAGACACATTTTTATTGGTTATTGGAACTGGTGTAGTGCGTTCATGTACACTGGTTGACGGAATTCGATTAATTTTTATGTAAATGGCAAGTGATGTTGGGTTGGGATTAATCTCAATTGTGTACAGCCTTTGTCCTTGGCATGTACGTGGTGGGGGTGCGTGTTCGTTTTTTATGAAGTCTGATTGTGTCGAGCAACGCCTGAACTCTGCCCCGTTGTGAGCTGCCACTGCACAGCCTTCAACAGCACTCGTGATGTGAAGTAAACGCATGGGCCGGTCTTGGTTACGCTTGCTTCGCGCGTGTACAACAGCTGTTGGATTTGATTTGGATTGATCGCTGATCTTCCTCGGTTGATTAATTTTAGTTGCAATCGAAATTGGCTGAAAAGTTTGCCCCCAGTTCGTGTTTGAAATGTTTATTCCCACGTGGAGTATGCCACCCATGTCGGCCCTGTGCCATTTCAAGTGGGATTTGCATGCATTGTGCATTCGTTGTCACTCGAGCAGTGCATCAGGTCGTGGACATAACACGACGCTGCCACAATGATTAGAAATTAGGCTCAGGCCACGTTGGACTATACCTCCACGGCTCCTGTCTTGTCCCATTGTGTCTGTGGTCTTGGCCCCTTTTAGTGTTTCTCCATTTCTTCCCTGCCCCCCACCCCCCTTTTCTGATCATCGGGGCGTTATGGTATTGTACTTTAACAAGGTGTAACGTGTTTGGGTTAGCTTATCTTGCCCCATCTCCTGACACGACTCCCCCCTAGTCGTCGTCTTCCTTCCCGATCTTTTCTGTCCCCTCACCGTGCCCTATCCCGTTTACGGCCCTTTCTCCTTACAACTCCCCCTCCACTGACATAAAATTCCCTTGTTACATTAAGCACCCCCCCCCCCCCCTTAATCCTCCCATTCCTCTCTTCATGTCAAGCGCCTTGAGCAAAAAGCACTCCGTAAATGTAAATTAGATTATGCGATCCTAATTTATAATTGGCTTAAAAAAAAAAATAAGGCTCTAAAGTTTTTTATAATAGGTTCTGAGGTCAATCTAAAGTTCCAGCCCGTTTGCTTTTGAAAGTAAGAACATTGGCTGTGCATGTGGGGGCGGGGGGTGGTTAGGTTTACGTGGCTGGCTTTTTAACAATCTGGCCAAACCTTTAAAGTTGCGGAGGGGAAAACGTGTAAAGGTTCAGCCCCGCAATTGCTCGCTAACGCAACTGCCGGTGAAAGGGCATCCACTGGAGGGCGCTCTAAAGAGCTGGGTATTTTTGTCCTTGGAGTCAGTGAGAGTTACCCACACGTTGGCCCACACGACTTGTCGATCGACTGGTGAACCCATGAACACTGTTGGGTGGACGTACTTGAGGGGGTGCGGGGGGGGGATTCATGAAGCTTCTCTTCATTTGCCATGCCGGTGTGCTCACCATTCATGTCGAGCCGGCATTTAAGTAATGATCCCCTTCCTCACCGCGGGGATTTATCCTGCAGAACGGCAGCACATGGGCAGTGGCGATTTATGTTTTTTTATGTCGATGTTTCGTGTGTACGGTGTTTATGTGTCGTGCAAGAGTAAACAAGGGTGTCCTTGCATACCATGTCGTGTCAATGTCAAATGGCGGGTGTTAATCGGAGCATGATTGCCTATTGTTGGAAATAAAATGATTTGGGTACCAAAAATCGAAATGGTGTATGTTGAACTTCTTTGGTTTATTAGCAGCAGTAGTGGATTACATAGCATCGTTTATCATGGGACCTTTTTACCAGTATCAAATATGAAAAATAATAGGGTTTTACCCTTTCTAACAATAAAACAGGTGAAATGGGCTCCAATTAGGCGCACTCACACTTCTTGGGAGGCAACACTTTATTTTTAACACAACGCAACACTTAACATAGGGTGGTGGACACCGACCTATTCTCGCTAACACCACACCACCACTCACTAGCACTGACTCTCCGATACAACTCGCGTGACCCAATGTAACAGGTTCCGTAGACACTTGTAGAGGTAACTTCTTTATTCCACTCCAACAGCACTCCAACACTCCTGATACTCTGTTACAGCCGAGGTACACAGCCTAGGTACACAGCCTAGATACTCTACTCTGGTTACGCTCTGGAACTCGCCCTCACAAGGTCGTAGAGTCGGGAGTTCCAGAGTCCCACCACTGGCTCTCACAGCGTCCCAGGGTCCTCCGATGGCTGGTCTTGGGTCTTGGGTCTTGAGCTACGACTGGGCCCCGATCGTCCAGGGAGCTCCCCTTTTTATGCCTGGTCCAACGAGGGGTGGGGCCGTGTGCGCCACCAGACATCCCACAGAGCACACAGCCCCCCCCGTTGGCGGCGCCAAGAGGCTTAAGCGTCTGGACCCGCCTGGGAACCCAACGCCTGGTGCCAAGAGGCTTAAGCGCCTGGCCCACCCAGGGTCCCAGAGCCCCCAGCAGCCCCTCCCTTCTTATGTCACTACTTTACCCCCCTCTACGTATCCTCCAGCCGACCCGGCTGTCAAAAAAAATACAATTGTACAATAAATGATTTGTTAACCATCAGAATGAGTGTGTGACAAATCAAGAAAAAAAATGAGAAGAAAGCGCCTCTCCCCCCTCCTGTGGTCACGCGTATAAAAAAAAAAAAGCTGCAGGCCACCGATGCAGAACAACACTGTATAAACACATATATGCAGGATGAACGCACGCCCCAATCGCCCACTATACATGATGGCAAGGTGATTGGCGTCGCGTTGGGACGAGAGTTCGTGGGCGGGGGTCATGAAAATCGTTTGAGTTTTGTGCGAGTGGCAGGTCCATCGGTCGCGACGGAGGCGGGAGGGGACCGACGACCCGCTGTTGCGCTTGTGTCCTGGGTCGCTGATCCCGCGGGCAAGCTTGTTCCCGCTGGGTCGGCCGTGGCGGGTTCCATTCCCAAGGCATCTGAGGGCGGGACAGCGGGACCTGCCCGAGAGTTAGAAGCAGCATCATCGCGGCGCGGCTCGTCAGACATGTCGCGCTCTCGGCCCCGTAGAAGTGAAGGAGCTGTGTAGGGTTGAATGTAAGGTTTTAGACGTGACGGGTGCACGAACCAACGTCGCTTGCCATGCTGGATCCTGACACACTGCGGGCGGAGAACGCGAATAAAAACAACCGGGCCTCTCCAAGGCTTAAGCAGTTTTGAGGAAGTAGCCAATGGTACCTGCGGGCAGTGGAGCCAGGCGCGGTCCCCTTCTACCCAAACATGGCGGGACGTGCGGAGATTCCGCAACCGCTCGTTGGCAAGCTGACGGGCTTCTGAGTTATTTTGAGCAGCCTCCCGGGCATCCACGAGACGACGCACATTAGCACGGATGTGGTCGGCAATCTTAGCCTTAGGTGCGGGCTGTTTAATGTGCAATTGTACGTCGATTGGGGGGCAAACCTCCCTACCATACATAAGATAGAATGGCGAGTACCCCGTGGCAGCATGGGGCTCCATTCTATAGGCGGCCAAGACACCAGGTATGTGGAGATCCCAATCAGTCTGTGACTCAGACACCTGGTGGCTTAGCATGGAGGTAAGTGTCCTATGTAATCGCTCGACCATACCGTCAGTCTGGGGGTGATATGGCGAGGTGCGAATTTTGTGTGTCCCTAGCAGGTTGCACACATCCCGCAACAGGGTGGAAGAGAAATTTTTCCCTTGGTCGGTCAGCAGGCGTTCGGGAGCACCCTTTTCCAGGACGTAGCCCTGGAAAAAGGCCTCCGTAATGGCTGCTGCAGACTGGTTGGGAAGTGGCCAGGCCATGGCCCATTGGGTAAAATATTCGACCCCAACCAAAAGGTACTTACTACCCCGAGTAGTAGCGGGAAACGGACCCAAAATATCCAATGCGACGATCTCATTGACCCGGGAAACCTTAATGGATTGGAGCGGCGGGCAGGACGGCCTAGCAGGTGGTTTCCGCCGTGCACATTCTGTGCAACCTTGCACAAGGTCAGCCACATCGTTTGCCATGCCCGGCCAGAAAAATTCCAATTGGATTTTAGCTAGTGTTTTCTGAACACCCAAGTGCAAGAGGCGACTGTGGGTTTCCCACACAAGTCGCCCCCGCAGGGAGGTGGGCACCCCCAACGTGTGGGATTGGGACCCCCCATCCCAATGCATGAGGACGCCTTCCCGGATGACATATGATACGGGGCCCCCCTGCCCCCTGTGACCCTCGGCATCTCTAGCGCGGCATCTCAATTTGAGGAGGGAGACGTCTTCCATCTGAAGACGTCCCGAGGCCCAGCAATGCGTCCTGCGGAACTTGCGTGGAGGGAGCCCCGTAGTCCCCGACCCCATCTCCGGCCGCGGCCGGAAGGGATGGGGCGGTACCCCGTCAGGCTGCCTACAACGCCCCGCACCCAAAAAACAAGCACAGCGCCCATTGTTCGGCAGTCGCGACAACCCGTCGGCGTTCCCGTGTTGAATCCCCTTGCGGTAAATGACAGTGAACGCAAAGTCCTGGAGGATCTCGAGCCAACGCGAGAGCTGTCCAGATGGTTGGTCCACTCGCAAGGCGTTTTGTAGTGCCCCATGGTCGGAGAGTACTGTGAAATACCTGCCATACACGTATGGTCTGTACTGCTTTATGAAAAAAACGATAGCAAGCAATTCGCGGCGCGTCACGCAGTAACGTTGCTCCGCGGGCGACAGCACCCTGCTGCCATAGGCGACGACGCGCTCCACTCCATTGATAATTTGCGACAGCACCCCTCCAATTCCGGTGTTGCTGGCATCTGTATCCAGAATGAATGGAGTGGTAAAATCTGGATAAGACAGGGTAGGAGCATCGACCAGTGCTTTTCGGACGGCATTGAACGATGCCTGTTCTAACTCTCCCCAACGGAATTTTACCCCTTTGGCCGTGGAGGGGCTTCGCGATGGATGCGAATCCCACAACAAATCGTCGATAATATGAGGCGAAGCCGATAAAACTCCGCACCTCCCCAACAGAGGTAGGAGTTGGCCATGAGCGCACGCAATTTGTCTTTTCGGGGTCCGTGGCAATTCCCGAGCGGCTGACAATATGGCCCAAGTAACAAAACGAATCCCCCATGAGGTGGCACTTTTGCGGTTTGAATTTGAGGTTAGCCGCTCGCATTTTAAGGAAAACTGCCTTCAATCGCGTGAGGTGTTCATCAAAAGTTTTGCTGAACACGATTACATCGTCGAGGTAGATTAGGCAAGAATCCCACTGGAGCCCAGCGAGGACCAGCTCCATCAGGCGCTGGAACGTCGCCGGGGCCGAGTGAAGACCCATGGGAAGTCTGTTGAATTGGAACAGTCCCTGCGGCGTGCAAAAGGCCGTCTTTGGTTTGGATGGGTCATCAAGGGGTAGCTGCCAAAACCCCGAGAGGAGATCCAAGGTGGAGAAGTAGTGCGCACCTGCTAAGGCATCGATCGACTCGTCCATCCTGGGAAGCGGGTAGGCGTCGGCCACAGAAATCTTATTAAGTTTCCTGAAGTCAACACAAAAGCGGAGGCTCCCGTCGTGCTTCTTAACAAGAACGATCGGTGCCCCCCATGCGCTATTTGATGGCGCAATGACATCGGCCGCCAACATATCGTTGACGGCCACCCATACATGTTCCTTTTCGGCCGGGCTCAACCGGAATGGGTTTTGACGAATTGGAGCGGCATCACCCGTGTCGATGTGGTGGCTTAGAAATTTAGTGCAGCAAATGTCGAATTTGCTTTGACTGAAAAAGTCGGCGAAATCGCTCAGCAGCGTGCGTAATTTAGCATGCTGTAATGGTGACAAATCGGCAGAAGTGGAGCAAAGCGTGTCGAGCCATCCTGTGTCAGGACCTGGCTTGGCAACGGAAGAGGACTCGCCCCCTACGTGACCCACGATCACATCTTCTGACGGGGCTGGCGTCGCGTGAGCAAGCACCATTCCCTGACAGATAACGGCCGTTTCCAATCCCGCGTTAAGGACCTGGATAAAGGGGTCATGGTCGCTTCGCACGAGCGTTTGTGCACACACGAGGTCCGACACCCGCTCAGCTGAACGCGAAGGCCCAATCACAGCACCCCCATGAACGCGTCGTAGTCAAGGGGTTTACGAAACCGGAGGGGAACTAACATCTGAGAGCCGGGAGGAATGTGAATTGTGCAGGCCGCCAACGCCTGCACCGTCGTAGATGCGGAGTGCAACCGAGTGGGTGTGGGCAGGAAGGCCATGCGTCGGCCGGAGGGGAGCTCAATACACCCTTTTTTAATGAGAATTTTAATGGGCATCTTCCCCAAGAAATCTGTTCCGAAGAGGCACGGAACGGCGAGGGTTGATGAGACCAAAATGGGGCCAACTAATTGGACGTCAGCAATGCGGATCTGAGCATTGATCCGTCCGGTGATGCCCAACGAACCCCCATTTGCGGCATAGCATGGCACATCAACTGGCTGCAAGGGACGGCATGTATCAGGCAGAATGTTATAAATTATGTTTGAAATGATGGTCGCTGACGCACCCGTATCGATCAACATACGAACATCAACGCCGTCTATGGAACCCACTACGGCAGAGGACCCTGCTGCCGCGGCAACGACCCTATGGGCCAACTCGGACCATTGACCTGGTCCGAGCGCCCGGTTGTTCAATGATGGGCCCGAATCCCCCTCCTCCGAAGCATGACCCCCCTGTGTGGTGTGAG